TAAACAATCTCTTGCTCTTCATCTTCATCGTGTCCTAACGATCTCTCTTCTCTCTTTGTCGATCTCTCTTCTCTCTCAATGGCTCCTCCTCGCCAAAACCGATAAAACCGATGTAACCCAGTCACCGCCAACAACCACGACTCGGGTAAGTCTTCTGGATCTATAAAAATTAGGGTTTATCGTTTTGATTGAAGTTTGGATTAGATTTAGGGTTTTGATTTGAGGTTTCTTTTGTGTGGCTAATTTTTGTTTGTTTGGAGTTCGAATTGAGTTTTGATTGGGGTTTTTCTTGCTTGAATTTTCGACTAGAATTTGGGTTACTATTTTTTGCGAAACTGTCACTAATTTTTATCACCTTGTCAATAATTTTCGCGAAACTGTCACTAATTTTTGATTATGTTGTTTCAACTGTCAATAATTTTCATAAGCTATTTGATTTGTTCATGTAAAGCTTGATCACTTAACCAAATTCGTTTCTTTATAGACTCCAAGTGTTATCTTGTTGATATAAAGCTTCCAGATTCATACTGAGATTCTTCTTGTCTTCTACATTTTAAGATTTCTTTTTTTTTTTCTTTCTAGCTTTCACTTTATATGCCTTCCCTTGCATTCGTACTTTAGTAACTACTCTAATCAAAGTGAAGACATTGACTCTGGCTTCTGTATAGTATGATGATGTTTTGATTTTACCCCCAAAAAACCAGATTAATTATGGCTTCAAGTTTCGACTAGAATTTGCTTTCAAGCTTTCCATTAATTATTTATCACATTGTTCTTATGTGTGAGCGTGTATATATGTGTTTAGCTATAATCTTTATTGTTCTTAAGTTATGTTTTGTTGTTTTGACAGGTCATGTCATACCACCAGGAGCTGTAGGGTCTAGAATCTCTTCAGGTCCTCACTCGCCACCAGGAGCTGTTGGATCTACAAGTGGGCCTGCCATGCCAGCAAGCGCTGCATCTTCAGGTGCTAATAACTACAACCGTATGACCCTAGACGCATTATTGAATGCTCCCTCGAGAGAGCTTCAGCCACACCTCCATCCAAGGAAACTCAATGGCGCTTTATGGTAAGTTCTCTATATAACTGAGTTCTCTTATTTCTTCTTATAATGTATTGTCTTCTCTTATTGTAGTTCTTCTTATCTCAGGTTCGGTGTAGACCCCTCTGTCCACAAATTCATCCGAACAACATGGCAAGCCTACTACATGGGACCATGGAGTAGCTGGAAATTTGTTCCTCAAGAGAGAAAAGATAAGTGGTGGCAGACTTTTGTGGTAAGTGTTGTGCTTGTTTCAGAATTATTTGTTGTTTACTTTTATTGTAATATATATATTAATGTTCATTGTTTTCATTGTAGCAAAACTACTACTGGGAAAATCGTTTTAAATCCGAGGTGTACCGTCTTTGGAAGTTGCACACACAGACAACAATATGCCAAAAGATCAGTAAGAAGAAGAGACTGAACCAGAAGCCTAATTTCATAAGCGAATCTGACTGGACCACTCTGCTGGAGTTTTTTTCAACAGAACCAGCCCGTAAAAGGAGCAAGTCAGCGGCTTCATCTTGCATGACACCCCAATGTGAGAAAAGGGTACACAAGCATTGTGCAGGTCCTCAAAACTTTTTAAAGATCGAATATGACATGGTAAGTGAATATCTTTCTCTCCCTTTTTTAATCTTTAATATGTTATATTCTCTACTTATTTATTTATCTACATGTTTACATGTTTTCCAGATGGTGGAGTCTGGTCTTGATGAACCGCCACCTTACACCGATCTCGTGCGTAAGACACACACGCGGTTAGATGGAACTTTCGTTGATGGTCGATCAGAATCTCTTGTTCTTGAAGTAGAGGAGGCCGTGGCAGAGATGACAGCTGATGATGGATCTCCTCATTCTGACAGCCAAGGCACCTCAACAGCTGCAACGTCTGCAATTCCTACTCGCATTCTCCTCAACCAAGAATTTCTCAAGGTACTCTACAATAACTCACTTATTGCTTTACTCGCTGTTTGATGATAGTTAGGCTTTACTCGCTGTTTGATGATAGTTAGGGAAATGGATTTGGGTTTGTGTTGTGGATCGACTTGTTGGCTATAATGGTTTTGTGTTTGTGTTGTGACTCGTTTTGACTTGTTTGTTTGGTGACTCGTTTTGACGTTTCATGTTAGCCATGTGTTTGTGTTGTGATTCGTCTCGAGTTGCTATTTTGTAGTGTTTAAGAATGTGTTTTTAGACTGTTTTGTCTCTGACTTTGTATATTTGTTTATTTTTACAGCGCAGCAAGACAAAGCGAGGGAGAGTATACGGAATAGGCAGTGTGCAGCTTCGGGATTTCACTTCGACCGATACAGTCCATGAATCTCATACACACACCGTCGACATGGACATGCGTATATCCGGTTTGGAGGCTAATTCAAAAGCTGTCAACAGCAATGTTGAAACGCTCAAGGAAGATGTGCTGGCGATGAGGGGTGAGTTCAAGGAAGAGTTGGCCACAATCAAGAATGAAATGGTGGCAGTACTAAATGCATTCCTACAAAAGGTTGGTACCACTCCGCTTTCTACTACTGCTGTTGATGCCTCTCCGCCCCCTGCTGCTGCTGCTGCCTCTACAAATCCTGCTAACACCACAAACCCAAGTCAACAACAACCTACATTAGATGAGATGTGTGCTTCTTTATTAGGAGATTAGTTTTTTTCTAGTATTTTTCATGTTTTTGAATGTTAAACTGTTTCTTAAACTTTTATGTTATGTTTCAAACACTTTTTGATGTATAATATTCTAATTGATTATTGCATTTTCGTATTTTATATGATGGTTTAGCAACATGATTTGATATGGTTTAGCAATATGCTTTTATTATTAAAATTCGAAAATATTTTTTTTTCCTTTTTTAAATCCATAGCCACGGTTAAGTCACTAATATTTCGTGGCTAAACTAGTCATGCAATAGCCACGAATAAGTCGTGGCTACATAGACACAGATAAGTGTGTGAGTAATTCGTGACTAAGGTTGCCACGAAAAGCAGTGACTAATTCGTGGCTATATAGACACGAATAATCGCGTGACTAATTCGTGACTAACATAGACACGGATAAGTGTGTGACTAATTCATGACTAAAGTTGCCACGAAAAGCAGTGACTAATTCGTGGCTATATAGATACGAATAAATGTGTGACTAATTCGTGACTAACATAGCCACAAAATACACCAGTGACTAATTCGTGGCTATGTAGCCACGAAAAGCCACGAAATAAATTAGTCACGATCGTATAGCTACGATTTGTCCCCGTGATTTTTCGTAGCTATAAGACCGTATAGCCACGGTATTTTTGCGTTAGTCACGAAAGAGACAGTGGCTATTGCCAGGTTTTTTACTAGTGTATTTTATATACGAAATTTAACAAATGATAGTATTTTTTATCTAAAAATAACATCATTGTCAAAATCGAACATGGCAGATTTAAATCATTTAGTTATTCAATCTAACTAATCGCAAATATAAAGCTCTAATATAAAGTAATATACAGTACCTAGTTACATGATGCTTCCATTAATTATTCGCGTCTATATATTGCAGCAGAAGATTTGAGACCTTTCTTTACATACTTAAATTTGTCCTACCAGAATATCTGAATATGTATTAAGTTCTATATAGGTTGGTCTGATCTGATAATAAGAGAAATGTAGAACAAGACCGTATATGTGAACAGTAGACTGATAAATTCCACGGGCCAAGCAGTTTATGATTATACCGACATTTTTGGAATCTTCTCCTCATTTTATGTACAACAACAACTAAAGATATTGTAAATATATAGAAAAATGATGTGCTTATTTAGAATTTAAGCAAACAACAATAAGTTTATATATAACCAGATTACAGTCTTACAGATATGCCTGTTATTGTTGGTCTTTGATGGAACTATGCTAATTACGAATATAGAATCGTACGTTACATATATGTACACGAACAAGAAATATCATTCTTTTTTTATGTGTGCATATAAAATATCATCCTAGTTACTAAAAAAGAAAAGAAATGTCACTCAATAAGATTCTAGAAATACATATAACACGAGCACATGATTTTTATGAAAATAAATCTTAATGATATATTAAAGAAATTTTTATTCTAAAAGTAGTTTAAAACAAAAGATAAACAAAACTTTTTGTTTAAAATTTAAAACATAAAACCTTCTTCATTTTTTTTTGGGTTTCATTACTGGCAAAGTTGATGTTTAGAATATTAAATGATATATCTGGACGTTAACATAATCTAACATATAATTGTTCTTACCAATATAATAAGGTTTGCTCCTCAACATGATTCTACCGACTACTCGCCTTCTTTTGTCGTTTCCTGTAAATTAATTAAGTTTTGAAAGTATTAAGAAGAAGACATAGCCAGTTGACAAATAAATGACATAATCAAAAGCAGTTGAAGTCATTGTTAAATTTACTTTTTTTTTTCTCTCTTCCATCTGTGGTTGTACTATTACTTTACTGAGTTTTGGACCAATCTTCGGATGGCAGATTATTATTGATTAATTACGGTCGGGTTCATACTTCTCATGTAGCTTCCTATTTAATTCCAAATACTTTATTTAGATATACTAATGAACATGGATCAATATTCGTCAGTGCAAATATATGGTTTGTGTAGTCTATTCACTCAACACTTGTATAACTCTAAATAGTCCGTGATAGCAGTCGAACACTCTAAAGCGAGAAGAGGGTTTCATGGTTTCGTTTCACTCTTCAAACAAAAGTGAGTGAAAATAGAGTTTAAGAGAGAGGCTGAAGCTTATTGTTCTTAGTAATGTTTATATACATATGTAGTTTTCTACTGTATTATGCAGTAGCTGTTTAAATTTTATGGAAGAGGTCCTACCTAATCTCTCTAATTAGTAGTAACTACTATACGACCCCATTCCAAAAAATATAACACACAAATCCACCTCCAACCAAGTATAATCTAGAGTTGATTTAAAACTGTTCATCGGTGGTTTCCGATCTAAGCCGTTCGACTCTCCGGCGTAATCTTCTCCGGTGATCGTGAATTTTCCACAGCCCATGCCCTAGTATTACCGTCGAATATATACCATGCGTCATCATCGGTGCTAAAATATTATCCGTCTGTACATTTAAAATAGAAAACGAGAGAAATTATTCATATCAGTATCATTAGGTGATATTTTAGATATATCAAAATGTTGTTAAGTGTTGAATTTTTGGTATAGCGCTACCAAACCAAACCGAGATATTACCTGAACCCATTCAATACCGAGGTAGAGAGCTAAGAGTCCTTCGAGGAGGGGAGAGTAAATCTTCTTCATCTGTCTCTTCTCATACCAAGCTGCACCAAATCAGTGACAAAACAAGATGTCATAAACAGCGGTTCAAATAGTGTGAAATACTCTCGTTCAATATGATAAGAAGAAGAAGAAAAGAGAAGGAGCTAGTACCTGACAGAAGCTTCTTAAAATCATCTCGGCGTGCCCTTAGAACCGGTGCAACAATGTATGTCGGGTCTAATGAAAATGAAAACGAGAATGAGAAAAGGACAGAACCAACTAAGAAACACGAAAACAAAGAGATCAAACACTAACCTTTAGGAGAAGCAGCAAGAAAGTAAAGAGAGCCTGTGAGAGTCGCTGTGATCACAGCTGCAAATGCTTGAGCAAACGGGACAAACGGAGGCAAGACTCCAGTCTAGAGGTAACAACAACAACAACAGTATATGAATAAAATCTACGAAGGAACTATATAAAGGAATCTTAATGTAGAGAAATGTGAAAGAAAGAGATGTATAATTTACCAGAGATGCCATGCCTCTAGAATCTGTCATCAATTGTGTTCCTCTCAAGAACATATCAGACAGAGCACCCTGTGAGATTCAGACATTTTAACAGAGATCAATCAGTTATAACAACTCAATCAAAGTGGTCGTCCATGATTCTACTTTGGCTAAAGTTTAATGAAACCAGACCTGTACGGCAACACGGTAAAAGAGCTCTTCTCCTATTGAACTTGCCGCGACAATGAGTATAAACTAGAGAAACAAAAAATAACCAGAGATTGAACACCTCAAAACACAAGACTCTTAAAGATTTGAGAAAACCAAGAAAAGATCAAAAAATTTCACCTGCCAAGGTGACATTCCGAAGAAAAAGCTTCTTAGTTCTTCATCTTCCACATCTCTGATGGCCCGAGCATGCGGTGACAGTTTCACAACTTCATCCTGAATTAATCAGCCAAAAGAGAATTCCTTCAAAACCAGTTCTTAACCAACACATTAAGAGGAACCAAAATTAGATGACAAGAGGTTTGATTGATGCTCACATCAAGTATGAAGAGAAGAGCCATGATCGGTGGTGTTGCGTAGCCAAGTCCGGCGAGAAGTGCATCAAGAGAAAGATCAAATCCACCAGATGAGTCAATCCCAGTCACTGAACATATGAATTTTCCTGCTACAGCCATTGCTCCATATATTCCTAATCATCCAAAACCCACATTTTAAATTTTGATCCAAACCAAAATTCATAATGAAAACCATAGGGTTCAAATTTTAGATTTCGCATATTAGAGGCCTGGAACTGAAGATTATTGTAAATTAAGCACCCGGAAATTTTGAAGTTAAATCTACTCACCGATCCCGTAGGTAAGTCGAACGACGGCGCCAATTTTGTCCCAGATCGGGAAATCAACGGTGGTGGAGTTAGCAAAGCCACGATCAAGTGTGGTGACCTCCATGACAGGACCGGCGAATTGTCTTGCTCCTCCTCCTCCTCCGCCGCCACTTACGCTGTCTGTCTTCTCGATCCCTTCGCTGCTTCGTCCGGCGGAAGCTTTAACGCTTCGGGAATTTTCTCCACCATTAAATCTCATTTTCAAGCTCTTTTTTCTCTCTGGGATGTCACTGATACTAGTTGATGAGGAAGAAGAAGAAGAAGAGCATAAGCCTGTCCGCGAAAACGAGGCGGAGTTGGTGTAAGAGAGTAACGGAAGCTCCATTGCAGCTTCGTCGAGCTATTCGGAAACTAACAAACTCAGTTTTTTTCTCCGGCCGGCGAAATCTCTACGTACTTCGTCTTCTTCATTGGCTTTTTTCACTCGCTCTTTCTTCTGTGCGTGTGTGTGCCTTCTTCGTTTATTTTGTTTCTTTGAATTTATACAAAATCTAAAGCTGGAGAGATAAGGTTTTTTCTTGTCCGTCAGATTTTTATCGTGCGGTTAGGAGGATATCTGATGTAGATGAAGCATATCTGTACAACCAATTCATTTCGGACACGTGGAGATAACATTGGCGGGATCAGAATCTGTTCCAAATGGAGGAGGTAACTGCCGTCTCATAATTATTGTTTAGTTTTTTTTTAATAACTTAGGATAATAAATTCTTTAAATGTTCTTTATTGCCTTGTTGTGTGTATTTAAATTATACAGAGGATGAGAAAGAATTTAAAAAGAATTTGTAATGTTCTCAGTTATTGTTGTAATAAAATTAAGACGGTAAAAAAAACTTTAAGAACATATCTTGTAGCAATAGTAATTAACTGTATTATATACATCATATTTTAAGTTATAATGGGTTCAAAGTCATTTGTATTTCACAATAAGTTAACAATTTCACCTAAAAGCATAGTTATAAAGAATTTGTGAAATTTCTTTGTATTTAATCAATGAGGAACAAAGAAAATAAAAAAAAATTCCATTTTTACGTAACATTTTATTTTATCGATTTTCCTTTGTAATGGTTATAGCATAAATAAATATCATATATAAAATATAAAAAGAAACCATCTATTTTTTTCACATCAACACTTTGTTGGATATTGGGGTTTTTGATAGTATATTGATGATTCTAAAACAATATTGTTTTCAATCTTAAAAATGTTAATTAATCTTGACTATATTTGTGTGAGTCATGTGACGTTCGAATTCTATTAATTTATGGATAATAATATAAAAATTAAAATTTGGATATTTTATATCAATTTACATACTAAATTTTATGAATAATAGTATTTGTGAATTGTAAAGAACAAATAGATAAATGTATATTAAAAAGTATATATTGATTAAAAACCTTATTGAAAAATTAAATTCGCCAATTCAGGTGTGTTAATAGTTTTAAATTATTATTTTTAAACAGAAAATCATTTAAATTAATAACTTTCCTAAAATTCAAATTCTTTAGTTTTTAGACTGAATACATCCCCATAATTACAAAAAATAAAATTGGCATTGACTATTTCATGTTTATTTTAATAAAATAATATTATTAGGAAATTTGTTTTGGTGTGAAACTGAAGCGGTGATAACAAAAGGTTTACCGTATATTACTAAGGAAATATCAAATGATAACAGATAATACAGTATTTAGTTTTCCTCCAAAACAAACTTTTCACCTAACACTGCTCATATTGAAAAGACAACTGTATCCCTACTTCTGTTTACCCAACATGACAATATGTAGCTGTTTAGTAGCTGCATTTTGTGGATCCATATCAGGTTTATTGTCAATTTAGGCAATTATATCCAAATTTTATAAATATTTTAAAACGTCCTTAACTAAACCGTCCACAACTTTTTTTTGCTGAAACTGACAATAAATCTGCTGTGGATCCAGAAAATGCAACTACTAATATAATTGATTTAAAGAATATAATACTTTTAAAACGAAAATCTTCTTTGTGGTCATCTTAATGAAATTTTTAACTATTAAACTAATTTATAATCAAAATTTGATTGAATAAAATTGAAAAAAGAAAGAATATAACACTAAAAGGAAGAAACTAAAAAGGGTGAACTTGCAAAAAAAACTGGGGTCAAAAAAGAAATTAGAATGGAGTCATTTGTGATATATTGAATAATTATAATGGATTTTTGTAAATTTGGTAGGTTCAACTGACCTCCTTCTCTTGTAGTGGCTACGTCCCTGTAAACAGCTACATATGGTCATGTTGGGTAAGTAGAAATAGGAATACAGTTGTCTTTTCAATATCAGCAGTATTAGGTGTATAGTTCCATTTGAAGGAAAATTAAATACCGTATCTAATGTTACCATTGAATGGTATTTTCTTTACATATATTGACCAAGAAAATATATGCATAAAATATTTTTGGTAAGATTATCAAAGCACGAAGCGTTGACTCATAGTGGTTATAGTTATAACTTATATATATATATATATATATACTGGAAAGTATCGTAGATATACACCTAGTGAGAAATTATGAGTAACTTATCAATGGCCTTTCATCTAGCCTTAGGCCTATTTGTTTATCTTATTCTTGCGCAAGGTGCAGAAGGAAATATTGATGTGAGTCTCTAACTTTGGTTTGGTTTTTCTATCCTCAAAAGAAATCATCCATAACTTCAGCACTTTTCTCTAAATTGTGTTTGAACAAATTTTACAGGATTTTGATTGTGTTGAGATATACAAACAACCAGCTTTCCAACATCCATTGTTGAAAAACCACAAGATTCAGGTAAGGTATTATAAACAGCCTGTGACAAAATATGTGGAAAATATATAGTTGATCCACTTTCATACATAACTATCTTTTAAAAGTTTTTTAATCACAAAATATTTCTTTATTACTATAGTGATGTATTATTTAAATACATAATCTCAACAAGGTCTTTGAGAAACATCAATTCTTACGAATCTTATTTTTCTTTGGTTACATGTGATACCATATATAGGAGACATTCAGCTCATATGATGAGAATCCTAAAGGAAGCAACAAAGATGAAACAAAAGAGTATTGCCCGAAAGGAACGGTTGCAATAATAAGACAGAGAAATGGAACTGAAAACTTTCATCCGAACACAGCCGAATATTTTGCTCAACATGTAGATTTCCTTCCACTTCTCAATTGTTTTCGAAATGAGTTACACAAAGTCATTTAGTTGTTAAGATCGACATTCTAATATCATATTTTTACATGCACACTACAACAAAAGCAAAATGAGGATTCGCGATTTGGACTAATATATCTATGAATTTTACAGTTTGCAACAATTGAGACGATGCTTGATGGAACTATCTATCGAGGAGCTGAAGCTGATATAAGTATTCATGATCTAAAGTTGCAAGGTGTTCAATTCAGTAAAAGTCAAATTTGGATAGAGAATGGACCTGCAGGTCAACTCAATAGTATACAAGCTGGTTGGGCGGTAAGTTAATACAATTACTCACTAATTTTTTTTTAATCTCATAAATAATTATAATTACTTATCATATAACTCATATAAGCTGCTAATAACCCATCTGAATATTTTATGTTTTCAAAATTTACATGTTTAATTTTTAAAAATTTTATTCTAGGTGCATCCAAGAATATATGGTGACAGTGTCACACGGTTCACAATACATTGGACTGTAAGTAGATTTTAGTTATTGTTAATCATAATATGAACAATAATTTGCTTTTTTTTCTTTTCTTTTCTAACAGGAATAATATCTTGCCATTTTATTTACGTAACAAATATTATAATATGTAAATTTTTCTTCTTCCATTTATAGAGAGATGACTATAAAGATACAGGGTGCTACAACACACAATGCCCTGGTTTTGTTGTTGTAAGTAGAAATCCGAGGATTGGAGGTCAGTTTCCGGGCACATCTTTCTATGGTAAAACAAGCCTTTTGTTTACAGTACAAATTTTTCAGGTAGGTTTCTCTTTATTCTTTTGACCTATGTGATATTTTTTTTTTGCAATATTGTTTTGAAAACTTTTGTTTGCTATCATATATATATGTAACAGGATCCATTCAGTGGAAACTGGGCACTTAAACTGAACAATGAAGTAATTGGTTACTGGCCCAAGGAACTGTTTACACACTTGAATGAAGGTGCTTCTCTGGTGAGATATGGAGGGAATACGTTTATGTCGCCCGATGAAATTAGTCCTCCGATGGGAAATGGACATTTTCCGGTTTCAGACTACACAAAGACGGCACATTTTAAGAATGTGTTGCTTATAAACTCCAAATATAAAAAGATTTATGTTGAGGATAGTAAAGTAAGACGTTATGCTGATTCCTATAGTTGCTATAGAGTGACTTATTGGGGTTATACTAGATCTAGTGGAGTCTCCTTTGCCTTTGGAGGACCAGGTGGAAAATGTGGTGATTAATAAGGCCTTTATATTATGTATCAATCAAAAGTATATCAAATTTCAAATAAAATTCATTTCAACGATTGTTTTTATTTCCTTAATGAAAATTATGTAATAACAAACAATGAACGTTACTAAACAATAATAAATAAAAATCATAGAAAAAAGTAAAACTTTTATTTATTTTAAATCAGTATTGGTTTAAAATTTTATGTTCTCATATTAATAGCATTTTCAAACACATGTATAAAAAGTTTGGTTTGAAATGAGCCTCATATATTTTTAGATATGGTAAGGAAGGCCCATTTAATAAAAAACTGCAAGTCCAGTTATGTAATATCCCATTTTTCTTTTAATCAGACGACGAGAAGGAGCTTGAGAAGAGTGTTAACAAGAGAGAAGGTGAAAAATCTTAAACCCTAGTCTCGTCATCGCCGGGACGCGCACCAGTCTGTCTCAATGGCGAAAACCCTATCCCGCTCCACCGCCTCACGCGTCGTCGCTAATCGTTTCTTCTCCACCTCCAGAGCCGCCTCTCCTTCCCCGGTTCATTCTCACCTCATCACCCGTCGATCCACACCGACGCTGTTCCACGCCGTCGGATTCATCCCAGCTTCGACCCGTTTGACGACGATCCGGACCCGGATGGATAGGTCCGGTGGATCGTACTCGCCGCTCAAATCCGGATCGAATTTCAGCGACCGTCCACCTACTGAGATGGCTCCGCTGTTCCCTGGCTGCGACTACGAGCATTGGCTCATCGTCATGGACAAGCCCGGCGGCGAAAACGCTAATAGACAGCAAATGATCGATTGCTATGTTCAAACCCTAGCCAAAATTGTCGGCAGGTAAGCTCTTCTTCTTCCCAATGTTCATTGATAGCTTACTGTAGAATTCGTCTCTCCGTTTTGCTCTACTACTTCACTATATAACATACGCACTGTGACTATTGCTTGGTTTGTATCAGTGAGGAAGAAGCTAAGAGGAAGATCTACAATGTTTCGTGCGAGAGGTATTTTGGGTTTGGCTGTGAGATCGATGAGGAGACATCAAACAAACTTGAAGGTATCTCTTTTTTTCTTTCGAAACACAAGCTGATCCTTTAGAATCAGTAAGCGGCATGAGCGAGATGATGTGATTGTAATTGTGTGTTTCAGGAATTCCTGGTGTTCTCTTCGTTCTCCCGGACTCTTATGTTGATCCAGAGTACAAAGATTACGGAGGTTAGTGCATCAACAATGTTCTGCATTTTTCAAAAGTTTATCATTTCCTTCATGTTCTGTGTATTACATGAATCCAATCTCTTTGATACTTGAAAACACCAAAAGATGCCATAGTTCATGTGTATTGAAAGATTGAAATTGGCAAGTGCTTTCTCTGGCTAACGTAGATTGAACTATTTCTCAAGATTCTATGTAATGTAATTAGCTCATAAAATTCTTGGGTGAATGTGTTTTTTCTGGAATTGCAGCTGAGTTGTTTGTGAATGGAGAAGTAGTTCCGCGTCCACCAGAGAGACAGAGGAGGATGGTGGAGTTAACGACTCATAGAGGCACCGATAAACCGAATAGGTACAATGACAGAACCAGAAATGTCCGACGGAGAGAGAACATGCGTTAAGACTGTTTATTCTCAGAGTCACTCGATGCTAAACATCTCCTTTTCCTTTTTGTTTGAACTCCGATCTAGCTGTCTTTTTATTTTTGTTCTATTAGCTCCAATCTGTTGGAATAATGTAAATTTGTGATCATGGTGATGATTGGCATTATGTTATGGATAATGTTGGTTCTTTTTAAGATATCGAATTTATAATATCTATCAATCATTTCTGCGTAATCTCCTGAGAAAATGCGACAGTATTGAAAAAGAAGGTGAAATGATAATAATCTCCAACTACTGTATATATCACGATTCCATATTTCAGTAGTACTCTTTCTTTCGAAGAAACGAATTGATATTTTATTCAATCATGATTTGGTTTATTAAAGCAAAAAAATACAGAGCGACTGCTTCAAAAATACCCAAAAATCATATAACTTGACAAGAGTATTGTCTACAGTCTGTGTACAAATTACGCAAAAGACAGAAACTTCTGTGTGAAACAAAAAAAATGTAATCATCATCATCAATCCCAAGATTCCCAATGAAAAGCTTTTACCTTTTAGCTATAAGAAACCCAAAAACATAAAAGAAATTCTTTTTCTATAAAAGCACATTGTGCGTTTTACACATCTATGCTGCTGCGTCTATTCCTACTGTAGGCTCTGAAGATTAAGCTTCTTTCACAGTACATACCCTAACCTAGGGAGACTTGAAATAAACAAGATGAGATTTACTGAACTCAATAAATCGGAAAGAGACTGAACAGAGCACCTAGTAATCACCCCATCTTGGACTTGGGATTGGGAAGAATCCGGATGGAGACAGCGGGAACATGAGCCCTGGAGACGGAGGTGGCTGAGGATGACCTGGACCTGGACCTGGACCGGGTCCGAGACTTCCCGATTGAGCTATTTGTGAAAATGAGAAGTTCGGTGTAAGTGGTTGAGGATACTGAACTCCTGGTGATAGTAAAGGGTAAGGTGACCTTGGAGAGAACATATTCGGGTAACCCGTAGGAGATGGTAGAACAAACTGGGACGTAGGAGAGTGTAGCGGTCCAAAACCGTTATACCGAGGAGAAGGAAACCCACCATACATCTGGTTGAACCTGGGAGATGGCAGAGTGGGCGTGACAGGTACAGGACCACTGAACCGAGGGGAAGGAAGATTATGAGGCACTGGGCTAGGAACTAACCCTGGTGGTGGAAGATACTGGTTAGGTTGTAGTGGACCCTGCATATTCATATTCATTCGAGGTTGCGATCCAGGCATCATATGTGGCTGTGGCTGAGCCTGAGGCTGATGCTGAGCTGGAATATATGGCTGAGGTTGAGGTTGAGGCTGCACTGGCATATATGACCGCCGTTCCTGACCTGGCTGCATTTGGTTACCACTGGGACCTGAATCACCAAATGAACTTTGAAGATAACGCATATACTCTGAGATGGGAGACTCAGCTGTATTAGACCAAGACTGATCTCCGTGACCCTGACCCATCATCGGTTGTTGTGTGGCTTGTGGCATAGGTGGATGCGGTCTAGCTAAGTGAGGATGATGCTGTGGAGGAGCCATGGTAGGGAGAGGAACCGCAGGACGGTTTATCTGCGTAAGAGGGGCTGGTCTGATCCTATGCAGCCGCGTATTCTGAGGCTTCGGTGGGTTGCTCTGAGGAGGCCGAGGAAGGCTTTCACGTGATGGAGAGCCCGTCAGCTGCTGAACAATGCTTCTAAAGTCGTTCTTGCTTATGTTATAAACCTGAGGCTGCGGCTGAGGCCTCGCAGCGGCGGCCGCGTTAGCGTTCGCGGCGAAATTCGGTTGGTGGAGAGGACTCTTTCTGATGTTCTTCCCAATCTTATTCACACCCAAATGATCGTTTTGCCGAGGCCTATCCATCTCCGTTGAATCCACTCTAAAACCCAAATACTATCTCTATTGACAAAACCAATCTAGAGAACATCCAACACAAACCCAGTGAAACCAAATATGATCTAAGAATGATCCTCAATCAGCTAAAAACCGAACCTTTTCTCAGGTAAACCCTCTGATTATTGACTATCTAACCCAAAATGATCGACAAACAAAACCCAAAATTCAGCAGAAAGTGCCTAGCCTAAGAAAGTAGATCCTCAGTTCGTGAGCTACTTTATCTTCCTCTAAATCAAAAAGCCCACGATTCTTCGCTCAGAAACTCGATCAAACACTAAAGCAAAATACTCCGAGGATTACAATTACAACACTCTCAATTCTCTGTATATCCCACCAGACCCAGCCAAAGAGAAGAAAAAAAAAAGTGATTACAGTAAGATGGAGCAAAAGTTCAGGTCTTTCACCTGAGAATTCGGATCCGAGAAGAGCCCAGAGCCTAATTTCAATCAGATCTTTTAATTTCCCAGAGTAACACGATGAAGAGGGAGGGAATGAGAATTAAAATGAACCCTAATTCTGTCAACGAAGAAATGAGATGAAACTAGATTCTCCATTTTTTTTTGTATCTGTGTGTGTCTTATTTATTTTTAATTCATGTTTTGCCAGACTGGAGTGACGTGGAGCTGACATGTCCAAATCGTCACACTCGTCTCCATATAAAAAGGAAGGAAAAAGTTATTACACATATCAAAAGTAGAAAGGTTATATTTACATGCACAACTAGCATTCCCCTAATTTCGAAAAATCCTATTCCTTTTATATAATTAGTCTTCGTTACAGTAGTATTTTTACATACTAATTTGTTGATTCCATTTCAAAATAAGTCATTCTAATTTTTTTTTGTGAATTATTATTATGCCTATAAATGTGTATGCATGTTTGTAAAGATAACTATGCGTAAATCTATCCAAAACTTAATACAATAATTAAAACTTCAGTTACAAAATATTGAGTTTTTTTTTTTTTGTTTTGTTAAGAAAATATTTATCAAAATTAATTAAAATTATTTGATTGTAGAATGTAATCTCATATTTACTCAATAGAAGATTGAAACGTAAACCAGTGAGATTAGTGAATTTAAAATATATATTTTGAAAGAAAAAAAAAAGTATAACTGAAAAGAGTTTACAAAAGAAACTAGAAAATTTGTAAAAAGGAAAGAAAATTTATATAGTTACCGTATATACAAGTTGACCAAAAGTTTAGGAAAAGAAAACAGCTTCATACAGTATAAAACTTATTTTTCTATTTTCATATTTGAAAAGAAAAACACAAAAATTGTTTTAAGACATTGTCATAAAAATTGGATGGGGTGAGAGAGGCTCGAACTCTCGACCTCAGGATCACTCAGGAGCTATGAGACCTACGCGCTAGCCAACTGCGCCACCACCCCAATTGATGATGACCATATCCTCACGATGTATTTATTGAAATTTCTCAGCTAGTACTCTCTCTTGTTCAGATGGACAAGCATAGGACCAATCGTATCATTAAGGTCTTGCTCTACAAAGATTTAAAGAAGGATCTTCCTGAGATTTCCTTTTTTTTTTTTTGGAATAAATATTCAAAACTCTGTCTGAAGAAGACGAATTATTTTGAAAGACCTCTTGATAAGATTCATTCCTTATTCTCATGGATTTCAGGTCAGTTTTTCTAGAATCTTGATTAGAAAAATGAATGTATATATACGAACCTTCACAGAATTTTGTTATGTCGGATCCGTAAAATTCCGAGAACTTATCAAAAATCTTACATTTGAAAGAAACGGTACAAACTTAAACAACAACACAAGAACATTAGAAGAAACCATAGGAAAAAGATATGTCTTATTCCTTTATTGTCTCTGCAATTCTGATCTGATCTCTTTGTTTCTTTAGATCCTCAAAGCTCCAATCCCTTCTAATCCCACTGCTTCTGACCAGCTTGGGCTCGTCAAGATCCCCATAGACCACGACCTCCGCGCTGTACAGCCTGCGATGATGTCCCGTTTTGACCCGTCTCACTACAGGTAACGTTGATCTGTTGTCCCTTACCATCTTTTCATACCCAATATTTCCTGTAAAGCTTGAATCTTTACGGCTTCCTATGTCTCTGTCCGAGTCTGATCTTTGCAGGATGTGGCAAGCGAGGCAGTTAAGACTCATCTTTCTTGTTTCCTAAGGAAGTTGAATCGATTATGAGAGATTTTTCTCCTCTGGGTTTTGATGTTGCTTGTATTGATAAGAAAATGGGGGGAAACTCTTAAGTATAGGCTTTTTGGTATCACAAAGAGAGCTCAAATCCTAACTGAGAACCTTTTGGGGGAGGGGATGTTCCTTCTAGGGTTTCGGTTGTTTGATTGGCAAGAAATAAGAATTTGAGTCCCAAATGAAAACCTTTTTAATGGGTTTTGATAGTTTTGTTGTTGAGGAAACAGGTGACAGAAAAAGAAAACCGAAATTAGTTTGAAGATAGAATAAAAACGAATGTGAGATCTTTTTGGGTCACAATTTGCTTATTTTTAGTTTCTAAAATCGTTTGGTGGATAAGGGAAAGTATATTTTTTTATCCATCGGTAGATGCTTCTTATGGTTGTTCTATTTTTATCTTGCAGCTTACAGCTTAACTCAACGACGTTTACTTCATGAAACCGACACATTAGCATCTTTTTTTTGTTTGTTCATATAATTCAACTACTCTCCTTTTATATTGGAGATTTCCGCAATTCCTTTGAAAATCTTACAAATTTCTTAATTGCAATTATGAGTTATTCCTTCTTAAACAATATAATGGTCTTTATGGCTCTTTTTTCTTCATCCTTGTCCTCTGGAAAATCTTCTTATTCTCTTTGAAAGGTGCATGTTTTCTTCTTACGATTTAATGAGAACTAATGTTATTCGTTTCTGAGTAAAGTCCGATACATCTAAGTAAACAAACGTCGTTGAGTTTCAATAATCCAACAAGAGTTTGTTCTTGCAAAGCACGTATTTTTATTTAATGACAATTTTTACAAAACAGAAACTCAATTATACAAAAATATTGATATTTTTCAGTAAAACAAACAGAGTTTACGGTATATATTTCCCCTAGTAAAAGAATTAAATAAATGATTTGGAAATGGAAAAGGGGGTATAAGAAGAAAAAAAAAATATTTTTTTGAAAAAAAAAATATGAAATGGAGAAAAGTATAAACCTTTCAGACCCATAAGTTTGAAGCAACAGAGCTGAGCTTCTTCTTTGTCTCCTCTGCCATGTTCTTTAACGACGACATGTCTTGCTGGGCCTGACACAATATAAAACGACATAGTTTCATTACTTGGTATTGACAAAAATGATCATGAACAGTAAAGAGGAATGAGAAGTGATGAGGCGAGACCTGGAGAGAGAGGCGGTTGATAAGATCACCGGCACTGAGATCCAGAGGAAAATCTCCGTCATCGTCTCCAAACAGATCAGCACTAGAGATTGCTGATGAACCCTGTTCATAAAGTGAGATTGCTGTCATTAGTACTAACGAGTACGTTTCTTTAAACGCAATAGGAAAACAAGTATATTATAGTCAAGGCAAATGATGTTTATCACGCGGAAACGTACGGAGAACTTCTTTAATGTACTTTTGGCCTCAAGGTCCGCGGAGCTGTTCTCATTTCCAAAGTACTGAGAAGAGGAGATTGATTTCGCGTTTGAGAATTTCTTGCGGGCTTCATCTGTTTCTTGAATCTGGTCAAATGCAAGAGAGGATGAGTACTACTACAACATTTTTAAGTAAGACTAATAATGACATAAGAGGGAGAAAGAAGGGAGCTCATTTGCACTTTTGAGGAACTTGTGATCGGTTTCTTCTGAAACCCGCCTCCGTTCACCTCGTACTCCTCGAAGAAGCCTGATGATTTTGGTGGAGCTACATGACCAAACACTTGAGGGCTGCTGCTCATTTGAACACCGTCCGCATAATCAAAACGAGAGGAAAACGATGACCTGGCTGATTTAGCTGACGGTGTACCGTTAGATGGAGAAGTCGCCGGTATAACAACAGCTTCCTCCGGCTTCTGATCATAGAGAGTCCCGCTCGACTGCAGATTCTCAAAAGTTACTTATGTAAGTTCCCCAAACGCAAAAAAAAAAAAATGATGGATCAAGCTTTCTCCAAAGCTTCTATAGAGAGTCAAAGAGCACATTTTACTGACCTTAGAAGTTAGCTTTCGGGCGCCAAGTCCACCAGTTTTACCTGTCTTCTTCGCGCCAAGAGGTTTCTTAACGGACCGAGAAACTCTCGGTGAGACGGCAGCTTCAGGCTTTTCTTGCTGCTTTAGAGTATTATGACTACTCTCTTTAGGAGCTTCACTGGTTTTGATGCTGGAGAGCACATTGGGGACTTGTGAAGAATCAGGAGATGGAGGCAAATCCAATGCCTCGGCCATGCTTTTAGCAACTTCTTTTGCAAGAGTCTGTTTATACAACTCAGCAGCTCTCGAAGTATACTTGGCCTCTGTCTTATCTCCTCCGCTCCATCCATGCTGCTTGAAGAAGACATGCGCCCTGCAGTTTCCTCCATACACCATCATCTTCAACTGCTCAGGGCTCCATGAGTCTAAATTGGTAGACCTAATGATAAACCGCCTCATCAGCAATCAGCATTAGTCTTTTGAAAAATACCTTCTAAAGTGGCTAAGATGAGAATCTCTAAACCCTAATATGCGATTCAACTTCAAACTCAACAGGATAAATCTTGAGTTCCAGATGAAAAAACAATATTTGTTTTATGAATCACAATTTGTCCCATACGGAAACCCAGAATCGAATGGAAGTGAATTTAAGGAAAGGAGAAATCGAATCTGAAGACGGAATCTAGCAATCAATCACCTGACGAAGCTGATGTGGACGCCAAGACTCCGATGAACAGCTGAGCAATCGATGCAGAGAAAGATCCCGTAAGTTACGGAGGCCCATGTTGGGCTCTTCGCATTGCAATCGAAACAAATCTGCAAAAACCCAAAGATCAATTCAACAATTCCTAAACCCAGAAATTATAAGAACTGCCAGATCCGATCGCCGAAGTTCCAGATCTTAATCGGATATACGAATTTGTATATCAGCGGGTGATATTATTACCTTATTATCCGATTTCGATTTCAGCTTCTTAAAGACAGAGGTCTTATCATTGAGATTCTCGGACGCCATTGTAGGGAGGAAACAATCTTCTCCAGAAAAAAAGTTCCGGAGATGTGAAAAAAATTTGAATCGAAGGGAAGAAGGAGAGCGATTAAAAAAAAAATTCGAAATTCACGCAAGAAATCGAGGGGTTTATAAACAAGGTTGCGTAATATCCAGCCGTAAGGTGGGTTACTTGAATTGACCAAAATGACCTTTTTAACTATCTCGCGCGTTTTGTTTCTGCGAGATTCCTAACGGTAATAAGAGGTGGTTAACAACTTAACCCAACGAGCCAATTTTGCATTTACCCCACCACGAGAGGTTATTAACACTTTGCAGATTTTTTTGTCTCCGTAATTAACCCTTACTTATTTTATTACACGTCATTAACCGTCACTTATATGTAAAAGAATTCATTCTTGTAACAAAGCAATTATTATATAATTTACAAGCTCTTCTCATTATAACCAAGAGTGCAAATTAAAACCGTAATAGAGAGAGAAAGCTAATTTTTCTTTTTTTTTGCTTTAACTTTAAGGGAGAGTTAGTTTCGTTCATGTGTTTCTTGGAAAGGGAGCTTAAGGAGAGTTTATCTGTCTCTATCGATGTTTGAGTGTTGGATAAAAAAAAAAACTGTAAGAGTTGGTTCGAGAGTGAACAACAGAACAAAAATAAAAATCCATAAAATTTTGTGTCCAAGAGGAATGTTGTAGACTTGTAGTTATCAACTTATCACATATTAATATCTTGTAGACCATATCTCTTCAGATAGTCTTGGGGTTGTATGATTATTTCTTAATTATTTGTTTCTTGATTTTTTGAAAGGAAAACATACATGGTGATTGATTGTAATATTCTATTGGGGTCAATTTAAGAAAAATAAAAGGTTGAGGGATTTCGAATGACAACAAAAAGTAGAGAAAGGTAAAGGGTGGTGTGGTGATGATGACAAGTGACAAGGGAGAGAAGGTGCGTCCGTGTGCGTATGTCTGTCGCCACTCTTTGTCGGTTCTCTTCTCCATTTCCTCAACACACTCCCTCACGTTTCCCTATTTCCCCTTCTTCTTCTTTCTTGTCTCTTTTCAAATACAAAACTATATAAAAAAAATTGTATTCTTATAAAAATGGAGACGGCGTCTTCATTCATTCACGTGTTTGGTAGGGTTTCCATGCACATGTAACCATGTTACTGCTTCTCGTTTTTGTTACGAATATAAAAGTATTTCACAAAGTTATCAACCTTTTCTTTTTACTCGATAATTGACATTTTCTAGTGTGAAAAACATACCAAGGAAAAAATATGTCTATTTCAAGTATGTATTGTTTTCTACTTTTCGATAAATCTAAGACTAACAAAAAAAGCCTTTGGCTAGGATGTAGGATAAGAAAATAATGGAATAAAAATGTTTTACAGCTTTAACAAAAATCAAATATCTTTTAGATTATTCTTTTATCTGCAAATACTTAAGATATTATTATGTATTATCATCAAAAGTTAATTGGATCAATAACCATTGAGAGTAAAAAAAAACGAGAAAATAGCATTACAACTTGTGTGATTGAGTATTATGTATTGTCATCAAAAGTTAATTGGTAAATGAGAGTAAAAAGTGAGAAAATAGCATTACAACTTGTATTATTGAGTAAATATATATTATGGATTTTTTTTTTACAACGTATATTATGGATTGATGGGTTAATTTAATAGTTGATACAACGTATGGAGTTGTAATGTAGGATACAATAGTGTGAGCAAACGAAATGAACATTTACAAGTCAATTCCTTTTAATCCTTTTGAAGTAGAAGATACTGTACATGCAACCCAATTATGCAAAATCACAAAACCATTCGACAATTTTGTGTCTTAAGTGACAAATGATTATCAACCTGAATTGGTAAGAACTGATAACTAACACATTGGTCTTGGAAATGACCGGAGCTTTTCAACAGATGATTTCATCAAAGGATATCCAATTTTTATGTATAAAATCAACATACGAATTAATAAACCTAAAACTCAACCTCTGTACAAAGGAGATCTTTGTTGAAACATCATTTTGGAGACTCTTGATTGTCGAAAAACCTTGATCGGACTTGGAAAGTACCAGCCATTTCCCTTACTCGTCACCGGCGCCGGAGAAAACGGCAGTTCTCCGGCATCGGAAGCTGCGACGGATCTCGACTTACTCATAATCGTAGCAGCCTTGGTTTTCGCCTCTCCCCTGTTTCCTCTAAACAGTCTCCAGAGCAAACGTCCACGACCCGGTTGGATATCCGATCCGGTTACCGAGATGATCGGTTCCGGTTTAGCAGACCAGAGAGAAGGAACCGCCATCGATTTCGTTCTCCGAAACGCCGGCTCGCACTCGATCAGGTTGGCAACGCGGCCAACCGATCCGATACCGGCGAACGGAACGTGGCCTTCGCCGGTGGAAACGGAAGCGCGTGGGGTACAAGAACAAGGGAGATCGTGGGCGCAATCGGGGCAGAGGGAGGAGAGGCGTTCGTGGAGGCAGAAAGGACAAACGCCTCCACCGGAGACGAAACGGCGTTTCGAAAGGTCGTGTTTTGAGCATTTCTCCCAGACGCTGCTGCGTCCTCCGTTGTCGAAACGCAAATCCATTAGAGTTTTTTTCTCGTCTCTAATATCTCTTTGTTGCGTGCTCTCTCTCTCCGAAATACAACAGTTCCTTCGGGTTGAAGGAGAGAGAGAGAGAGTGAGAGGCGGAGGTTATAAAGTGGATTTTTTAATTTGATTAAGCACTAAGCAGTAAGCCCCACTCTGCTTAACAACCTTAACCTTGGTTAGTTTTGGTTTAGTGAAACTAACTACAGTACAAGCAGCTCCCGAATTATATGCCTTCCTTATCGATTCTTTTCGTTTGCTATTAACGAAGTAACGCTTCTTCATTTCACACTTATTTACAGACCAACACACACATAAATCAATTATTAAATAAAACCACCCCTCATCAATTTCTTTACGAATTAGAATTAGGTCACCAGTTGAAAATAGTTATACATTTTAACCAAATCCAATAATAAAATGTAAAAATCTTGAATATTAGAGCTAAAGCAGAACACAAGGGAAAATCATATTTTAGAGGGATGGCTGATTCCTAGTGTTATCAATGCTAATCGAAAAATCTAGATCGCCGCTTGCGGAATCTATAGTGTTTGTTACAACGATTGTCTGACTTGTACAAATTATTCGACATCTTTGAGTTCGTGGCACTTGGACGAAACCAAAGACACTTTTTCGGTTTTAAATGAGAGTCAACTTTCAACATAAACCAGTGAAACAGGGGAACAAGTTAATTATAACCAGAAACAGAGACGACGTTTTAAAATTACACATACATATGATATAGCACAAAAAGAGTCATCGTTATACAAAGCACATGAACAAAAAAGGATGGTTTTGATTCTGGGATTGTAACGAAAAGGGAATATGATTCCTGCGACTTGTCAAATGCGCAGCAGCCAAGAGCCATGGGAATAAAAAACTGGTTAATTTCTCAGTTGAGATGGTTTCATCTGTAGCAACATGGACCAAGAAGCGTACGGGACAAACAAACTGCGCAACGTACCAGTATTTTGAATGGCATGAAATGAATTTTTTTTTCTTCTTTTCAGTAATGGTTCCAGAGCGCAAACGTCTGTTCATGGCTGGTGGAGCTAGGTCTGGTATATCGCGGATGTCTTTGTTGTTTGGGTTCACAATCTATCAAAAAGAGAAAAAAAAGTAGAAGTTACGAGTATGATAATGTGAATACAATAACCAACCGGGCAAATACCATATGGAAGAAAAGATAACAAAGAACCAAAGATGAGTATAGAAGACCTATGAGAAACTTAAACATGAATCAGAGAGTGTGTGTGTTCATATACATATATATATATATATATAACACACATTTGAATAAGAGAGGAGTTGAGAGGTAGGTACCTTGACGATGATGATTGCCATGACACCAATGACGATAAGGAAAAAAAATGCCATAATACATTTCTCTGTGGCAACCTGAAAGCAGAAAGTAAGTACAAAAGGTACAAGCGAAGAGCTGCAGCTAAACTGGAGTGCTATTAAGAGATAATAAGAAGATTTCGGAGACTGACCTGCTTACCAATCTCCTTGACCAGCTTAGAGGCTTTCTTGAGTGAGTAATGAATGGAATCGAGTTAAACTATCTTAGTGCACAATTTGTAGACTTAATTATTCTTACAATGTTGGTGAAATTTAATTGATGTTATTGGATGTTAAAGTTACATGCAATGTTTTATTTATCATTGTAATTCAAAGATTTGCTAAGAATCTCTTTTGATGTATCACTAGTACTGTACAAATCTAACTTTTTGTTTGCCGGCCTTCTCCTATTGCATTGTGGACAAGACATTCACACACAAAAGAGACAAAAATAAACATTACATATATGGTCCACCATCACTAGTTCTGACCACCCCTCCTCAGTTTCTTGAGGAAATAGGTCACTAGTTGAAAATAGTTATACTTTTTGACCAAATCCAATAATGAATTGTAAAAATCTTCAATATTAGAGCTTAAGCAGGCCATAGGGGAAAATCATTTTTTAGAGGGTTGGGGAGTGTAGACTGCAAAACCTACCCCCATAAACGGATTTGTAATGGCTGTGTTTCTAGTGTTTGTCTGTTACAACGATTGCCTGACTACTACAAATTATTCACATCTTTGAACGAAACCAAAGACACTTTATCGGTTGTTCCACACACTTATACTTTCAACATAAACCAATGAAACAGAGGAACGAGTAAATTATTACCAGAGCACGAAACAGAGACGACGTTTTAAAATTACACATACATATAATATAACAAAAAAAAGAGTTATCATTATACAAAAGCACATGAACAAAAAAGGATGGTTTTGATTCTGGGATTGTAGCGAAAGGGAATATGATTCCGAGCCATGTGAATATAAAACTGGTTGATTTCTCAGTTGATGTGGTTTCATCTACAGCAACATGGACTTACGGGAAGTGCCAAGAAGCGTACGGGACAAACAGCGCAACGTACTAGTATTTTGAATGGCATGAAATGAGTTTTTTTTTTCTTTCTTCAATAACGGTTCCAGAGCAAACGTCTGTTCATGGCTGGTGGAGCTAGGCCTGGTATGTCGCGGATGTCTTTGTTGTTTGGGCTCACAATCTATCAAAAGAGTGAGAAAAAAGTAGAAGTTACAAGTATGATAATGTGAATACGATAACCGCTCAAATAGCATATGGAAGGAAAGATAATATTCTGAGTGCGTGTGTGTGCATATATATATATATATATATAACACATTTGAATAAGAGAGGAGTTGAGAGGTAGGTACCTTGACGATGATGATTGCTATGACACCAATGACGATAAGGAAAAGAAATGCCATAATACATTTGTCCGTGGCAACCTGAGAGAAGAAGTGGAGAAAATAAGTACAAAAGGTACAAGCGAAGAGCTGCAGCTAAACTGGAGTGCTATTAAGAGGATATAAGAAGATTTGGGAGACTGACCTGCCTACCAATCTCCTTGACCAGCTTAGAGGCTTTCTTGAGTGAAAAATGAATGGAATCGAGTTCATTGACAACTCTGCTCATTTGTTCCGTCTGAACAGTGGAATGGTAAACTATCTTAGTTCTCATAAGAAGGAATGTTGTAAAGAACAACTAATATCCAAAAAGAAGCACCGATTGTTTAGAAACAAAGCAGTGTGGCCTGACTACAAACCTGAGCCTTGAGAGCTGCTGAAGTATCTGTTCCCACATTTATAGTCTCTTGAACAATCTGTTGTCAAAGCCACAAAATTGCACTAAGATTATGCTTTCGTGAAGATTTGAAAATCGAGTAAATTGTTATGGGGGCAGATCCATGGCTAAACAGATAAACAGAACTAACCTTTTTCCCTCTCTCAATGGCTTGATCTGTGTCATCCATCATGGAGTTTCCTTTATTCATTAGTTCTTGATTTGACATATCTGAGAGTGATTAAGTTCCCAGTCAGTATATAACAAAAAGACCAGATCTTCAAAAGTGCAAATAAAAAATCTCATTGTTGGATAGTTGCAAGATCCTTCAACGACGAGATTTAAAGGCTTACTTGAAGCTAATAAGACATTCTCTTCCATGTGTTCTTCTGCAGGTCCATCGAAAAGATCTACACGTTTGTTATTACTTGCAAGGTTGGATGAGTATCTGCACAACCATCCTCATTATCATCATCATCATCAATCACCATAAACATGACAAGAAGCAAACAACTCCACCAAACAAAAAAATGAAATGTAATTGTAGAACTAAGCCAAGTGTCACCTACTTCTTCTTGAGAGCAACATATGAGTTTAGTTCCTTAACCTGCACAAACCCAACATCACCTGAGACATTAGAGAACTCTGAAAAAAACTATTGAACAGACCTCACGCTAATGTCAAAAAGCCTACCATAGACTGTCGTCTATCGTTCAACATCCTGTTCGTGTTGGCGTCATTTCCGTTTTCCAAGCTTTTAACTTCCCTATCGAAATCTTTAATAAGGCTGCAGAGAAGAAAACATAATCACATCATCAAAACCAGATATAATAATAAAAACAAACGAAATCAACAAAGTAAAAAAAGTTACAAAGAAATTGTTACCTCTTACAGTCACGCATTTTGTCAGTGAGTTCTTCAAGCTGCCTACTTTGCCTATTAGCATCTTTGATCTTCTCCAGCTTCTGGAATCCATTTCTGGTGGATATCAAGACAAGACAACATATGAAACATTGTGAACCCAACAAAAATGGAAAAAAAAAACACAGATCGCATATGGAGAGAGATTCTCACGATAAAGCACGGAAAATGTCGTTGATTTGTCCTTCGATCTCAGCCAGCTCTTCGCTAACCGCAGATATTGGATCCATCTCTTATTATCCCAGGAAGAACAAAAATTAAATTTTGAAATATACAAAGACAACAATGCCTCTTCTTCAGATCCACCAAACAAATTTTCAAATGTCGTCGACCACGAATCGACTCGCACAGATTAGATCCGTATGGATCCGGAATGCTAAACAGCAGAATCTCCGAATCGAATCACTAGCTCGTCGTGACCTCGAACAAAACAATCGAATCTTTATGTCAAAAAATTACAGAGTAGGAAACGCGCAAATGGTAATAACCAAACCCGTGGGATTTTTCTTTTTAAATATTTGTTTCAGATCTACGACCAATGTGGATGCCCAAAATCGATGACGAAGAGACAGAAATCGAAATCTCGAGCACGAGCTCTCCCTTCACGCAGATTTTTTTTTTTTTTTAACCTATTTTCTCTCGGACATTTTTTTGTTGTTAATTTTTTTTGGGGGAATTTCTTTGCTCTCTTGTTGCCATTGATTTGGCTCGGAGGGACGAAAACGAGAGAGAGATTTGAAAAAACTACGCCACCGAAAATCAGTGGGACCCTCCACGACTCCGTTTGTCAGTAGAGAACCCATATAACCTGGGACGTCAGATTGTCCACCTCTATAGATCCAACGGTCAATACTCTTACATTTAGCTTATTCGATAATTGACTTAAAACGAAGTCATCATAAAATAAAGACAACAATATACTGTATACTGTGTATTTCAGTATCTTGTTTCCAAACAAGAAGAAATACAGATAGACAAACAAGAAGAGATACAGATTTGATCATAGACCGCCTTATCATAAGCCGATCTTCGGTTATAAAACTGATCGACCAGATTTCTACTTGTTTAATGAAGTTTGGCTACAAGTTTGAGATTGTGTAATGCCAGTGGCAATCCATGATCATAGCCAACTGTATTGTTGTGATTTACAAAGATACCTTTTCTGTTATCTAAAGGCCTCATATATCTAAAAGGTTTGAAACTAGCTTAGTAAAAGAAAAAGAGCAAAAACTAAATGACCTATGAGATTTTTAACATATGTTGATGCTAACTCCTGTGAAAGGTTTGTGATTGGACAGCCTTCACGGCCGCGACTCTAGCGGCATTCGCAGCTCTGTTTGCAGCCATCGCCACTCTGTTGATTCTCTCTTCCACTTTCACAACTTCACCTGCTTTCTCAGCTGCTTTCCTTGCTTTCTGATGAATCCAATGCAAAAGAGAGAACACGTTGGTCATCAGATTCTGTAAACTCAGTTCTCACAATGTATTTTTGGCACTGCACTGAAGATAAGTCTACTTACCTCAACAGCGTCAACAACTTTGGAATGGCTGATTGTAAAAGATGATCCAGGACGGATAGTCTGCTCGCTAGCACAACTGAGAATACCGTTTTCCCAATGACCAGCCTGTGTCTCACCATTCTTGAAAGTGTACATACCGAGCCCTTGCCTTCTTCCTTCATGCCAAGCTCCTTCATACTTATGCCCATTTTCGAATTTATACACTCCGAAACCGTGCATCTTGTCTGCAAAGTACTCCCCTGCATATGCATCGCCATTTCTGCAACAGAGGCATAACTCCCAAGTCAATATAGTTTTAAAGCCATGATACAGCTAAACCACACTTGAGCAGGGACTATTTCATGCAATTGCTTAAGATCGACGCTAATGGCAGCAACAGAAAAGTCTGAACTTTGATATTCGATACACATATTTTGAAAGGTGATGACAACCATGACATGTAACAAACAGAACCCAATCATCTATCAAATGTAAGAAAACCGAAATTGAAAGCCTTTGAGAGGTCATCTACATTGACCATTGATCCAATGGTGAAGAACGACCACAATAAAAGGAAAGGCAACCTCACGACCCTTCAAAAACTATGGAACTCAGGATCGAGATCACTCAGATGAGCAACATATACATGGATCTAATACACCACAATAAGCCACTGCACAACTTAAGTCTCTGTCCGATTCTGATTTCACTAAACATCATCAACATGTGTATAGAGAGCACTAACTATCACAGGTCAAAGCACAACCATATTCCAAAAACTCAAATGACTGTTCAGAGTAAAATCCAATGAAGAAGAGCAAAAAGTCTAATGCTTTCACCTGAAATTGTAACGACCAAGGCCATGTTTGGTACCCCATTTGAACTCTCCAACATATCTACTTCCATCCTCAGAGGTATATACACCACACCCATGGCACTGCCCATTGGACCACTCACCACCATACTCATCTCCTGTGAAAAATCTATACACTCCGATTCCATGTCTTAGCCCAAGCCTGTATTGACCTCGGTACCTACTTCCTTTAGCCCATGTTTCTACTCCATACCCATCATATTTCCCATCAATCCACTCTCCTTCGTATCTGCCTTTCATGGAATAGTAATAAACTCCACTTCCTGAACACTTGCCTCTGTGAAACTCTCCCTCATACACATCACTGGTGCCATACTTCTGAACCCAAGAGCCTGAGCTGGTCTTACTCTCCGCGACTGGCTTCGAGCCGATTGACCAAACAACTTTCTTCGTGCTCGGCAGAGAGGAAGAGAATCTGTCGGGGATAAGCTTGAGGGTCAACAGTCGAGCGATAAACAGGCGGATCGAGGGTAAGTGAGGTAGAGCGAATTTGAGAGAGAGCGCGAGGACGAAGGAGAGAGCGATACTCGCAAAGACTAGCAGAAGAAAGATACGGAAGCTGATTACGAGAAAGAAGACGTATAAAGGAGGGACGGCGAGAAGCAGCAGGAAACGAAGGTGGAAACAAATCAAACGGGCTCGAAGGATATGGCGGAGGAGCTTCCTCACGAACCGATCAGTCGCGAACGGTAGCGTTAATCGATACGATGATAGAAAAGACAAAAGATTCGACGGGAAGAAAGAAGAAATCGATCCCAAGCGTGCTCTGGCGCCTCTTCGTCGGAAATTGTCAACGCCGGCGGCGTGATTAAACGTATTAGACGGTTGAGCCACCACAGACCTTTTGTGCGGAGTCGAGATTGGGATTTGAGGCGATGAATCCGGGATATCAACCGTGAAATGACTCTGACCTTGCGGATGATTATACACAGTGAAGCCTGCGCCTGAATCAATGGCGGTTCGACATGGGGATTTATCTAGGCTCTGAAGTTGGAAAGGACAAGGATGATGGTGAATCGGATTAGGGATTGGGTTAGGATCCGAATCGGAGGATAAACAACCGGCGGTTTCTTTCCCGATTAATCGTCTTTCTGTTCCAGATGATTTTTTCAGATGCATTTACATAAAGATTATGGAAATTTGGAAGAGGACGAAGGAAAAGATCGAGAAGAAAATGATGGGGTAATTTAGGGTTCTTGAAAATCAGGCTTCTCTCAATTCAAAGCCTCTGGGTTTTTGTTCCTCTAACTGCTTCGAGTTTTCACAAAGAAGAAGAAGGAAGAGAGCTTGATTTTGAACTTTTGAAACTAAAAGGTAGACACCCCTGTGGGAACGTAATTAACCTCAGAGTTCCACTTATCTACCAATATGCCATTCATTGACCGCCCTTGACAATTTGATTGTTATTTTTTCTGAGGGGGTTAAAAATGACATTGTAATTAATTTATGATTAAGAAATCTGGTTATTGATATAATATATTCTCTTTAGGTTCCCAATTGGAGCATTAGAAAATACTAATTGCACAAGTCTCAGGTGATTTCAAATTGATGGTGTCTTAACAAATGGATTATGTAGTTTCTCTATTTAATTTATTTGGTGGTTTTGGTTAAGTAACAACCAATAATTGTATGATCAGTCAAGTGAGATACAATTATTTTTTCGAGATTACTTCCAAAAATTTAAAATTAAGTGAACCCCCTTTGGAATTTTGTAAAGCAGATAATCAAATCAAACACAAACCAATTTTTAAAAGGAGCTGTTTGAGATTAAGACATGTTTCAGAATAATAAAAAGAAGAAGACAAGCTATACATGTCATAGTCTATAAAAAATATCTGCAATCAGTCTAAAACTACTAAATACAGATTTGTAAGTAATTTAACATCTAGACAAAAATCTTGAGATATTATTATGGCTTGAATATAAACGATAAGTACGGTCATGGAAAACTAGAGACTACCATAAGGCCAACCAATCCCTGAAAATCTCAATGATCGGATAAGTTATTGGCTTTTCACTTTCATCATTATTATCCAAAGTTTTTATGGCCACCCATACTCTCTCTATACACATCATGTTCCTATGTACACAATTGTTATCTCTATCCTATTTCTATATGGATATCCTAATTCAAGAGTAATCTTTCATGGATCCCTCAAAATCATTCTATATAACAATGTGGAAATAAGTTTGGAATCAGCAATAAAGTATATGAAAAGTAAGTAGATGCCTTCCTGTTTCAACCAATCCTTAAATAGTAACATGTAACAATGTCTTTCTTTTTCCGGTTTCCAATCAAAACCAAATCTGAGATGAGACTGGGACAAACAAACAGACATACAAGAGAGTTAGCTAATTTTCTGGTACTTAGCGACAACTAAGACACCTCATCATTCCTATTTTTATTCAAGATTCTTCCACATCATCGTTGAACAACAAATTTTGGTATGAACTAATAAACAAGTGGACGAAGAAAGATTGTAAAGTCATGGATTCGGTTTAGACAAAGCATTTCCCAAGACTTTTGTCGTTTCCGGTGCACATATGTCTAGATAACGGAACACACACACACACAAACAATAGTTGCAGTACATAACAATGCAGACTAAACTACGCAACACCAATTGACCATAAGAGAAAGACCAATCAATACCGACTGTTTCTTTTTTGTATTTTCAGGTTTCCAAAACTATTACTTATCCACTGAACATCCAATGAAAGAAGAAGAAGAATCTGAATACAACCGGCAACAGCAGCAGCTCCTCAGTAGAGCCTACCGGTGCAGTTGGAGGCACCACAATAGCAGTTTTTCTTCCTGATATTACCGTCAGCGTCGAGCACCTGATCGATCTTGTAATTGTAATGGTACGAGAGTTCCACCAGTGGAGGGATGTTGTCCTGTGCAAACAGCATCACATGAGGGATTCTCTCCTCCTCATGGTCGTACAATACGTCCTGTGCGTACAGATTCGGCATGCAGCTATGGTTTATAAACCTCCCTATGTTCCCTTTCCGTGCAGCGTCTATGGTGAACCCGTTCGTCTCATGCTCCTTGTTGCCACTCTCTTGCTTCTTGTTGCCAATGTCAAAGAGATACTCATCTTTCCCAGCAAGTCTCTCAGCTTCATTCTCCTGTAGGAGCTCTCCTGCGTACTCACAGATGAAGCTTCCGATGGGGATCGACTCCAGCGACCTCACTCCCCATCCTCTTGACTCGGTTTTGAATATCTCCAGCTGGAGCTTGATCCCTCTCTGTGAGGATCGGAGGTAGCAATTAGGCGGGCATTTGCAGTTTGGGCCACACTCATAGACCATAGGCTTTGCACAAACAATGGCTCCATCGTGGTTGTACGGTAACTCTCCCCCGTTTTTCGCAACGCAGGCACAGTTTCTTGACTCTGTGCAGCGTTTCGTGCAGCCGCAACCCTTGGGAGGAATTGGTCTGCACCAGTCCGGATATATCATTTTAACCGTGTAGACAAACTGAGGCGGTTTCTCGTCATCTACTAGGTTCACAGCGCATATAGGTAACTTCTCTTTCCCTCCTGAGATATCATCGCAGCAAAGACCTTCCCTGACCTTAGATCTCTTTGTTCTCTTCAGCACTTTCCAGGTCAGCTCGGGTTGTCCAGGAATACGCCGCATTCTGTACTTGAAGACGAGCTTGCCGTGAGACCCGATTTCTTTCCAGAACTCTTCCACCAGATACAACCCATCGTAAACGTACTTCTTTGGTTCACCTGATGAGCTCGCTGTCTTTTGGTTGCCTCTTATGACCCGCACAGGGGTTTTCTTGTCTTTACTGTTTGCCAACGCGAGGTTCCCCTTTACAAGCTTTTGGTCTTTGGGTTCATTGTTTATCTTCCCCTTCTTTATCACATTTCCTCCTTGCCCTGTGTAGACGAAGGAATCCGAGTTATCAAGCTCGTCTTGGTAACATCCAGAGGCTACAATACTCGTGGCGACTAGCTCTTTCTTCTCGTCTTTCATACAGTCGATACCGCCTTGACTGTGTCTATGCATACCAAGAATCATCAGCTCGATTCTATACTGAAACTCATCGCCAACCTCAACACCAGGGACATGTCCCAGAATCCGAGTACCAGTGTTGAGATACTTCCCTTCTCTCTTGAGGATATTCGAAGCATCCGTAGCCACTTTGAACATGCCACCTTTGCTTTTGATGGCCTTTGCTTCTTCCACCTGCAGGATTTTTCTACAATGCCCATAGAAGAGACGCAGAGTTTCCTTAACTTTCTGTCTAGCGACACCTTCGCTGCTTGAACCACTAGGACGCGAAGGAGGAAGCTCAACCTCTACTGGTATGCTTTCAGCAAGTGGTTGTTGACCCAAACTGTCTCCAGAATCCGACTTCTTCTCTTCCATCGATATAACAGCATCCTTCACGGTCTTTCCATCCACTGAAAACTTGCTCCCTGTGTTTGGAGGGAAGTCTCTTGCTGCAGTAATCTTTCTCCGCCTGTAAACAGAACCCAACACCGCACTTTTATCTTCTTTTGGCAAGCAAATGCTCAAAGGCTGGGCCTCCACCGCCTCAGTCATATCTACTCCGCTTGTGTTCTCCAGCAGATTCATGTTAACTCCATGAGAAGATTCAGCTCCCTTGGTGGTGACATCAACGGGTTTCAAGTGACGTCGCTCTCCCATGTTCTCTCCAGGAATCAACTCAACCGCAGCTTCAGAATATGGAACACACTCATCACCAGAAACATTCATCTTCTTGCAACTCTCAACTGATACCGTTCTCGGTTCGGAACCTGAGCCACAATCAGTAGGAAACTCTCTCAACGCTTCAACCCTAAACCGCTTGGCCTTGCGCCGCCCCAATGGATCTGTGTTACTACCATCCAGCAAATCTGTTGTTGCTGCTGCTTGTTTCTTTTCAGAAGAAGCACGCAGTTCTGATGACTTGTTGTCCATTCCTACTCATGTAATAGAAGATAGAAGACGAATATAAGCCAAAAACACAAGCCGAAGTAGTTGTAACTTATAAACACCATTTTAAACAGAGATCTTGCGATCAATTGATTCCTAGACACAGAAACTTCATTTAAATCACTGTAAACTCTTCGCAACCACTAACAACACAGTATATGAACTAAATCCATGAATAATACGAAAGAATCCATCCAGATTTTCCAGATTTTTCAGGATTCAAAAATAGAAATTTCACAAACAGGACCAGAATCGAGAAATTGTAAAAAAATACAGGGTTACGTTTCAACCTAAATGCAGCAAAAAAGAGACGATTTCGTGTCTCCTAGCAACGACAACAACGAAAAGGGCAAAGAGAAAGTCAGATCTTACCGGGAAAAATCTTCGACCTAGAGTGGCGGAGGGAATCGATTTGGGGTTTGAGAGAGCGGGAGAAATGAGTCTGGGAACAGAAGAAAATCAATTTTAGTTAAACTATTTCCCCGAGATTCAGTATTAAATAATACTCTTTACTGCCAGTAACAATGTCTCACCACAGCGTTTCCGGTCACAATGTCTCTGTAACTCTCTAATTCTGCCTTTCACCTATAGAGAGAGATTAGGGTTTTACTTGTTTTTTTTATGAGATGTTGTTTTGAGAATTATTGTGTTGGGAATATATATAAGAAAATATCTTAAAATTTAGATTTTTGGAAATATACATTGAAAATACGGTTGATAAAATTATAAATTTACGCGTTTTTGTAAAAGATACATGGAATTTTAGTCAACCAAAAATTTACAAATTTATTTTAACCACATTAATTTAGATATAATATATATGATCATTATACTTAAGTTAAATTACTATAACTATTAAACAAACGACATCGTTTTTAAACGATAAACATAGCAAAATTTACAAATTTTTATTGATTTTTTTCATAATTATTTATTTTCAAAGAAAAACTCTAAAATCAGTTATCAATCAAGCATCAATTTTGAAATTTTTGTATCTTCTTTTTGTTTCTAAAAGTGAATATCAATGGATAAGTTTGTTCGACTTTTTTGTAGCACATGAGTTTAAATTCGTTAAAAAAATATAATTTTAAGTTTTCAAAATATGTGTAGAGAGATTAAGTTTCAATATACACATCAAATAAAATAATTTTAAATGTATTTTTAAAGATGCAGATTTTATGAGCAATCAAGTCGATCATAAATACATACATTGAATATATATAGCATAAGAAAACAGAGATTTTGTAAAAAGGTGTAATTATTCATAAATGTATTATTAGACATTTTATTGAATATATTACTGAGAGATAAAACAAAAGGAAAAAAATGATTGAAAATATTTAAAAGATTTAATTAAATATAGAAATATTAGTCTGATTATGATAATCAAAAATGAATATTCTATCTTGGAATTTAGGAAAGTTATTAGTTTTGCAAAGTGGAAAAAAGTACCAAATTTACAGGGTTGAGAAAAATATTATTTAAGGTGTTTGATATTTTTCTGTGAAAAAAAATGTGAGGTTATTACAAATTGAAAAAGCAATAAGTATAGATTAGTGTGCATAATCCCACGAATCTTACTCTTGTGAGTTTGGAATTGATTGGGAATGAGCTAATTAGATTTAGTGTTGTGAGTATAATATTGATATTAGTAGGGATGAGCGCAGATCGAATATTTGAAAATTTTTTAGTATTTGTGGTTTGCTCCGTTTTTAACGGATGTTTAATTTTATGATTTGATTTGCTTCGAAAATATACGGATATCCAAATTTTCGGATATCCGGAAAATTTACAAATATTTGCGAATATTTGTGGATATTTATGGATATTTATGAATATTTAGTTTTGATCAATTTAATATACACAAAACTGAAAGTACATTAATTTTTATTATAAAAATATTTTTCATCTAAACTATTAAGTGAAATAGTAACTGTATTTGTATTTAAGAATTTTTTTAAATTAGGCATGTTGCTAAGAAGTACCTTGATGTGTATCTCTTCTGCATTTGGCGCGGGTGTGAAACAAATAGAGATGTACGTTTTTTTAACTTTATTTCTTATTAAAACATTGTGTGACTAACTTTCTGCTTACTATCGAACATTATCGTTGAAGATGTATATAACTTGTTTCTGTAGTTCTTAAAATTGTTTTGCTGATTTATTATCTACACTAGGATCCCACATCCAAACTCTATTTTTGGTTAGTAGAGAAACTTAACAGAGGATCATAATAATAACACAATAGCAATAAAAAGAGCTTAAAAAGTTAAAAGTGTTGACCAGAAAAAGGCAAAAACAAAAATGTTTGTTGATACACAAAATTAAATAAGAAAATTGATTCATGCGTCGACAAAATGAAAAAAAAGGAAGATAATTGTAGCTGTACTGTATACACAACCACCATCAACAGTAACAAGAGGATTATTATGCAGCGATTGCTATCTCTCTCCCTCGTCTTCTTCCATTTTCCTCTGCAATTCTCCTCACTCTTTCTCTCTCTCTCTCTCACACACTAAATGCAGCTACTTCTCTTTCATCCCTGCTAATTTCCCTCTCAGCTCCCATTTATCCATGAATTTCTTGCGGCTACTCCCACGAATCGTCCTGTCGGTGAGTTTCGCGCCTCCGCTGGATCGAGTTTTATGTATGATTCCGATTATCTACGACTTTTTGTTTATTTCTTTTGCATGATGTTGGTTCTGGGTTCGTTTAGATTTTTCTTCTTCCTATCGCGTGTATGTTCTTTCGGATTGTAATTTGCACAGGTTACTTTAGGGTTCACAAAACGCAATTTGGGTCTACTGTTTTGATTGCTCTGTTTGGTTTCCACCATTTGAGATTGCTTGTAATCTGCATAAAAATGGCATTTTTTTATATTATATTATTGATAAAAGTGGCTGAAGCATGTTGTTCCGTTGTGACAGAGCTGAGAAGGTACGGTGGTGACTTTCTTCAATACAAAGTCAGTTTTTTTATTAATAAAGAAAGGAGATTGCTGAAGCTATTATGACTTTGGGTGGTTGGGGCCAGAGATTCATCCAAGCAGCTTCTTCTGAATCAGACGATTCTGCTTTGGATTTGGAGAGAAACCATCATCACTGTAACCACTTGAGTCTTCCATCGTCTTCGAGTCCATCTCCTCTTCAGCCATTCACACTCAACATCCAGCACGCAGAGAGCAACGCCCCTTACTTCTCTTGGCCTACTCTAAGCCGGCTTAACGATGCCGTGGAAGACCGAGCAAACTACTTTGGAAATCTCCAGAAAGGTGTTCTACCAGAAGTTATTGGGAGGCTGCCATCAGGACAACAAGCCACCACCTTGCTTGAGCTCATGACCATCAGAGCCTTTCATAGTAAAATCCTGCGCCGCTTCAGCCTTGGTACTGCGGTTGGGTTCAGGATCAGCCGTGGCGTTCTGACGAACATTCCAGCGATACTTGTCTTTGTTGCTAGGAAAGTCCATAGGCAATGGCTAAGCCCAATGCAGTGCCTTCCTTCAGCCCTCGAGGTTTGAGTTTTCTTGTATTACAATGCCATTCTTAACACAGCCTTTTCAGAAATTTTAGCAGAGCATATATGATAAGTGATGCATTCGTTTCTTAAGCAGGGTCCTGGAGGAGTATGGTGCGATGTAGATGTTGTGGAATTCCAATATTACGGTGCTCCTGCTGCAACGCCAAAGGAACAGGTTTATAATGAACTTGTTGATGGCTTGAGAGGAAGTGATCCCTGCATTGGCTCTGGTTCTCAGGTACATCTCTTTTTTTCTTTCTTCTTCCTTTTGTGCAAACTGTAAACGTAAAGTCTCAGTTTTGTTCCTTGTTGTGTAGGTTGCAAGCCAAGAAACGTATGGAACCTTGGGAGCGATTGTGAAAAGCAGAACAGGTAACCATCAAGTTGGTTTCCTTACGAATCGGCATGTCGCAGTTGATTTGGACTATCCAAGCCAGAAAATGTTTCATCCTTTACCTCCAAGCCTTGGACCGGGTGTCTACCTCGGTGCAGTTGAGAGAGCAACCTCGTTTATCACAGACGACCAATGGTACGGCATTTTTGCTGGCACAAATCCAGGTACTTCCAGTTACAATGAAAAGTCTCTGCAACGTTTCTGTTGTTAATTATACAAAGTGATCTTTGATATATCTATCTCGGTGCAGAAACATTTGTGAGAGCGGACGGTGCCTTTATTCCGTTTGCAGAAGATTTCAACACGAGCAATGTGACCACGGTGATAAAAGGGATAGGCGAGATAGGCAATGTTCACGTCATAGACTTGCAATCTCCTATTGATAGCCTTATTGGGAAACAAGTTGCTAAAGTTGGAAGAAGCTCTGGATATACCACCGGAACCATAATGGCTTACGCTTTGGAATACAACGACGAGAAAGGGATCTGTTTCCTCACGGATTTTCTGGTCATTGGTGAAAACCAGCAAACTTTTGACCTTGAAGGTGACAGTGGAAGCCTTATACTGTTAACGGGTCCAAATGGTCAGAAGCCACGACCCGTTGGGATAATTTGGGGCGGAACAGCTAACCGAGGAAGACTGAAACTAATAGCCGGTCAAGAGCCCGAGAACTGGACAAGTGGAGTCGATCTTGGTCGCCTTTTGGATCTCTTGGAGCTTGATCTCATCACATCTAACCATGAGCTTGAAGGTTTAGTACTCTTTTCCTAGCTTTTCCGAGTTTCTCTAGAGTCTTTTCACGCCTCAAGAAGTGTTTTTTGGTTTTGTTTACTTTGCATTGCAGCAGCTGCTCGAGAACAGGGGAACGCTTCGGTTACAGCCCTTGATTCAACCGTAAGCCAGTCATCTCCGCCTGATCCGATTCCCTCAGGAGACAAGCAAGATGAGAGCTTCGAGCCATTTATTCCACCTGAGTTTCACATAGAAGAAGCTATCATCAAACCAACACCTGAAGTAGAGGAATATTTGTTCATTGCTCCTGTATCAGTTAACGAGTCTACTTCTTCTGCTAGTAAAGTGCAAGAGAAACCCAAAGTTGATGATCTTGACGCTTTAAAGAACAGTTCCGAAGAAGAGGTTAACATATCTTTGCATCTAGGTGAGCCCAAACTAAAGAAACCAAAGCGTTTTTAGCTGAAGCAGAGCCTAAGGAGTAAAGGACCAACAACAGGGGATATTACTGGAGGAGTAAATCGGAAATTGATCTCCTTTACCAGTTCCCGGTTAAGTTTGGTTTGATGGCGATTTGATTAAACCCAAAAAAATTATGTCGTAATTGTGCATAGTACAATTGTATTATTCTTTGCGGACGAAACTAAAATTCGAAGACGGATACGAGTATTGCATAAGCTTAAGTTTAATGTAAATTAAAGGTGATTATAATACTATTACACAAATGGGACATTAAACCGGGTAACGATTTAGAAAACTAGACTTTTGATTTCCGGTTAGGCCGATTAGAAAACAATTTTTAATTCGAGAATCCGGAGAAAGAGGGTTTGTTTAAAAGCAAAAGGAGTGAATCAATTACCGTAGGAAGAAAAAGGTTTCGTCTTTTTCGATAAGGGAAGATGGGAAAGGATGCAAAGGACAAGGTCCATCTCAATTTAATTATTTTTCAATTAATTAATGACCCAACTATAATTAAAATATACATACTAACTAATGTATATGTGGTGCATATTGTTTATTTTTTAAAGGAAAGATCGAATTTTTCGATCATTTTTGCTTTAGTTTTTGTTTTTCTACCTATTTTTAGTAGAACCGGACATAAATAGAAACAGCTAAAGGTGTGCCGATTTTACTTTGGCTTAAAAAGTGACTTGATTGCCGATGATATAGTGCAGTTATGGAACAGTTGATGGTGAATCTTGATCAATATCAAATTTTTAAAAGTAACTTGTGAATAGCATAGTTTAAAAGCTCAATAGAGTCAATATGTTTATGTTAATGCTTTACTCTGTTTTCTTGGTTAACATGCTTCAGCATTTCACTTTTAGAATTTGGATCTTTATAATATTTTATGCAATAATGTTTTTACTACTTTTCATTAGCTTTCACGAATATGTTTTGACAAAGAAATCATTAGGGGTAAAACATGCTTTTGATCAAGTGGTCCCTAAGTCTAACTCCAACAGTGCCACCAATCAAGCTCAAAAGTTGTACTTAACCGACAGTCTCTTTGATTTACATGTTTAAAACTAAAATTACCTTATATATTTTTTTTAAGTAAGGCATTTTATTATCTAAAATCCCTTCTTCTTTTAAAATCATATACATTTCTATTGATCTAGATGCAAATTGTAATGTTTGTGGATCCCATTTTTCAGTTGATTAATACTTAAATTAGGAAATCTATCAATTGAAATTACTTTCTAAATTTAATAACCCTACTAGTATAGTTACTCTACTCCCTAATCCCTATTATAAGATCTCCAACGTTGGATCAAATCATAAAATAAAAACCAACGAGATGATCTCACTCATCTTTCTCTTCTTCGTCCTCTCACTCTCTCTCACATCCAATGGACAATTCTTCGACGAGAGCAAGAACTACGAAGGCTCCTCCGATCTCGTCGACCTTCAATACCACATGGGTCCGGTCATATCCTCGCCGGCGACAAGTCTCTACATCATATGGTACGGCCGATGGAACCCAACACACCAGTCTACTATCCGAGACTTCCTCTACTCCGTCTCTTCACCGACACCGACTCGGTACCCGTCAGTATCCGACTGGTGGAAGACGGTGAGGCTATACAGAGACCAGACAGGCTCCAACATCACAGGAACTCTTGTCTTGTCCGGAGAGTTCCACGACTCAACTTACTCCCACGGATCTCACCTCACTCGCTTCTCTGTTCAGTCTATCATCAGAACTGCCGTGATCTCCAAGCTACCACTAAACGGACTCAACGGATTGTACTTGGTCTTAACCTCAGATGATGTAGAGATGCAAGAGTTCTGCAGAGCGATTTGCGGCTTTCATTACTTCACTTTCCCAGCCATCGTTGGCGCAACGGTACCGTACGTTTGGGTTGGGAACAGTAAGAAACAATGTCCAGAGATGTGCGCTTACCCGTTCGCTCAGCCTAAGCCGTTTCCAGGGAGCGGGTTTGTGACCAGAGAGAAAATGAAACCACCCAACGGAGAGGCAGCAATCGATGGGATGATCAGTGTGATAGCTCATGAGTTAGCGGAAGTGTCGAGCAACCCGATGTTGAACGGATGGTACGGAGGAGAGGATGCGATGGCACCCACGGAGATAGCTGATTTATGCTTGGGGCTGTATGGGTCAGGAGGAGGAGGAGGGTACATGGGGATCGTATATAAGGATAGGTGGAGGAATGTGTATAATGTGAATGGGGTTAAAGGAAGAAAGTATTTGATTCAATGGGTTTGGGATATTACTAGGAACAGATGCTTTGGACCTAACGCTATGAATTAGAGATGATAATGTTTGTTAGCTCTGTTCGCAAAAGCCTTGAGCTTAAGGAAGACCCTGTATATGGATTATCTTTGCATTACGAAATCAAATCTTTCCATTTGTAAGCTCAAGACTGTACAAAGACCTTCGATGTCTGGTTACAGTTTGATAAAGTTTGTGAAACAAACTCATGCTTTGACATCAGCATAATACTCCAAAATCAAACTGTACTTCTGCCAAAATGGTTAAGAAGACAGATACACTTACTACACCACCAAAATTACTGTCTTCATCTAAGGTGGAAACTAAAAGACACAAAAGCTAGGGAACGACCACGCCTTCAACTGTAGAAACATACCCTTGAAGAGAGGCCTTTGTTCTCTCCTCTAGTGTTTACAACTCCATTTAAGTGGTTACTGATCACCACTTCCAAGGAGGTCAGGGACGGGTACATCGCTTGCTGACTGTGAGGCCAAGACACTATCAGTAGGATTATCATTGTTTCCTTTATCCTTCTCCGAGTCATCTTCGATGAGTTTTGGTCTCACCAGCTTCCTTTTCTTTCCCTGAGGAGCTGAATGTCCGGGGCTCTCTTTACTACACCCTTGAGTTGGACTACCACTGGTCTTTTGAACTTTGCTACGGCGCTTGAAATCAATGAATGGTCGCTTTTTAGGACTATGTTCCATACTTTCTTCACAATCCAACAGCTCATCTGGAGTGGTCTCAGTAAAAGGAAGCATCAAATCAGCGTCAAGCATCTCTGTTGTAAGAGTCTTTTCCTTTTTCTCCTTTGGTTTTCCAAAATCCCCAGGAGTATTCATATTTGCTCTTTTTTGCCCCATCCAATGTTTGTGGCAGTCGTTTAGAAATGCCATGACCTCATCGACTGATTCAGTGTCCGAAGAAGTTTCCTTTTCAGCATCACGTTTAACTGCAGGCATAGCCAGCCTACTGAAGACGCTCTTTCTGGTTCTCCTTCTTTCAAGCTCAGCAGGATTAACAAGATCTTCTCGAATCATCCTATTGTTAGTGTCGAAAGCTTTTTCATGCCGTTGATAATCTTGAACTCTGTTCTGAGCTCTCTTCTCTGTATACAAATCAACTCCATCCCCTGACGTTGAAGAATGAGTAAAAGAAGGGTAAATTCTAGAATCGTGTACCACCATATCATTTGAATACGAAACATGGCCTTCAAATTCTCCTTGGTGTTGATATGCTGAAGTTTCATTGTTAACTCCGTACTTGGGAGACAAATCCCTTGATGATAAAGGATAAGCAAAGGAAGGGACGATGCTCTGGCTGGAGTCCCTCTCAGAGTTCCTCATGTTCTCGGTGGCTTCTGCAGAATTTAAGAAACCAGGAAACTGAGAATGACGCAGATGAGCATATCTTGATTCAGATTCCGATTCAGGACAAGCAACTCCAGTCATGCCAGTGTCAGGTTGGTATTGAGGATGTTCAGTAGGCATTGGAATATAGTAATCCAAGCCTAGACTACTAGTCTTGTTCATCCTCGAACCATTATGCTCATCAGGAAATGGTTGAACTGCTTCCGAGGGCAATGCGTCACTGACATAACCACCAACAGGAATATATTCTTCTCTGAAAACATAATTTGGGTTGTCTGTGAAGGAAGCTGACCCCACTGAACCAGCATTAGGCGCACCACGATCATACCTAGAGCTTTTCATCGTTGCATCTCCCATGATCCCGGGGTTACAAGGGTCATAGTGTTCTGTGTTTGTTCGATATAGTGATTCTCGAGGTACTGAGCTTTGAGCAGGAACCACTGGATCTGCTTCAGTATTAAGGTGTTCCTCGTTGTTAGACCACGAACTTGCCTGTATGATACCACCATTTTCATGGTACTCGTTTCTTAACCAGCCACTTGCGGTGTGTTTCAAGTTCTCCGGGGCTCTTCTATCATTAGCTAGAGGATATTCAGAGTAATGAGTTAAACCATCTGTCACAGAGCCATTATTCATGCTAAAGTCACATCCTACTCTATCCTTTGAACCATGCATTTTGGGATCAACGAGTCTCCTAAAGACCCCAGATGCGTCTCTGGAGTACTCATCCTCTTTAGTTTCTAAGCCAATATCAGATTCATCCCTAAAACCATAATTTTCTGTTACCCTACGACCACGAAGATCTCCTGCAGATGTAACTCTGGAGGGAAACTCACGGTCAACATCTCCATCAGTTTCCTCTGAACAACGATTCCTAAAGCCGCGAACACCAGCTGTATTTCCCAACCTACTTTCAGATTTTCTTGTGGGCTTCGCAACAGCAGTCTTCCTCAGTCGTGATCCCTCTACTTTCTTCAAGCTAAACAACTTCAACAGCCTTTGAACCTTTACATAACATTTTTCAAACAGAAAGTGTCAGACCACAGATGCTAGTAACGCAATCCGCATAATACAGACCATATAACCACACACCTGTGCCTTCGAGAGTCCAAAATTGAACTTTTTCGGCGTAAAGTAATTATCACTAATGGCATGACGAAACTCCATTTCAGTAAGCGGCCTACAACGCCACTTCTCATTAAACTTGACCTAAGAAAATGGGATCAAGGCATAAATTAATGTTAAGAGACACAAATTTGGTAAAAGGAAGAAAGCTAAAACGGAAAAAGCAAGAAAGTGAATCAAAAAGTACCTGAGCAGGAAACTGTTTCCCAGAAGAGCAGAATGCGTAAGGCTCAATGTTAATAGCACCATCAGAGCAAGCCTGAAACACACCATGTAGCTCTCTGCTCTCGAACTCAAACAAAAACAATAGCATTCCAGCCTTGACCTGTTTCACAAATCCTGCTTGCCCCATTGGCAAACCGAAAAGCCCTCTCCTAAGGCACTCCTTTCTCGTGGAGCTATTCGACATGAAGATTGCACCAAACTCTGGTTCTTCTCCAGATGCACCATTGGGTTCCTCCAAAAGGTTCGTCCTCCGATACTTCGGCATGCTGTTGCAGAAAACTAAAAATAACAACAAGACTATTTTTCCTCTCCACTTATTGAACATAGAAGATACTTGCAATCAACAGACTTGTGGAGCAGAAAAAAAAAAAACAGGCCAAATCAAGTTTTGCCACTAGAAAGTGAATGACTTTCTTCAGAGGATAACATTTAAAGCTAAGACAACTTTAACTTTCATGGCCAAAGAACACAAGCAACTTGACGGAATAATCAAAGTACTTCTAAAAAGAAGCAAATTGAATACTGTAAACAGTAAAATACACAGAAACCAAAATCGAAAAGAGTCGTACAACAAGTCAACAAGTAAGCGGATACAAGTGACGCAATTGAACATTCACACGTAATTAAACGGTGACGTAGAGAGAGAGAGAGAGAGACAGAGCATATTCACGGATAATCAAGCAATCAGGTATTAGAAACGATGACGCCATGAAAATCAAACAGAGGAATTTAAGAAAAGCAATGCAGAGGAACAATGGTGGTAAAGGATTAAGACCTGGAAGGAGGATATCAACGACTTCGAGAATCGACGTCTACCAAAAAAAAAAAAAGCAAACATGCAAAACACAGATAAACGAGCACGAAATAATCGATTGAGATAAAAAAAAAATGGAATGAGAGAATGAGAATCGCGACTAGGGTTTTTTACTTTTTTTCTCAGTTGATAATCGGAAGAGAAGAGGGAAAGGAAACGGCGAGGAGGCGAAAATCGAAGCGAGCGATATTTTGCAGAAACTAACGCGAATATCGAGAGAGTCTGGATTTTCCGTATCCGCATGGGTCTCTCTCTCTAATTTCGGCTATTTAAATATTCCGGATTTTCGATTTTTCGTTAAATATTAAAATAACCGTATCAAAAATATAATTCCAGATATTTTCACCATTTACACATTTGACAAACTTACCAAAGAAAATTACACCTCTGTTTGTTTTTATTATTTTTCCAAATTGAGAAGCAAAGGGGACAAATGAAGCCAAGAAAGTAGTGAAAAACCTTTCTGAATCCTCAGCCTCTACTTAACGGATACTCTCTCCTTGCTGCTTGTTATCCTCCATTAACACAATCTATCTGAAAGAGTGTGAAGTTGCAGAAGAATAGATACGACACTATTTCTCCGGTCATGTAAGAAGAACCAACTCTCTCTCACACTCTGGTTCTACTTTTATCCTTCTACTTTTGGATATCTTCTGATAGTTCCGTACATCCCTCCTGAGTGTTTGGTTTCCCGGTTTAGAAAACGAGTAATTCAGAATACCCATCTGCAGAATTTTCTTTCAACTCTTTAAGGATTTTGCTTGTGACGGAGGAGGAAGAAGCTAGTTTTCAAGTAACCTGAGGTTTGAGTAGAGTCAAAATGGTTTGGACGTTACTATGGACTCTTTTAATTCTACACGTTCTCGGCTTTAACTGATTCTCTGTGTCAATTTTTAGTTCATTTTCTGGTGGATGTTGTTATGGTGAAGCATTTTGAGATTTGGGGGGTTCCAAAGTAAATGAAGCTCTCAACTTTTCCAGGAAACTGCGTTTTGATTGACAGGTTGGTAGCTGGAAACGCTTTGAATTGCTTACTCATCGATCCAAGTGGCTTCCAGAGATATTTGGGTTTTGGAGTGACGAGTTTCACTGGTGTTGGGGCTGTAAAAAGCTGTAAACAGGAGGGGTTTGTCATAGATGAACGCGGGAAGTTAACAAGATTTAACAGGAAGAAGCTCTCTAGGAGACGATGTAAGACTTACATCAAAAGACAGTTTCTTACAAAGCTCTGTAAGATTTTGGAGATGTAAGGCTATGTTTTTGAATGGAAATGGATGTTTGGTTTTTCATTCATATAGGTGGCTCTTTGAGGGGTCGAGGATGGAAATATGGATCCGGGTTTGTGGATGGGATCTTTCCTGTTCTGAGTCCCATTGCTCAGAAGATTCTGAGCTTTATTCAAAGAGAAACTGATCCTGAAAAAGTAGCAGATGTCCTTGGAACTCTTCCTTCTACGCATGCCTCATGGGATGATCTGATCAACGTCTCTGTGCAACTCCGTTTGAACAAGAAATGGGATTCCATTATCCTGGTTAGCTTTCTTGGAACAGTCTCACTTTTGTCTTCAACTTGAAAGCTGAAACTGGCTGAAGCTACAATCTTTTTTTCATAGGTGTGTGAGTGGATTTTAAGGAGGAGCTCCTTTCAGCCTGATGTAATCTGCTTCAATTTGCTTATAGATGCTTATGGACAGAAGTTCCGGTACAAGGATGCGGAATCACTCTATGTACAGCTTCTTGAATCACGCTGCGTGCCTACGGAAGACACATACGCTCTTCTTATCAAGGCATACTGTTTGGCCGGGCTCATAGAGAAAGCTGAAGCCGTTTTAATCGAGATGCAAAATCATCATGTTACTCCGAGTATGTTTCTGTATCTCATAATCTTATAAAGTTTTTCTTATTTTGAGAGACACCAGATGAAGATATTCTAGTTTTTGGATCTATCATTGTGTTTGTATAGGTGCTACTGTATACAATGCATATATTGAGGGGTTAATGAAGAGGAAAGGGAACACCGAGGAAGCAATCGATGTGTTTCAGAGGATGAAGCGTGAACGGTGCAAACCAACCACTGAAACTTACAACTTGATGATAAATCTATACGGAAAGGTCTATATAGTTCAACCTCGTTCGATATGAACATATAGTGTTTTCTGCAAATGTGATGTTCATGTCATTGCGTTTTCTTGCAGGCAAGTAGATCATACATGTCGTGGAAGTTGTTTTGTGAAATGAGAAGTCACCAATGTAAACCAAACATCTGCACATACACAGCGCTCGTGAATGCATTTGCTAGAGAAGGTCTTTGCGAGAAAGCTGAGGAGATTTTTGAGCAGCTTCAAGAAGATGGGCTTGAACCTGATGTCTATGTCTACAACGCTCTCATGGAGGCATACAGGTGATTGATTGTTAGACCTATATTGCCTTCCCACAGAGACTGATGCCAAGAAAATCATAATAAACTTACAATTTAACGTCCTCAAAATCACAGTCGTGCAGGTTATCCTTATGGTGCTGCTGAGATTTTCTCTTTAATGCAACATATGGGATGTGAACCAGACAGAGCTTCCTACAATATCATGGTCGATGCTTATGGTAGAGCAGGTCATCACTCAGGTAACATACAGTAACTTCTTTAGCCATGTATGTTCAGTCTGGTTTAACCAAACCGATTCGGTTTCACTATTATCTTATCGGAACAAAGCGTAACCAGAGGTCCAGAGTAATCAAAATCTTTAGTTTTATAACCAGATGCAGAAGCTGTGTTTGAACAAATGAAGAGGCTTGACATAGCACCAACGATGAAATCCCACATGCTGCTTCTATCGGCTTACTCTAGAGCCAGAGACGTAACAAAATGCGAAGCCATTGTGAAAGAGATGAGCGAGAACGGAGTAGAACCAGACACATTTGTCCTGAACAGCATGCTCAACTTGTACGGCCGGTTAGGACAATTCAGCAAGATGGAAAAGATTCTAGCCGAGATGGAGAACGGTCCTTGCACCGCGGATATAAGCACATACAACATCTTGATCAACGTCTATGGTAAAGCCGGGTTCTTGGAGAGAGTTGAGGAGCTTTTCGGTGAGCTCAAGGAGAGGAATTTCAGACCGGATGTTGTGACGTGGACCTCGAGGATCGGTGGTTACTCTAGGAAGAAACTGTATGTGAAATGTCTGGAGATTTTTGAGGAGATGATTGATTCGGGTTGTGCACCAGATGGAGGAACAGCTAAGGTTCTTCTTTCGGCTTGTTCTAGCGAGGATCAAGTGGAACAGGTTACTTCAGTGCTTAGAACAATGCATAAGGATTTGTCTGTGAGTTCTCTTGTCCCAAAGCTAATGGCTAAATCCTTAAATGTAAACTGAAGAAAATAGCATTTTAGAGTTGTCTTTTTTAATAAAGTTTGGATTTTTATGATCAGAATCCTTTGTAAGTATTGAAAATTGTTATAATATATGGTCTAATGTCACAACCCACAGTGTTGCTTTAGTGGGTAGTTGAATGCGAAATTGGTCCACGAGCAAATGAATCAGAAAGTGATGTTTTTTAATTTTTATATGCGAAAAGCCGAACCCACCAAACCCTTTTGTCGTAAGAATATAATAATACAAGCCGTTCGGTGAGTGCACTCTCTCCTTCACTGTTGTTGTCTATCAGATTCTTTCTCTGTGCTTCGAGATCTCCACGAAAAAAATGGCAGCTAGATTGTTGTGGGCTTCTAGGGTTGCTTCTCATCTAAGGATCTCTGTTTCCCAACGAGGGTTTTCTTCGGGTGAATCTCAGTCTCCTGTTAATTTGCTTTGATCTCTGCGGGTCTCTCTCTCTCTGATTATTGAATCTGAGATTGTTCTTTTCAAAATTATGAGTTTTTGGCTGTTCTTGATGATCGGATTATAAGCGGAAGAAGGGGACTTTGATTATTGTGTTTGCAAATCCCTTTTTTTGTTGGATCAACTATCTCCGGATAAAGCTAATAGCTTATATTTCTCTTGTTTCCGTATCAAATCCCAGAAATTTGCATTTGATTCCTTGAGGCTCTGTTATTCATAACTTTCAAAATAGTGTTCAGAAGCTTGAAGGTGGTGATGTGATGTTCATCTTAGTATTATTTCGATTTGTGCGATGATTATTTTGTTTGACTTGTAAAATCAGTACCTTTTTCAGAAGTAGTTTTGGGTTAAGTTTTTGAAATCTGCCTGTTAAATGAATGGTTTTGCTGTAGAAACTGTATGTTTTGCTTGAAAACGACTTGTTTACAGAGGAAGAAGATCATCAAGAACTTTGTATTTGATTCTGTTGTTGGAATGCTGAATATTTTACCACTTAACCTAACTGGTTATTGTCTTCCTTTGTCGCTTGTGTTTTATAGTGGTGTTGAAGGATCTGAAATATGCTGATTCACATGAATGGGTGAAGATTGAGGGGAACAAAGCGATCTTTGGTATAACGGACCACGCACAGGACCATTTGGGCGACGTGGTCTATGTTGAGTTGCCTGATGTGGGACGCTCGGTGTCACAAGGTGAGAGTTTTGGAGCGGTCGAAAGTGTGAAAGCAACTAGTGATATCAATTCTCCAGTCTCGGGCACGGTGGTTGAAGTCAATGAGGAGCTGACCGAGTCCCCTGGATTGGTGAGTTCTCATTTGAATATTCATATTAGCATCGATCCCTTTTGTTGAAATCGAGATGAACTCTATTTGAACCGCAAGCAAATACAACTCCATTGGCATAATTGAATCTGAAATCCTGTTGCTGGTCTCTTTGTTTGATTGATTATTTGACAGCTTTGATTTATGTAAAAATGTCTTCTTGATTCACTAGTGATGAATGTATAGAGAGTATTGCTTCCTCGTTCGATTCTTCTACTGTTACTTGAGAATCTTGATTCACGGTTAAGCCAAAACAGACTGCTTATTTGTTTGATTCGTCGATAGCATGTAAAAACGTCATAAATGTTGGAGATTTCTTGTTTTTTGTGGTCTGGAGCTGAGATTGTTTTGTTGGATTCACAGGTGAACTCGAGCCCGTATGAAGAAGGATGGATTATAAAGGTGGAGCTGAGTGATGCAGGTGAGGCACAGAAGCTGATGGATTCAGAGAAATACTCCAAGTTCTGCGAAGAAGAAGACGCCAAGCACTGAGCTCATTTCCTATTCCAGAAGCTTCCACTGCTACACAGATTTGTTGTCTTCTCTTCTCGAACGAGTATCAAGACGAAATCTCTATCTGTGTCGATGGTTGAATCAAAGAAAAATCTGATCCCCCGTTCTTTTCTTTTATGTTTTTTGTTTTCTAATTAAATTGTTTGAATAATAGTAGAGAATAATAAGCTTTGGCGTTTTTACATTGGTTTGATCTATCAAAGAGTCGTTGCCTCCTTTGTTTCATATATCTTGATTTCTTCCGTTCTTTGGGAAATATGTGATAGAACCAATTCCTGAAACGATTGCTAAAGTGGGGATGGTGTAGTTACATGTGATTCATGATGAGAATGATATGATTCCCCCTCTCCCTGTTAAGTCACTCGAGAAATTAATGTAATGGATAACATAAAGCTTCCAAGTACTAGCATGAGTTTGATGTTATATATTGTAGCAAACCGTATGAGACCGGATTTTGGTTCTTCTGGTTCAGATATAAACCTCAAAAGCTAAAAATGTGAAAGAAAACAAAATCTGTGATGCAATGATATGCGCACAGTGGGGAAAAGATTTTGGAATCATTGTTGCTTATTGTGGAAGCCAAGCTTGTTATAACCTCCATTGTGCCTTGTAATACAATACTCCTGCGTTGTCAACCCTAATTATTATGATATATACAAATACGTGTTTTTTTTTTGTTTATTATCGAATTTTTATGCACCTTTTATATTTTTTGTCGTCATGTCTTCCACTAATATGTTAATATCCTTACCGAACTTTTACTGACTATAATCTCCGAAACACGTGGAAGAGAAAAACTGATATTTTCACCATACGTTCACAAGGATCAATTATCATTGAATTCGCATTCGAAAAATTTAAAAATGAGTCCCTAAACCCATATGTTGTTGAATCATTCAACCACTGATCGGAGCATCATAAAATATCCTATGATACGTATTTGTAGTAACTTATGCTTGTATAATAACAGTGTAAGTGTGTAACATAAAGAGGGACAAAGTATTTGAAAAGATACTCTCATACTACTAATTCGCTAGTCGCCACGATGACATAACCAAAAACGTCAGATACAATTAGCTGAAATCATACAGTTCATACACACAGTAGTTCCATAATGATTGACAACTATTACACCTAAAAGCTACTAATTTTTGTAGAGGTAATTAAAAATTATAAGTGGTATATGATGTTACCATCAAAATCTTTTGATCTTGTGTTTAGTTTATTTTCTGGATATAGAAATTATACCAGCTAAAGGAAAGGAGTTATCCGCATTGTCAAACCTTTGGAAATTTATATTTCAACCACCCAACTAGAGCGTTTGTTTTTTCTCTAACAGCAAATCAACTAAAAAATACTATAAACAAATAAATAGTTTCATAAAAAAATATACCGGTAAAATACTTGGCGACAAAAACATATATACCAGTAAAATACTTAACAAATACGGACTGTTTTTTCCTTCCTTTTTGGATTTTTTTCTATCCGAAAATGTTCATGTCACTTTTTAAAATAAGAGATTTTAAAATTGACCATATTTTATTCTGCTTATATCTCTATTTTCCAAAGCGTTCTATATAGTTTATCTTTGCTTATTTACAGATTTAGAAGTAAAAATGTGTGTTTAAAAAGGAAAAAAAGCGAAAGAAATGCTACTGACTACAGTTTGTCTTAAATGAGACCCGAAATTTAGCATTTCTTTCTCGGCTCACACTCCGATTGAGGCCGGCTCTCTCTCTCTCTCTCTATCCTCTCCGCCGTCTTTGTCTCCGGCGACGCAGATCTGAACTCCAAGACGCAGCTGCGATCTACCTGAGCCTTTTTTTGTTCTGATTGACTCTCCTCAGGTAACTTCAATCTTCACGAGACCCTTGCTTGACCTATAGCTCCTTATTTAGCTTCTGAGACATCAGTCCTCTCTCATCCCCTACTTTAATTCGCTATTTTCTAAGATCGGATGCGAAAGAGCTTCACTATAATCTTCCCGCATTTGCTTGCCGACGAGGTGTTGTCAGAATTTCTAAATTTAAAAATAAAATGTTTCTCGAGAAGAGGATTGCAGTAGCCTTGATAGGAGTTTCAATGGTTATGTGTAGACGCGATTGTGTAATGTGGATTCTGAATTAGAGCTTCCCTGATTGCAGATATTCTTTCAAAAATGGCGAATTCCCGTCAATACTATCCTTCTCAAGATGAATCAATGTCTCCGACTTCCGTGAGATCAAGGGAATGGGAAGGTCCTTCCAGATGGACTGAGTACTTGGGACCTGAAATGGCTTCATCGGTGTCGTCGAGGAGCTCAAAGCATGCGAACTCTGATGGACATGTTCAGAGCTCCGGTGGTTCAACTAAGGCTCTGAACATACAGTGGGTAGTTCAAATGATCGAGGTTGCAGAAGGTCTCATGGCTAAAATGTATAGACTGAATCAAATCTTGGAGTACCCAGATCCTGTTGCTCATGTATATTCCGAAGCGTTTTGGAAAGCCGGTGTGTTCCCTAATCACCCGCGGATATGCACGTTGCTCTCGAAAAAGTTCCCTGAGCATTTCAGCAAATTACAGCTTGAACGTGTAAGTAATAAAATTCTTTATATTCGGCTTAGTGTGTGCTTTGCTGCTGTGATGGTAACAAGAAGTATGCTAATTTTTTCCTTTATTTGCAATACTTATGCAGATTGACAAGTTTTCTCTGGATAGCCTGCACGATGGTGCTGAACTTCACTTACAGAGCTTAGAGCCATGGATACAGGTATCTATGCAATATGTTTTTGGGTCTATGTATACTTATAGTCAAGCTTCTCAAAGTTTTCTTTTTCTTTATTTTCGGTTTCACCACGAACCAGCCTTGTATATCTATGTTCACGCATATATGATATACCTAATGCATAGTTTTCACTTATAAAGTGTAAAAGAGTGGTTATTTGTTAGCCTTCTGTTTCCACTTTTCAGTTTATGTATTGAATTTCAGTAGGGATGCCTTCCATTTCCACCCGTCACCCATTTTTCTTTTCTTGAATCAGCTGCTGCTCGACTTGATGGCATTCCGAGAACAGGCACTACGGCTTATATTGGACCTAAGCAGCACCGTAATTACCTTGCTGGTGAGTCAAAGTCCCTCATCTGCAGAAAGTATTTACTTGCTCGTCGTTGAAATTTTGAGTTCTCTTTTTAAACTCATACCTTGGGTGGATCATGAGAAACTTTGGTACATTGAGTTATATTACTACTTATCAAATTTTGTCTGTGGGGATGAGGATAAAGTTGATCAGTATTCATGATTAGCTCATAACTTAGTTCAGTTTTTTTGCAGCCTCATCAGAACTCACTTATACTGCACGCATTCATGGATCTCTTTTGTGCATTTGTCCGAGTCAATCTTTTCGCAGAGAAGGTATACTGAGAGCTTTTTCTTTCTTAGTTTTCTGTTCATCTGGATTTAATAGCACACATGTCAGTTGAGGCATACACTTCTTTTATTATCAAACTCTAAGAGTGTTTATTCTATCAAAGTAGATTCCTAGGAAAATGTTGCTGCAAGTGTACAACCTTCTGCATGCGCTATCAAGAAATGATCGAGACTGTGACTTTTATCACCGGTATGGTTTTTTTTTCCTTCTAGTGTCATTTATTAACTTTTTTAATAATCAATAGGCCAATTCTCATGAATTAACACTCTTTGTCTTGCATCCAGCTTGGTGCAATTCATAGACTCTTATGATCCCCCATTGAAAGGCTTACAAGAGGATTTGAATTTTGTCAGCCCAAGGATTGGAGAGGTTAATATTTTAACACTCTTTATCTTTAGGATTGTAAGAGACGAGGCTGCACTTGTTATATCCAAATTAAAAATGAACGGGTATAGTACAAGCTAATACTGCAATTGATACATCAATACTAACAATGTTACTCATTTTCTTAGGTCCTGGAGGCTGTAGGACCCAGTATTTTTCTATCTGCAGATACAAGGAAGTTAAGAAATGAGGGATTCTTAAGCCCATATCATCCTCGATTCCCGGATATACTTACAAATTCTGCACATCCCATGGTACTTCTGAACAGTTAGATATTTTGCAACATAAAGATTCAAGACTCTCTGAATTAGTAGAATGCTGTAGTATTTCCCGTACGACACTTTTCTTGATATATAGTGCTAATATCTGCATATATTTTACACTATTGCTTCCTACAGAGAGCGCAGGACCTTGCAAATGTTACTTCGTACCGAGAATGGGTGCTTCTTGGATATCTCGTTTGTCCTGACGAGCTTCTTCGTGTGACTAGCATTGATATCGCCCTGGTACGAATCTGTTTTTCCTTTTGTTCTCGATTAAGATCTTGTGTAAAGAAGCACAAAGTGATTGAATTCCATTGGCGTATCCTTCAAGAAGGCTATATTCAAAATTAGCTTATATGGTCAATAATAGTTTACATTAATTTGTTTAACAAATGAGAAATTATGTCTTTGGAGTTTGGACTGTTTATTTATTTTAAGATTAATAGTAATGGAGTTAGGTTTTTTATGTACAAAACAAATAACTTCCACATATATTTCCAGATTGCGTGTAATTCATGCTGTTTCTAACAAAATGTTTACTGTCCTGTTGGGTTTCAGGTTGTGCTAAAGGAAAACTTAGTTGTGACTTTATTTCGGGATGAGGTGAGTTCACATCAAATGGTCTGCGACGAAGAGCTTTGGATTAGATTGATTTGCATCAGCTGACTCTGTTAACCTAACCATGCAGTACATCCTGTTGCATGAGGACTACCAGATGTATGTTTTACCTCGCGTGTTAGAATCAAAGAAGATGGCAAAGTCTGGTCGGACTAAACAAAAGGAAGCTGATCTAGAATATAGCGTAGCAAAGCAAGTTGAGAAAATGATCAGGTAACTCCATATTTTAGCTTAATTCTTATGGCATTATGAGCCGCATCTGACTTAGTAATGTTCATATGATACTGGAGAATTATCGCTTTCCTCTAAGGTTGTGATTTCAAGAGCTTATTGCTTTTGAATTTATAGTCTTATTGTTGTTCTGGTCGCTGCTTTCAGTGAGGTGCATGAGCAAGCATTGCAATTATGTGATACCATACACAGAGAAAGGAGAATATTGCTGAAGCAGGAAATAGGGCGGATGGTTTTATTTTTCACTGATCAACCAAGTTTGTTGGCTCCAAACATTCAGGTAAGCTTGATGTTATAGTTAAGTATACATTAAGTAGTACACTCCCAAGAGTCCTCCTTCCCTTCCCTGATTTTCCTAATAATTGATTTATTTGCTTTCTTTTCCTTAGATGGTATTCTCTGCATTGGCTTTGGTCCAATCTGAGGTTCTCTGGTATTTCCAACACGCTGGTATTGCATCCTCAAGATCCAAAACTGCTCGAGTAATACCAGTTGACATAGTAAGTTTATTGCCTCAAATTTGAATGCCTCTCAATATTGTAACTTTGACTTTCAGTGAAATCAAAATTTGGTTATGATTGCTGATTTATCATTCCTTATTTCTTAGGATCCAAATGATCCAACCATTGGCTTCCTGCTAGACGGAATGGACCGTCTCTGCTGTTTAGTGCGCAAATACATCGCAGGTTTGTTACTTTGAGATGTCGTACCCTCGGATATTGGACCCATTGTAGCTCGTTGAAACCATGAGAAGAGCCCGCTGATGAGTAAAAATTTGGTAACCTTAATGTTGTTTGCTGTTTGTAATGCAGCTGTTCGTGGGTATGCACTATCATACCTTTCTTCATCTGCTGGGAGGATCCGTTACTTGATGGGCACCCCTGGAATCGTGGCTCTGGACCTTGATCCAACCTTGAAAGGCCTTTTCCAGCATATTGTGCAACATCTTGAAAATATACCCAAACCGCAGGGAGAAAATATTTCTGCAATCACATGTGACCTATCTGTAAGCTAGACTTAATCCATTTTTTTTTATGTCAGATGATGCACGTACATTGTTCTTTCACAGATAATCAATACACCCTTGATAGTAGATTCAATCATGTTTCCATATGTTTCCCATTTGCTCTGTCTTAAAATCCTAATAGTGCCGTGGTCCCAACAGAACTATGTAGTTTAGGCATCCAATCTTTTTTCGTAATGCTCAGCACATTTTGTTGTACAGGATATCCGGAAAGATTGGTTGTCCATTTTGATGATTGTGACTTCTTCTCGATCATCGATAAACATCCGACATCTGGAAAAAGCCACTGTTTCTACAGGGAAAGAGGGCTTGCTGTCTGAAGGAAATGCTGCATATAACTGGTCCAGGTACAGTTCCCTTCCTTATATGACTATTACTTGGTTATCTTCTACCAAGGAAAAGAGCGAAACTAAGATCCTGCAGAATTTCATGTCTTCTCAATGCAGATGTGTTGATGAGTTAGAGTCTCAATTAACAAAGCATGGAAGTCTGAAGAAATTATATTTCTACCATCAGCACCTCACAACTGTATACTTCTTGTTGTTGTTCATTGTCCACTACTTTCCCGTGTCATCTTGTGCATAATTTGACATTTGACTGTTGTAAAAGGTTTTCAGAAATACAATGTTTGGACCAGAAGGACGTCCCCAGCATTGCTGTGCATGGCTTAGTGTGGCTAGTAGTTTCCCGGAATGTGCTTCATTAATAATTCCTGAGGAGGTAAAACCATATTTCGGTCTCAGTGAATTTTTGCATTTCTGGATCATGAGATTCTTGCATGCATTCAAGTAGTTGTAAGACCACTCAGTGAGCACCATATTACTTTCAGTATGGCAATAAATAATAAAAGTAATTGTAAAATTGAATTGACTCCGTTATTGTGGTTGCATATGTGCTTTGGCAGATCAAGTTGTTGATTGTTCGATGTTTCGTTAGCTACTTTTGGATTTCGAATATTTCCCTTAGCATGTCACCTTTTTTTGTTTAAACAAATCAATGTATATGCTTCTCTTTTTTGGTGAACCACGAGTTCTCATTGTGATCCTGTCATGTCTATTTTTCCTATATCAGTGACATCATGGCTCTTGTTCTTGTCTTTCTCCACAGGTTACCAAATTCGGGCGAGACGCAGTGCTTTACGTCGAGTCTCTTATTGAATCAATAATGGGGGGACTGGAGGGACTAATAAATATTCTTGATTCAGAAGGCGGGTTTGGCGCTCTAGAATCTCAGGTCATAAATCCTACCAAAAAGCAATAGTATAACTAAAAAATCTTCTATTTGACTACTGTCCTCAAACTGATGCGTTGAGATTTCACAGCTTCTTCCAGAACAAGCTGCAGCTTATCTAAATAATGCATCAAGAATTTCTGCTCCTTCAATGAAATCCCCCAGGGTTGTAGGCGGAGGCGGGTTTACTTTACCCGGCCATGAGAGCTATCCCGAGAATAATAAATCTATCAAAATGTGAGCGCCTAACTCTAGCCTGAAGTTTTTCATTTCTTTATGAAATCAGTGCTCCGACCTTGGATACTGTTATCTTAAGTCTCTCCTTGTGATGGCCAGGTTGGAAGCTGCAATCCAAAGGCTGACTAATTTGTGTTCAATTCTGAACGACATGGAGCCTATTTGTGTTATAAACCACGTATTTGTGCTAAGGGAGGTGAGCTCTTAATACTCTATATTTCAACTCAAGGATCATCCTATCTGTGGAAACACACATAAATTCCTTTAGAATTTTTTTTGCAATCCTATTTGGAACTCGTGAATTAAAAAAAGAATATCTAATGGAAAGAGCCGATGAATTCTCTCTCGTAGTCTGGTCTTGTTAAGCGTTTTCACTTTATCCTGCCGATTTGATATTTGCAGTACATGAGAGAATGCATCCTTGGGAACTTCAAGAGAAGATTGATTACGGCACTACAGACTGATAACGATCTTCAACGGCCTTCTGTTTTGGAGTCTCTTATTAGGCGGCATATGAGCATAGTCCATTTGGCAGAGCAGCACATTAGCATGGACCTAACCCAAGGCATCCGAGAAATTTTACTCACAGAAGCCTTTTCAGGGCCAGTTTCTTCTTTGCATACATTCGAAAAACCTGCTGAACAACAGCAAAACACTGGATCTGCAGTTGAAGTTGTGTGCAACTGGTACATGGACAATATCATCAAGGATGTGTCTGGCGCAGGAATCGTCTTCGCTCCGAGGCACAAGTACTTTAAAAGCGCTAGACCTGTTGGAGGGTATTTCGCAGAGTCGGTCACTGATCTCAAGGAATTACAGGCGTTTGTTCGTATATTCGGTGGCTATGGAGTAGACCGGTTAGATCGGATGATGAAAGTACATACAGCTGCCCTGGTAAACTGCATAGAAACATCTCTAAGGTCAAACCGCGAATTGATTGAGGCTGCTGCCGCAAGTATGCATTCTGGTGACAGAGGGGAGAGAGATGCATCTGTTAGGCAGATAGTGGATTTGGATACTGTGATAGGTTTTTGCATTGAAGCTGGTGAAGCTTTGGCTTTTGATGAGCTCCTAGCCGAAGCCTCTGGAGCTGTTCTTGAAGACAATGCATCCTTGATACACTCGATGATCTCCGGCATCGTCGAGCACATACCAGAAGAGATACCTGAAAGGAAAGAAATCAGAAGGATCAGAGGCGTGGCAAACGGAACTGGTGTAGCTGGGGATCATGACTCTGAATGGGTTAGACTAATCCTCGAAGAGGTAGGAGGTGCAAATGACAACTCGTGGAGTTTGTTACCTTACTTTTTCGCCTCGTTCATGACCTCAAACGCCTGGAACACTACAGGCTTCAACATCGAGACTGGTGGATTTAGTAACAACATCCATTGCTTGGCTCGGTGTATAAGCGCCGTCATCGCGGGAAGTGAATACGTGAGGTTACAACGTGAATACCAGCAGCAACATCAGCCCCTCTCCAACGGTCATCACTCTGATGAAAACCTCGACTCAGAGTTTCAACCCCGTGTAACCGCTGAAGCAAGCATCAAATCCGCGATGTTACTCTTTGTAAAATTCGCTGCATCAATCGTCCTAGATTCATGGAGCGAGGCTAACAGGTAAGAGAAACCCGAAGTGTGTTTTTTTCTTCATCTCTGTCCCACATATTTAATTCGGTCATCTTCATTGTTCTGCAGATCTCATCTCGTGGCTAAGCTTATCTTCCTAGATCAACTATGTGAGATCTCACCATACCTCCCAAGAAGCTCTCTTGAGTCACATGTCCCATACACAATCCTCAGGTCAATCTACAGTCAATACTACTCCAACACACCGTCCACGCCACTCGCAACTGCATCACCGCACCATTCACCATCCGTGTCTCTCATCCACGCTTCTCCCTCCATGAAAAACTCCACCACTCCCCAGCGTGGTAGCGGTAGCAGCGGTGGTGCCGCAACCGCTGTGGATTCAGGGTACTTCAAAGGCTCATCATCCTCACTCTACGGTCAAGATCACTACAATGAACCCGAAACTGGAAACTCAAGGAGCAATGAGAGCAGCAACAACAACAACAAACAAAGGGGTAGTTCTCGTCGCTCTGGACCGTTGGATTACAGCTCCAGCCACAAAGGAGGGTCGGGATCAAACAGCACAGGTCCTAGTCCACTTCCAAGGTTTGCTGTCTCAAGATCTGGTCCCATCTCATATAAACAGCATAATTGAGTAAGAACGATGCCACCGTGTTCTACCAAAGAGACGATTTTGTTTCTTTTTCTCCCAACAAAATGCAATTATGTAGAGAGATTAGAAGATTTGTACAAATCCCTCGCAACACACTTTGTTTATGTTTTGGATCATTCGACTTGTAATTCGCAAAACCGACTGCATAATTTTCTTGTTAATTTCATATTTCCGTTATCTATATATATCAAACATCTAACAATTTTCATATATAATAATTAGCAGAATTTATGGTATACAATATCGTAAAATTAAATAATTCGCAGAGCTGTTGGGAAAGAGGTGGACCAAATCACCAAAATTACCGAACCCGAATAACAACAGTCATCTTCCTTCATTAGTCCGACTCTGAGCAGCTAAGTAACATTGTTCAATCAATAACCCTAACTTTCTTCAATCTTCTTCTTCATCCAATGGCGCGTAAATCTTCCCTCCTCAAACGAGCTGCCATCGCCGTCGTCTCCGTTATCGCCACCTACGTTATTCTCAACGCCTCCGTCAGTCGCTCCCTCCCTTCCTCATCCGATCTCCCCCGTCAGCTTTTCCGGGAAGAGGATGATGAGGGAGGAGCTCCGATTCAGCAACGAGTTAGGATTTACATGTACGACCTCCCCCGGAGATTCACTTACGGTGTAATCGAGCAGCACGCCATCGTTCGCGGCGGGCTCAAGAAGCCCGTCGATGACGTCACCACGCTCAAGTATCCGGGTCATCAGCATATGCACGAGTGGTACCTTTTCTCGGATCTGAACCGACCCGAGGTGGATCGATCCGGGTCTCCGCTCGTCCGCGTCACGGATCCTGCCGAAGCTGATCTCTTCTACGTCCCGGTGTTCTCTTCCCTCAGCCTAATCGTGAATGCGGGTCGCCCCGTCGATCCCGGATCCGGTTACAGCGATGAGAAGATGCAGGAGGGCTTGATGGATTGGCTTGAGCGCCAAGAGTGGTGGAGGAGGAACGAAGGGCGGGATCACGTGATACCCGCCGGTGATCCGAATGCGCTGTATCGGATCCTGGACCGGGTCAAGAACGCGGTTCTGCTCGTGGCGGATTTCGGGCGGCTGAGGCCTGATCAAGGATCGTTCGTCAAAGACGTGGTGATACCTTACTCTCACAGGGTCAATCTCTTCAGTGGGGAAATCGGAGTGGAGTCTCGCAACACATTACTCTTCTTCATGGGAAATCGATATCGCAAAGATGTAAGTTGAATTCGCCTTTAGCTCGTTTCTTGAAAAAAATTTGAATAACTAGAGCTCAAAATGTTGGTTTCTATTGAAAATGTTCAGCTAGTGTTAGACTTTTCTTATGATCTAAGTGAGCTCTTGATTCAATGGCTGTGTCGAGTTACATGCTTCGAAGAGTCTCTTTGGATGTAATGATGCAAAAAAACGTATTCTTTGAGAGCTCATTTACAAGGTCTCGCTCGTAAGAAACAGAGAGTTCTTCATTTACATACAGTTCTTTTGTTTAATCTCTTGATTTGATGCTATTATTAGTGGAAAAGATACAGCCTTTAGTGGATTCAAAATCGCATCGAGTTTGTATTTTCTTGAGAAGGACAATATACCGACCTCCTTCTGACTCTGCTTCTTTGGGTATCTTCTTCAGGGTGGTAAAGTTCGTGACTTGCTTTTCCAAGTTCTTGAAAAGGAAGAGGATGTGACAATAAAACACGGAACTCAGTCCAGAGAGAACCGACGAGCTGCTACAAAAGGAATGCATACTTCAAAGTTCTGTCTAAATCCTGCGGGTGACACCCCATCCGCCTGCAGGCTCTTTGACTCCATAGTCAGTTTATGTGTGCCTGTGATTGTAAGCGATAGCATCGAGTTACCTTTCGAAGACGTCATAGATTACAGAAAGTTCTCGATTTTCGTTGAGGCCAACGCAGCTCTGCAGCCCGGATTTCTGGTTCAGATGCTGAGGAAAATCAAAACCGACAAGATTCTGGAGTATCAGAGAGAGATGAAATCGGTACCTTCGCCTTCTACTCGAGCTCTGATGTCGTAATATATTTGATTCTTTTACACTTCTCATGTACCCGAATGATGCAAACAGGTAAGACGGTATTTTGACTATGAGAACCCAAATGGAGCGGTGAAGGAAATCTGGCGTCAAGTCTCTCAGAAGCTACCGCTCATCAAGCTAATGAGTAACCGCGACAAACGCCTCGTCTTAATAAACTCAACCGAACCAAACTGCTCATGTCTATGCACAAACCAGACGGGTTTCATCACTTCCATATAAACAAGTATATATGTTTCGTGAGAGAGACCTATTGGTTTGTGGGGGAGCTCCAACTCTCTCCTTCTCAACTTTCTGACCCCTGTGACTTACACAAGCGGATATTTCGGCTTCCTTGGCTGGACTTTTCAGGTAAGGAAAGAGAGAGCACAAGCATGGCAACAGATTCATAAGGAAGATATATTTGAAATCCTTCTTCTGTAGATTTTATTAGTTTATCTCGTTCTTGATAGTCACACTTTATACGGACCCAACAGCCATTCTTTATTTTTATAATATTGTAACTCTGTACATTTCATAAAAATGAACACAACACAAGCTTCAATTAGTTTCTGCTAATGTGTTTTGAGAAAATATCTTACTCTATCAATATTGAAGCTTGGTCAGTGGTCAAATTGTTCATTAGCTCATCAGCACGAGTTACCGGAAAATGGTTAACTTTCTGGTATAAACCTGATCACCAAACCAAACCGGATTAATCTCCATCTTTGTTTGTCCTTAAAACGTGTTAGCCCTTTGTCCTTCAATCTTGAAATTTAAATTTCGGGCAACTTAAACAAAAATAGATGTATAGAATCGCATAATTTTGATCGTTGGTTTTTTTAATTATTCAATCTGCTTTTCAATTAATTAACACAAAAATTTGAAATAAATATCTAACCGACGACAAACTGAACACTGAAAGGATTGCATGTCTTTCCAATTAGTGATCTGACTATTCCTTAATAATCACCTATAATTTGCTGAGAGAAAACTGGAGTGAGTAGTACACACAATAATTGATATTAAAATATCTTCTAATATACAAAATTAAATTTAGAAAAAAACTAAATCATCTGTTATGCGGCTAATAGTATGTATTCATGTGTATTACATAACTCTTTCTCTGCATGGTTTTATCAACAACAGCAAAATATTCTTCATATGACGAAAGTCGAAACCGAAGAGATCACATGGAAACCCCCACTAGGCCACAAGACTTCTCCCACTCTATCGCAGCTCCGGTTACTTAAATTATCTGATATACTCTGAGTTAATAGACTTTCTCAAAATATTTAATGTTGACAGACTTTTACTAACCCGTTATTTGATAGCAAATACATCGAACTATCGAAGGCAATTCATAATTTTATATACGAAACATATATGTTTTTGAGCCCTATGTTTTTCTAGAACAGCATTTTATATAATAATATACGTATCAATGTTGGGTTCTAGCTAGTCAGGCTTCTACTTTCTAGAGATATGCTCTGACATAGTTGCTGGTACATGGGTCATCCGCCACCATTTAAATCGCTCCACGTGTTATAAAAATCCGATGTGATTTTCCATCATCGCATCACACATACATCACATATGATGACAAAAACTAATCGCAGCTTCGAAAACGAAAACACGTATGAATAAATACACGATGACATAAATAAGTAAATTTTAAAATATTACCAAAGAATCAAACATTTCAATTATTATGTCTCGAGATTTTTAATTAGAATATATTTATTCCTTTTGCCATCATGGGCCAAACGTAATTTGGACACATGTATATTATTTGATCTTCAATAAACTTCTTCAAAGTTCAAAGTATGTTTGGTCCCATTTTCAGACCAACAAACAAAAAAAAAAAAGAAATCCAAAATACATCTAGCTAGCGATATACTTGCTGAACATTATTGTTTATCCTTTCATCTATGTTTATTTGTTGTTCTCATGAAGCCAACAAAGAGATGTACTTCAACACACACACACAAAAACTTGGAGCGGTATACGTTTTGGACATGGACCACACATGACATATACATCATAGGTTAACCGTACCAGCTGTCGTGTTGTTTACATTTAGCATGCAACCACGTGGGTGCACCTATCGGATGATAATTACATATGGCTGCGTAAATATTTTGATTTTTTAATGAAATAGTAGAATAGAATCCGAATTTTATAAGCGTCTGTATATATAAAGATTACTCTCATAATTAGCCTGAATTCAGTTTCGATGATCAGAATATGATATGCTTATCACAAGTGTTTTGTGTAAGTTAAGGCAAAATGATCAATACTTTGGTCTATGAGACTATGACATTAGATATTATAAAATACAAACTTCTATCATCTAGCAAAAAAACAAAACAAATACTGTTCGACATAATATTGAAATTTGCAAATGGATCGGTGGACTTTTACATGGATTATGATAATGCACACGTTGCCACACGCCACGCAATTACGTTATTTCGGAATTCAGGTGTGTAAGCCAGATACGTATGCATGCAACGTAGTGGAATATACGTGTGATGTAATACTTGGATCGATATTATAAGCAAAATACTCTCTGAAAGTTGGTATTGTTCTTGGTTTTAATGTTTAAGATATATATTGCTTTCAGTTTCTCTTCTATGCACCATAAACCTTACAAAAGAGTCTTTGAATACAGAGTAACTATTATACTGAAAAGAGAATTATATATATACTATACACATATACAATACAACCAAACTTGTAGGGAACTTGGTTCAGTATCACGTGTACGCATGGTCCAGTTATACTGATAACGTGATTGAAGGTTCTCTTGTTGAATCTTTGAATTACTCGATAACTATGAGTCTATAACAACTTTTAGGGCTAATTATATATATATATATATATATATATATATATTTTGTATGATCTACAACTTTCCATCATGATTTTCTCTTTTGAAGCTAATGTGACGCCTCTCTCAGAAGATTTAATATTTGTTTTCTTTCTGTCCACACATAATTATATTTAGTTACATGATAAAGTATAGTATGTATAAGGTGTTTGATTGAACTTGACTTGTATTCTTTTATTGTGCAAGGAACTTTAGTTATATTCATTGTTAATATTTAAACCGTTATCATGGATCCGAGTACTGACCTCGTCGGAGTTCTTCAAAATATCATTTTCTAGAGCAAGTGTCAAAATTAGGGTCTAATAAACAATTTTGGAAGGACTTAATAAATGAATTATTGTTGCCGAAAAGGGTAAGTACGAGATCATATAGCGACAACGTTACCCCAAATGGATAATCACTTTATTTATTACCCCGGTCAATGTTCTTTAATAGGGGAGACGTTCGTAAGGTTAAAGCAATTGAACGATCATAAATACTATCCACAACAAAGTTTTGCATCCGTTTTTAAACTGAAGTAAGAAGTACACAATATCGCAAAATTATTTAGACAATTTTATTATATAAAGTTGAATGGATCAAAAGTTAGTTTTTATATATTTTCATTAACAAAGAAAGTAAAAATAAATAAAAATAAGAATAACTTTAATTTAGTATAACATAAGCTAAAACATTAGTTTTTTTTAAAAAAAAAGGAAAATACTATTAATATTTATATAAATACAGAAATATTCTGAAATGTTTGTATCGTTATATGTGAGTATGCTTTATTTAAATTTATAAATATTTTTTTTAATTTTTTACGAATTTATAAATACTTTATTAAAAACTGTATATATACAGATCCTAATATAGTATTGTTAAAATACAAAAAGTTAAAATAAATAACTAAAAAAATAGTTTACCTAATTTTTAAAAGAAGATTCGCCTTCTTAAAACCGTAAAACTTTATAAGTTTACAAAGTGTTACTTTTTTTGTACATCGTTGCATTAGTATGAAAATAGTTTTTTTGAAATTTTTTGAAATTTCCTATATTACAAATAATGAATATTTTATATGTCACAACACTAGAAATAAATTTAAAATTATACATTAGAAACATCAGACACGATAAGTCGATAACGATTATGCGTGTGGTCCACACTACACATATATATGGTTCTATCTGAATATATAATTTTTTTTTATTTTTAATATATAGAATCATGATAAACGTTTTTAGTTACATTACATTAGCTGATTTTGATAAACTGGTTTTCAATAATATATAAAATTCACAAGTTTTGGGAATCTAATTCAAATATCGTGTAAAAATATTCTTTTATCAGACTCTTGATTAACCAGTAGATCAAAGAGGCTTCTACAAAATGTTAGATATGTAAAACAAATTACATTCCCAACTTTTCAAAAGCATGATTATTTAATAAGAAAAAAAACTAATAAGAAAGAAAAATTCGTAAAAAACTAATAAGAAAGAAAAATTCGTAAACATGCAAGTTGGGTAATAAGATCAAGATGTGCATATATAAACTATAAAACGAGCAAGGATCCAAAACTGAATCCTACCTTCAATTGTCCTTTATCATTTATTTAGTTTGTTACACTAAAAAATTATTTTCTCTGACAGACTAAACAAGAACCACGTTTGACAAAATAACCTTCGTCCTTTTTTCTGTAGATAAATTTCCAGGACCGTTACATTACAATACTTTATATATTACTGAGTGTTTTTTCCTGAACATTATTGATTTCTGTTTTATTTTTGGGTCAACTAATTGATTTCATGTTAAAAAGAACGAGAATACTCACAAATACCATAGAGAGTCAATAGATCAAATTATGACTATTTTTGCACGGCTTGACCAAACATACCGCTGAAATTGTAACAAATAATGTAGCATCGATCATACATTATGAACACATGTGCAGAAGAATATGTTTAATATCAAATAAAGTAACGCATTATTTTTACATTAATAATTCAGAATTATTTTCTAAACAGATATATGTACTCTCGAGAAGGAAAAGAAAAAGAGTTATGCTTTGTAAAGTAGGCGTTACTAAAAGTTAATTTGGAACTTAGGAAATGGTTAATAGGAAAATACACAAAAGATTATTGTTTTTTACGTTCTTTATTTATTTTCAAAGTTGGTTTTCCCTATAAATAATAGTATGTAGAGTACTTTTTGTATGTGTGTGTGTAAAAAAGTAAGAGAATTGTACTTGCAATCAGAGAGGTACTAATTAAATACTTCTTCGATAACTCCAATACATATAAACATGAATGGACGACTATGATTTTTTTACGCTAATATATTTAATTCTCTCCACGTTCATCTCTGTCACATATCAGAATCATATTTGTACCCTCTCTCTCTCTCTCTCTCTCAACAGAATTTGCCTTCTTTACTCTCCCTTTGCGGAGAAAGAAAGAGAGAGAGAAGACGGCAGGTCTCTGGCTTTTCTTTCTTCCTTCTTCTCAAATTTCTATGGTAACTTCGATAATCTTCGTTTCGACTGCTTGAATATTCAGAGTTTTCTTCATGTTATTTTTTCTTATATTCGATGGTCCTGAGTCGAACAGGACCCACAGATGTTAAACGTGAGATTTTGTTTATTATGAAGACCATTTTTGTTTTTCCAGAGGTTTGAAGTCTCTCCGTTGGGTTTATATCATATCCTATTCCTGTAGGAAAAATTGATTTAGCATATTCTTTGTTTGATACTTTGATTGTTACATTTCCCTGATTTTCTTTGGCCGCTTGTTAATACACAGTATCTCACTGTTATTCGATTTCTTTCTGATTTTGGCAAGTAAACGTAATCGTTGAAATTGTATTCATTTTGGTAGAAGTAGCTCTTACGACATTCCTCTTTGGGCACTTTGTTTTTTCCTGAATATCTTTTGTGTTTGTGAAAATTTTCCATTTTTTCCTGTTGTTTTGTAGATTTCTCATGAGAATCGAAGCAAATTCAAGATTGGCTGTGAAGAAGATCTGGGTTTTGTAAGAAATTTCTGGGTTTTTTATGAGTTAGAGAATCAAAGTAGTTGTTAAAAAATGGCGGCGAGAGTAGAAGCAGCAACAGTGGGCGGTGAGATTGATGAAGAGACTGATGACAGAGGAAGTATGTGGGAGTTAGACCAGAAGCTTGATCAATCTATGGATGAAGAAGCTGGTCGCCTTAGGAACATGTACAGAGAAAAGGTATCATTTTTAATTACAAACACACATTCCAAATCTTTTGTGAACCATTTCCATTTCTTGATTTGGTTGAACATAAACATGTTTTGTTTTTGGCAGAAATTCTCGGCTCTTCTGCTTCTTCAGCTTTCGTTTCAGAGTCTTGGTGTTGTTTATGGAGACTTGGGGACATCTCCTCTGTATGTTTTCTACAATACATTTCCTCATGGGATCAAAGATCCAGAAGACATCATTGGAGCTCTATCTCTCATCATTTATTCACTCACACTCATCCCTCTCCTCAAATACGTTTTCGTTGTATGTAAAGCAAATGATAATGGTCAAGGTACAACATTTAAAACCAATTTGCTTTTTCTTTTGGTTTCTCTGTTTGTTGTTAGTGTTAGTAACTTAGTTGTTTGTGTTTTGTATGTGTGAAGGTGGAACATTTGCTCTGTATTCATTACTGTGTAGACATGCCAAAGTGAAAACGATAAGGAACCAACACCGTACTGACGAAGAGCTAACTACTTACAGCCGTTCAACGTTCCATGAGCAGTCCTTTGCTGCAAAAACCAAACGGTGGTTAGAGAAACGGACATCTAGGAAAACAGCACTTCTTGTTTTAGTTCTTGTTGGTACTTGTATGGTCATCGGCGATGGTATCCTTACTCCTGCCATTTCTGGTATGTTTGCGTTTGCTTTTCACATTCACATTGTCACAGTTGTGTTTTTTTACATTTACATAATACATTTACAATCTTTTGCAGTTCTCTCAGCTGCTGGTGGGCTAAGAGTAAACCTTCCTCACATAAGCAATGGTATTACTATTATCATTTATACATTTCAACTTCATCTGAAAAATTGATGATTTTTCTATAATAATCATAAGTGTTTTTTTGTGGTTATTATTACAGGAGTAGTTGTTCTTGTTGCCGTTGTGATATTAGTGAGCTTGTTTAGTGTACAGCATTACGGAACAGACCGGGTTGGTTGGCTTTTCGCGCCCATAGTTTTCCTCTGGTTCCTCTCGATCGCTAGCATCGGTATATACAATATATGGAGACACGACACTAGCGTCTTGAAAGCTTTCTCTCCTGTTTATATATACCGCTATTTTAAAAGAGGAGGTCGAGATCGCTGGACTTCTCTTGGAGGCATCATGCTTAGTATAACAGGTAGAACAAGAAACGAACAAAATCTTGCTGATTCTCTTCTCTTCTACTCTTCTCGTATTCTTGATCTTGATTCGTTTTTGTTTGTTTTCTTGAAAAATGGCAGGGATCGAAGCGCTATTCGCTGATCTCTCGCATTTTCCGGTTTCAGCTGTGCAAATCGCGTTTACTGTAATCGTGTTTCCTTGCCTTCTTTTGGCTTATAGCGGTCAAGCTGCCTACATTAGGAGACACCCTGATCATGTCGCTGATGCGTTTTACCGTTCCATTCCAGGTTTCTTTCTTCGATTATACTTCACCGTCTTCTTTCGTCTACAATCAGTGGTAAGGTTTAAGTTTGTTTTTTAAATTCTTGCAGGAAGTGTTTATTGGCCAATGTTCATCATCGCAACCGCTGCAGCGATTGTGGCGAGCCAAGCCACGATATCGGCGACGTTCTCACTAATCAAGCAAGCTCTCGCACACGGTTGTTTCCCGAGGGTGAAAGTTGTGCATACTTCTCGGAAATTCCTCGGTCAGATCTACGTTCCTGACATCAACTGGATCCTAATGATTCTTTGCATCGCGGTCACAGCTGGATTCAAGAACCAGAGTCAGATAGGAAACGCTTACGGGACAGCGGTTGTGATCGTCATGCTTGTGACAACTCTGCTCATGACGCTGATCATGATCCTCGTGTGGCGTTGCCATTGGATTCTTGTTCTTGTATTCACCATCCTCTCGCTCGTCGTCGAATGCACTTACTTCTCGGCCATGCTTTTCAAAGTCGATCAAGGCGGTTGGGTTCCTCTTGTGATCGCTGCGGCTTTTCTACTCATCATGTCCGTATGGCACTACGGAACTTTGAAGAGGTACGAGTTTGAGATGCATAGTAGAGTGTCAATGGCTTGGATCCTCGGACTCGGTCCTAGCCTTGGGCTTGTTCGTGTTCCCGGGGTTGGTCTTGTTTACACTGAGCTAGCGAGTGGAGTCCCACACATCTTTTCTCATTTCATCACAAACCTACCGGCTATTCACTCCGTTGTGGTGTTTGTATGCGTCAAGAACCTCCCCGTTTTCACCGTCCCTGAGGAAGAACGGTTCCTCGTTAAGAGGATTGGTCCCAAGAACTTCCACATGTTCCGTTGCGTCGCAAGGTAAAACTCATCACTGAACACTTCTCTGTTCTTCTTCCCTCTGTTTTCTCAACCTTGAATACATTGTCAACAGGTACGGATATGGAGACTTGCACAAGAAAGACGACGATTTTGAAAAACGACTCTTCGAGAACCTCTTCTTGTTCGTCCGCCTTGAATCCATGATGGAAGGAGGATGTTCGGATTCCGACGAGTACAGCATCTGCGGAAGCCAGAATCAGTTCAAAGACATGCTCGGAAACGGGAACGAGAAGGAGAATCTAGAAACGTTTGATACATTTGAGTCGATAGAGTCGATAACGACGGTGAAACGGGTGAGCCACACGGTGACAGCGTCGAGCCAGATGAGCGGAGGAGTAGACGAGCAGGAGTTCATAAATAGGTGCAGGGACGCGGGAGTGGTGCATATAATGGGGAACACGGTGGTTCGAGCGAGGAGGGAAGCGAGGTTCTACAAGAAGATAGCCATTGACTATGTGTATGCCTTTCTTAGGAAGATTTGTAGAGAACATAGTGTTATCTTCAATGTTCCTCAGGAGAGCCTTTTGAATGTTGGTCAGATTTTCTATGTATAAATATATATATGCATGTGTTGTAATATCTTGTTTGTATGTAATGTCTATCATGTTGTATAGTTTCTATCAAATATCAAAATTTTGTATTAGTTTCATCCCGCAACAAATTTTTTTGACTTAAAGTATAGTACAGTATAATACATTCGATTCTATACATCAATCTTTTTTCTAATGATTTTATATCATCGTCGATATGTATAATATACATTATGCATAAGAGAAACAAAACATATTTATGTAAATGTTATACCAAAAATCAAATACATTGATCTTGCTTTTATTGAAAGAAAGAGACTCCCGAGAACAGAAACAAATGAGTCCAAAAGTGCTTTGTACCAAAAACCAATTTACTTACACTCAATAATAATAATGGCTATACAAATATGAATATGTGCTTTTCAGGGTTTCTTGTACAAATCAACACCAGTAGTTTTTTTTCACCTTGAAACTGTAACACTCTCAAATCCGAAAGAAGCAGAAGGAATTTTATACACAAAACCATATATATTTTTTTTTACGAATTACGTAGCCGCAATAATAAACTGATAGATTACTTGTGGTTTTGGTGGTTGGCGGCGTGCGCTTTGGTCTGGGCCGCAGAGGAGGACATGGTCCGGAGACGTCTGGCTATCTCAGGGAAGGCAGGCCGAACAAATGGGTCAGGAGCCCAACATTGCTCCATCAGCATCCTCCATTCCGGGTCACAGTAGCTTGGCACTGTTGGTCTCAATGTATTGTTCACTATGCCTCCTACGAACACAGAAAGCAACAAATGTGTCAAAAGATTCAGACTACCAAAACAATTTGCGTCCAAAAACTTGTTGGTAAGAACAGAAACGGAGAGTGAACAGGAGAAGAGACACAAACTATTTACCAATTATTGCCCCGTAATGCATATTGGCGTAGGGTTCCTCACCGGTGAGAATTTCCCACAAGACGATTCCGAAAGAGAACACATCGACCTGTGTGTGAATGAAAGTATCCACGGCGAAACATTACTTGCAAAATCATTTTTAAGGGCTTTTTAAACTGATGGAAATTGTATTCATCTTCCAACAAACTCAATGGGTTTCATACCTTTTCCGAAACTTTGCTGCTGCTGCCACTAAGTAGCTCGGGAGCCATCCAAGGGAGGGTTCCTCTTACACCACCAGTTACCAAAGTGTTTCTTTTTATCTTTGACAGTCCAAAATCACCAACCTGCATAAACCAGCATCTCTTTGTTACATACACAAAAAACAATATGACATCATTATGTTTTCGAACTGTCCAAGAAAATCACCTTGCATATCGGACGGGCGGGATCCTTTAAGTTGACAAGCAAGTTGTCACACTTCAAGTCGAAATGCACAATGTTCTTTGAGTGCAAATACTCCATCCCAAAAGCTGCATCCATTGCAATGATAAGTCGCTTACGTCGATCAATCTGCCTGTAATTCCCCAAATGCGAGTTGGTATAAAACTAAGGTTGACTGTAGGAAGAAAGGATTCCGAAACGCTGTGTAAATAATTTACCTGTTGCTGAGCAGAACATGTCTAAGCGATCCATTGACCATGTACTCTGTCACTGTAGCTAAAGTTCCTCCTGGCCCATCTTTCACTACGCCATAAAATGCCATAACATTTGGATGATGTAGCTTGGAAAGAATTTCAGCTTCATGCCAGAACTCCGAGGTCTGAAATTTTCAATCAGTGGTTGGTGAAACTGAAAACCAATAAAAAACTAATGGAGCTTTCTCGAAAGTAGGAATAGTAAGAATCGTTTTCTGCACTGAAGTAAAATGTAAGATTCAACAGGGAACGCCAACTTCTTGCTCATATCGAGCATCCAATGAAAAGCAAACAACAAAAAGCTCTGTTCTGGGATCAGATAGTAGTAGTGTCTTCTACCAGTATTCTATTTACCATAAAGCAGACAAATTATGTAATTTGGGAGAACCACGGGGTGGGAAATGTAAAATAATTCTCCGATACCCCAACTCCTTGTGAAAGAAAGCTCACCAATCTCTCTTGTTCAGATGTACGACCAATGAAACAGCTCCTTTTTATTCGCTTAATTGCAACATCTGTTCCCCTCCATTTTCCATGATAGACAGTTCCAAAGGTACCAGAACCTAGTTCCTTCAGTTCTTCCAAGTCGTCATTTTTAATGACCTGAAACAGAAACAAAATAGATACAATCATTTCATTTTTCTCCATCAGAGAGAAAACCAGGAGCAAGACTGACAAAAGATTTCTAGTCTATAAGCAGCGTGCATTATGCTGTTTCTACAAAATTCCTTACAACAAGAACAGACAAATACCAAAAAAACAGAAGAGGCAGATAAAGCATGGTTGATAGAATATGAAAATCTTTTTGGCACTTAAGAGTTGTACTAATACTTCACTGTACGAAAGCCAGCTTTTAAAATCACCCGAACAATGATTCAGGACCTCTGATGTGATGCTGTTCAGATGCTGTTCAGTTCACGATTGTGGCCCAATCGTTAACATAGTATCTGGTTATAAAGAGAGCGGCAAATGCAACACTTTGTAAACATGTTTAGCCGTAAACTGACAAATGCATACCTGCAGAGACCTGATGCCACTATCCTCAGCAACAAGGTCAATAAGAGGAACTCCAGTATTCTACATATCCAAGTATATAGAAATCAGAACGTATCAGTTGAAACATGTCTTTTGCCAGTAGTGAAACTTTATCAGATTTTTCATATATATGTTGAAAACAAGAAGCGTACCACATTTGCATCTGTGATTTCAGCACCCTTGAACTGTGGCTGACGGTAATCTTCTTGTGTGTCTACTGTGCTCGAAGCAGCTACGGCAGTGGTAGATACATCCGGCTGGATATTTCCATCAAAGTGGAGTTGTGGATTTAACTGAGTTGGAGCAACTTTCTCAGACTGCAACGGTGGGTAACTGTAGTCAATAGGAACTCCGTCGGTGTTGGTCAGGGAAGTGGGAAATCCAGGGTGGTCCTGGTCCATAAGGGATAGATCCTTTCTCTCAAACTCACCCTGCGCCAAATTTCGAAAATACGACCAATTTTTAGGGTCAAGATTCTGAACATTTAAACTCACTCCAACTCCATCAGCATGCAATGGCCCTAATCCAGGGAAGTTTAGAGACTCTTTCACTTTCAATATATCAGCAAGAAAATCACGAGGAAACCTATCATTTATATCAACAACTATATCCCCGTTCTCAATATGTCCTCGCGGAACAGCCTTGACTGAAGTCTCTGCCTGACTTACGTGTTCGGGGGCGTTAGGTTCCAAGTTTCTTTCTTCAAACTGTGAGATATTACCCTCGGCTGTCCAGAGGCTTTCAGGAGCCGATCTTACTGGTGCGCTAGAATGAACATTCTGGGACTCCGTATTTGCTTCATGAAAAGTTTCAGCTGATTCGCTGATAGGCAGGAAAACATCTGAAGTTGATTTAGCCAGTACAAATTGAGAACCAAGGGAATCATCAGATTTTGACAAACGTTTAGTTTCTGCTAGGTCTCGTAGAGTGCGCTCAGAATGAAAAACCCTTTGATGAATCACAGGCTGGTCGACATTACTCACATTACATGAATCCCCATCAGAAGTAACAATCCCCGATGCAGAGAATTCTCCAGGTAGATAAAATTGATTGTCTTGATTGCCTTTTATGCCTTCACTTGCTGTATCTAAGGCAGCCGTTTTCTCCACATATTCCTGGGATGTTTTAAGACTTCTTTCTGGATAAACAAAGGAACTTGGATCTGGAGTTGAATTGGATAATTGCATGGAAAAAGGAGCTTCTTCCTTGAGGGTGTGGTCTGGGACCATTGAATCACTAGATACAGAGGAGATGGAATACTCATTGGCCCTTGTGGTGGAGTGTTCTTTCCTCATATTGGGCTCCTTTGCCGAAAGATTGTTCTCAACATGGTCCTGAGATTTTCTGAGACTTTTCTCTGGACAGGCTGAGGTACTTGGATCTGGTGTTGAATTGCATATTTGCGTGGCAATTGGAGCTTCTTCCTTCAGGACGTGATCTGGGACTGTCAAATCACCAGGCATAGAGGAAACAGAATGCTCACTGACCCTTGGGGTTGAGGTTTCTCTCCTCATCTTTGGCTCCTTTGCTGAAAGATTGGTCTCGACAGTAGATATATTAGCAGGATCATTTACCTTCTTAAACGAGTCATCTCTTCTCATTTTGGTCTCCTTCGATGAAGCTTCTGGATCTTGTACATGAAAGATCTGCTCACCATTAAAAACTCCTTGCTCAGGTTTATGTGGGTAGTGAGGCACCACACTTTCAAGGGGTGTTTCAGAATTGGCAGAATAAGGGATATAATGAGGCTGTGGTTGAGCATGCAAAGGCGCAGACCCCTTCTCATCTATATAGCCTATGCTTGCCATGTGAGCTGACGTGTAAACTTGGTGGTTTCCAAGGCCGGCGAAGTTAAACTGCTGTCCTGGGTACGGCTGTGAAAATGGCTCATTTCCAGTAGGAAAACTTGTTACAGGTTGAGAAGTTTGGCTCGCTGATAAAGATTCATTACCTGCCATGGGAGCAACCGAAGCAATTGCTGGTTCTGTGACAGCTCGACTGATCTCCCTATCAGTATTCCTGTGCAGTAGTTCATCCAAATTGTTCCCTGGAGCAATTATTCCAAGAGAACCTTTTCGTGAACTTAGCTCCATCCCATTGACAGCAACAACATACTGAACCTCAGAATCACCCTCTGCAGCTTCCAAACCGAAATGAGCCTCCTCTATGTCACTGCTTGAAAGCAAGAACATCCTAGGCTTCTCGGATCCTCCATTACCAAACCCATAACATTCCTCCATCATGTTTTGTAAATCCTCATCAGAAGATACGGAGACTAAGGCATCGAGATCCTCGCCTGGCAGCTGATATTTTATGGTACGTGCTTCAGGGAACATTTCTGACATTTTATGCATGAGTTCTTGGAAAGAAATAGTCTTGCTAATCCGAATGATACGCGTTTCACCGCCAACATATCTAAGTTTCTGATCTCTGGGGCGGGGTATGATTCTACCACCAAAACTACACAAGAACTTCGCCTGGTTCAGAGAGCTATCAGAAGCTCTAGAAGAAGCCAAACTATGAGGCCGTTGACCAGTGTCATTTCTTGAAGAAACAACCGGGGCAGACTGGACCAGCTCGTGATAGCTCTTATCTTCAATTCTAGAAGGGGGTTTCCTCTCTTGCTCAAAGGTATGACGTTTTTCTGCTGTGTTAAGCACTGCGGTGTTAGAGACACTCTCCGGTATCGGAAGAACCATCCCCATAGCACTCAAGTTAACAGAAACAGGCCTACCACTGGGGTCACCATACACATTCGGGACGAACTGCGGTTTCATAATCACCCGATCTCTCATAAACTCAAAAGCAAATTCTTCACCAGTCTGTATCGAGTAGTTCAGCACTGGCCGAGCAGGAGTCGGAATACCATAATCTGGAGGTCGTACGTTGGTGTTAATATTAGTTGAAGAATCGTGGGAAAACCTTTGATTCATGGAGCCAAGCCCTTCCTCTCTAGGGTCTGGGGAAGTATACCGAGCGTGTTCATAACCCTTTGCTTGATCCATGTTCTCTTTGTCAAGGTGTCTATCCATCTAGTTCATCAGCTCCCTCGCAGACGCTTGGAGGCGACATATCATGATCATAGCCCAAGACAAATCTTTGCATATGCATACTTCGTAGATACTTAGACGTTTTGGCTGCAGAACAACTCAAACGCTCATTGAGATGCCTGAAATGGAAGAAGAGTGATTTTACTAAACAGATCAAACCGGGAAAATGAAGAATCTAACAGTGTCACACCATGAAACTTAGCTAAAGTGACTACTCTGTTTAGGTTTCCACTATTCAACTCACAAGAGACAACGCAAATCTGCTTGGTCTACAGTATCACCATCAAGCAGCAAGAATCGCTGAATTCAAAATCGATCAACTTCACCCAACTATCAGCGAAACCCATTGTATCTCCGAGAAAGTTAGAAATCAACAGATCAAAATATAGAACTAAAAAACAAAATCCAAAACCTCAAACTAAAACAAATACGCGTTTCTGGAATCAAAACCGAGACCCAACGAAAAACAAAAGCCGATCAAGCATCAAAAACCACTGAAACTCTGAAAAAATGCAAGATCTGAGTACCATTAGGATACATACACCCAAAATTCAGTCGGATCCAGAGATTTTTCCAACAACAAAGGATCAGAAACAAAAAACAGCAGAAAGCTAAACGAAGGAGAGTAGGAAAGAAGGAGAGAAGCTGAGCAAATGGATTTTTGTTTTACCAGGAAAGGCGGCACCAGAGAGACTGAGGGGTCCTTTCGTTTGACGATCGATGAGTTGGAGGAGAAGACAAGTCCTTAATCTCTCTCTTCTAATTTGGACATTCCGAAATCATATTCTCCAGAGAAGAAAATATTGTGCGTGCCAATAATATCTGTACGAACTAATATAGTTTTTATGCTAATCTAATTTATTTTACATTGACGTCCCAAAATAAAACTATATAGTATATTGATATTTATTCTGAATAAAAACACACATAAACGTTTAGAAGCTTAGGTCATCTCCATGGATATAGTCTTTGTGTAATTAGTTAATTACCACTTCGATCCAATAAAGTTTTATGTCTTACTTATTAGTGTCTACTTTACAAGAAGAGAATTTTGGTTTCAAAATTTGAAGTTAAATAATAAGGCTATTTTGGGGGAAACAAGAAGCTTTTAGAAATGTTCCAGGCGAAATTACAGGTGTAATCTAACTGTCAAAGCCATAATAATAATTCTATATTTCCACCTGACGCCAAAAAATATTAGATATTTCCACTTTTATTCTTAATTTTAAAATTTTATCCCGCAAAATCGTAAAAATGAGAATTTGGTGAATAATCTAAAAGCTAATCAATTTTTTTAGAGAGATTAATTTTAGAATCTGAATTATACTTTTCTTTTTTTTGATTATTCACCAAATAATCACATCACAAAACCTAACAGAGCCCAAACGCTACACTCACACACTGTTGCAATATCAAACAGCTATGCTCAGCTCCGCCGCCACAGCCACCGCCACCGCCACCGCCACCGCCGTTAGTTCTCGCTCCGGTGAAATTCTCTGCGGCTACTTTCGAAAGCAAACCGTCGCGCCGTTTCGTTTTACCCAGCCTGTGAGTTCTCCTCTCTGTGTGGACGTGTTCTTCGTGTCTTTGTTTCACTCTCTGCTTAAAGGATACTGACAATTTTCAATTATCAGGTCCGCTGTACGTCGCTGCGTCCAAGTTTCGTTGCGGTACGAGCCATGGCGGAGTCTCAGACAGCTCCAAGGAATCCGCCGCACTCTTCGGGCTCCTCTGGTTGCTTCTCGTTTTGCTGCACAATTTCATATTTAGTGATCAATTTCTGTGAATAACAGTTGGTTTTAACATAATATTGGGCATTTGTATTCATCAGACAAAAAGCAAGCTTTGATATCTTTATCTGACAAGAGGGATTTGGCTTCTCTTGGCAACGGTCTGCAAGAGTTGGGGTATGTCTTCTTTCACAAACTCTCTAACTTAAAATTATACAGATTTTGACTTATTTTGTATCTTAAAAGAATGTGTTTGTGATATAATATGATTCTTTGTTCATCTAGATACACTATTGTTTCTACGGGAGGAACTGCCTCTACTTTGGAGAATGCTGGAGTCTCTGTGACCAAAGTGGAGAAGCTTACTCATTTTCCCGAAATGGCAAGTTTCTCTCTCTCTTAAGCTCACGGCTCTTGCCTGCTTTGTGTTTCCGCCATGCTCTCGTTATATATGTGACTTTTTTCAACGTTTTGTTGAGTTTAGTATATTAAACTTAGCTCTGCTTTTGTTTTTCATCTCAAAAAGCTTGATGGCCGTGTGAAGACTTTGCACCCAAACATACACGGTGGCATCCTCGCTAGAAGGGATGTGGAGCATCATATGGAAGCTCTTAATGAGCATGGGATTGGTGGGTTTTGACATTTTTATTTGTCCTCTTTTATCTTCATAAATTGAAATTAAGTCATCTTTAGTGTCTCCCTTATGCTAAAAAAAACTGCATCTTTGCTTTTTATTTTTCTATGTATGCAACTACAGGTACATTTGATGTGGTGGTTGTCAATTTGTATCCGTTCTATGACAAAGTTACTGCTCCTGGTGGGATCAGTTTTGAGGATGGGATTGAGAACATCGACATTGGTGGTCCTGCTATGATTAGAGCAGCTGCTAAGGTAAATACATATACATGTGCATCTGAGACTTATTCTTTATGTTCGTTTCAAGATTATAAAATGTACTTTTGCTATGTTGTTGGACAGAACCACAAAGACGTTCTCATTGTTGTCGATTCAGAGGATTATCAAGCTGTTTTGGAGTATCTCAAAGGAGGACAGAGCGACCAACAATTCCGTAGAAAACTTGCATGGAAGGCATTTCAGCATGTTGCTGCATATGATTCCGCGGTTTCAGAATGGCTATGGAAGCAGACTGAAGGAAGTGTGTAGTGTTATTTTCATTTGGTCCTCCTTACATTAGTTATACCAATTAGACTGCGCCTCGGAGATGAATATGATAAAAATAAACTATGATATCTTGTCTTTCACATGGCGCTTGGCGACTAACATTGATTGCTATTCTTGTCTTTCTCAGAAGAGAAGTTCCCTCCCAGCTTTACAGTTCCCCTTTCACTGAAGAGTTCTCTTCGTTACGGTGAAAACCCTCATCAAAAGGCTGCTTTTTATGTCGATAAGAGTCTTGCTGAAGTGAATGCTGGTGGTATTGCTACAGCGATTCAGCACCATGGAAAGGTAATAGTATGTTTTACCCCATCTTAGTTGTAAATGGCCATAGTTTGCAACTGTCATTTATAATCATTATACTCGCTTTTCAGCCATATTATACTTGACATTTTTTTTTCTCTAAACAGGAAATGTCATACAACAACTACCTTGATGCTGACGCTGCGTGGAACTGTGTGTCAGAATTTGAACACCCAACATGTGTAGTCGTGAAGCACACAAATCCCTGTGGTGTGGCCTCTCGCGATGATGTTCTTGAGGCTTACAGGCTAGCTGTAAAAGCTGACCCTGTTAGTGCCTTTGGTGGTATTGTAGCCTTCAACGTTGAAGTCGATGAGGTAAATTAAACTATGGGTAAATTAAACTAGTGTTGTCCTATACTGTTTAGTGATGTGTTTGTTATCTGTATCTAGGTTCTTGCAAGGGAGATCCGAGAGTTTAGGAGCCCAACAGACGGGGAAACTAGAATGTTTTATGAGATCGTGGTTGCTCCGAAGTACACTGAAAAAGGACTTGAAGTCCTCAAAGGGAAATCGAAAACTCTGAGGATCCTCGAGGCTAAAAAGAATGACCAAGGGAAGCTATCGCTGAGACAGGTTGGTGGCGGCTGGTTAGCTCAAGGCTCAGACGACATCACTCCGGAAGACATCAGTTTCAGTTCTAAATCAGATAAAACTCCGACTGAAAGCGAACTTGCAGATGCTAAATTTGCGTGGCTTTGCGTTAAGCATGTCAAGAGCAATGCCATTGTGATAGCAAAGGTTTTGGACTTTCTTCTCTCTGAATCTTTTCTTTTGTATACTTGTTTGCTCGTAAACTAATCTGATTCTTGGTTTCTTTGGGTGAAGAACAACTGTATGCTTGGGATGGGAAGTGGACAGCCAAACCGAGTGGAGAGTCTGAGATTAGCTTTCAAGAAAGCTGGGGAGGAAGCCAAAGGAGCTGCCTTGGCCAGTGACGCCTTCTTCCCGTTTGGTACGTTTATATTCTCCATAAAAACATTCTTCTGTTTGAATTGACTCATCAATCAACGAAGTTTTCATTTTTTTTTGTTGTTGTATGAATGGCAGCTTGGAAAGATGCGGTGGAAGAGGCGTGCGAGAAGGGAATAGGAGTGATAGCAGAACCTGGAGGAAGTATTAGAGACCAAGACGCCATTGATTGCTGCAACAAGTATGGAGTCTCTCTGCTCTTCACCAACGTTAGACATTTCCGCCATTGATGATGATGATGGATCATCTAGTTTTGTCTCTTATAAAAACATCCAAGAGAAGAAAACCCACCAAACATAAACAAGTGTAGTGGGAAAATGTTGTAACAATGATTTGAATATGCGTTCGGCTTTATATATGATCAGAACCTGAGATGTGTGTTCCTTCTAATAAATTTAAATTTTCAATTTGACAATTTTTACCCAAAAATCATATTTTTATACTTCTTCTCTCAACTCAAAATTAGAGAGAGAAAGTCGACGACAGTGGAAAGAAAGAGAGAGAGATGGCGACGGGGAAAGTGGTGGTGGAGAAAGTCGGAGGAAGATCCACGGCTACGAGTTGCTTCTCTAAGTATCCTCTCAAGTTCATCCTTCCAAGCAAGGTCTCTCTCTCAACGGAGAATTATATTCACAGTCCCAATCGTTAAATTACCGAAAGTGAAGGGGCGATAGTGAAATTTCAGGTAGCTCCTGTCGGAACTGACGTTGTCTGGATTTACAGCATCACCTACGGCGGCGGCATTGTCTCTGTATCTCTCTCTCTCCCTCCTCTTTCTCTCACTGAATTTGTCAATCGAAGAACAAATTGAACTCAAATTCTGTAGGGAGATTCGATTTCATGTGAATTCACCATTGGTGATGGATGCACTGCAGTGCTTACAACACAGTCTTCTACTAAGGTTGAATTCACATTAGGGCTTTTTTGTCTCTCTTTGAACTGGAACCTAATTTCATACTACTTGGTTGAGTTTTTTGGGAATGAATCTTGTAATTTCATACAGGTATACAAGGCAATAGGATCAAAGTGTTCAGAACAAACATTGGAAGTAATGCTTCTTCCACATTTCTGCTATTGCAATAGTATTAGAAGAACAGATTGCAATAGTATAGGACCCTTTTCTTTGATTCCTGTTCCTGATTGATTTTCTCGGTTGTGTGCAGTAGGCGAGAATCGGGAGTGAAGCTCTTTTGGTTGTGATTCCAGATCCTGTGACGTGCTTCTCCACTGCCCGGTACTATCAGAAACAGATCTTTAGATTGGTTTCAGGCTCTAATCTGGTCCTTGTGGATTGGATCACGAGCGGTCGTCACGCAAATGGTGAAAAATGGGATTTCGAGTTTTATAAGAGCATCAACAATATCTACCTGGACGATGATCAACCTTTATTCGTTGACACAGTAATTCTACTATTCTTATATCACACTTATAGAGAACCTTTTACCTTGACCAAGTAAATCCCTCTTGCAAACCTTTGTACTGTATGTAGTACTCAAAAGAACATTCATGAACGAGAGATTAGACCTAACTTTGGTAATGGTTTGTTCATTGCAGGTGCTGCTAGAGAAGAGGAGCAACCAAAGCATAGCCGAGCGGATGCAAGACTATCACGCCATAGCAATGGTCATACTCTTCGGGTATGTTCCTTTCTCTCTTCATGTAATAATAATACTAGAGCACATTTTTAGTCGGGTCTTTGGATCTTTGCTAAAATGTGTTTGGCAATGGATCACAAGGCCAAAGCTGAGGGAAATCCAGAAGCAAGTCCAAGAAAACGTGAAAAACATGATGTCGGAACAATTACAGATATCTTATGGTTCTCGGAGACGCAATTCTGACTCAAGCTCTCGAAATGGAGTCATGAAACCAGAGTTCATAGCTTCCTGCAGCACTTTTGGCCCTGAGGTTATATTTCATTCTTCCTTTCCCACTTTCTTAATTACTTACATCAATCAAGAAAACCATATATAGCTTCATGTACTGATCAAAGTTGGTGTAAATTTCTGTAGGAAAAAGGAGTTGTGATTCGAATAGTTTCGGATTCTACAGAGTCAGTCTACAACTTCTTGAGGCAACAGTTGGCTAAGCTTGAACCACTTCTTGGTCAATCTCCCTATGCTTGACTTACTCCATTTTATTTTGTAGTTGAAGTTTAGGAAACTAAAAATAACGGATATATGGGAATCAAACCGAAAATGAGCTTTCTTTTTTTCTTCTCCATATTGTTCCCCATATAATTGGAAATATTATATCATTGAGAACCCTAATGTTCTGTCTCATCTTCTTACAAGCATACATTTTTTTTACGAACGCCATTGTTAACCGCTACAAATGCAAAGACTTATAAGTTCCATATGAAACCGAGATCACAGTTTTTTTACGAAAGATATCAGAGCTAATGCAATCTCGCGCATGGTCGCGGCTGAGAAGTTACTACATAAGAGCATCGGTTTTGCCCATTTCAGAAAATGACCGATCAGAGCGACTACTTAATCTCGTACGTTTGATTTCTTCTTCCAATGATCACGGAAGCTCAAGACCCAGAAGGGAAGTATATACCTCCAATTCGCATGTGGCACGACCCGAATGGCTCATTGGGAAGCTTTGCAAAGAAGGTCGAATCGCGGAAGCACGCAAGCTGTTCGACGGATTGCCTCATAGAGATGTGATCACATGGACGGATGTGATCAATGGGTATATCAAGTCAGGGAATATGAGAGAAGCTAGAGAACTTTTCGATAGAGCGGATTCTCGGAAAAACGTCGTGACTTGGACTGCCATGGTTGGTGGGTACTTGAGATGTAAGCAGTTTTCTGCAGCTGAGATGCTTTTCATGGAAATGCCGGAGAGAAATGTAGTTTCTTGGAACACTATGATCGATGGGTATGCTCAGAGCGGGAGAATCGACAAGGCCCTGAAGCTGTTCGATGAAATGCCTGAGAGAAACATTGTTTCTTGGAACACAATGATCAAAGCGCTGGTGATGCGTGGGAGGATAGAGGAGGCCATGAATCTATTCGAAACAATGCCGATAAGGGATGTCAAATCATGGACTGCTATCGTCGATGGACTGGCGAAGAACGGTAAGGTAGATGAAGCAAGACGAATTTTCGACTGTATGCCCGAAAGAAACATCATTTCTTGGAACGCAATGATCACAGGTTATGCGCATAACAATATGATAGACGAAGCTGACCGACTCTTTCAAGTGATGCCGGAAAGAGACTTTGCTTCATGGAACACGATGATCACAGGGTTTATACGGAACGGGGAAATGAACAGGGCGTGTGGTTTATTTGACCGGATGCCTGAGAAGAACGTTATTTCCTGGACCACGATGATTACGGGATACGTACAGAACAAAGAAAACGAAGATGCGCTGAAAGTTTTCTCAAATATGTTGAAGGATGGTTGTGTAAAGCCTAACGTAGGAACCTATGTGAGCATTTTAAGCGCGTGTAGTGACTTGGCCGGGCTTGTGGAAGGGCAACAGGTTCACCAGCTGATATCTAAGTCAGTCCACCAAAAGGACGAGCTTGTGATTTCGGCGCTTATCAACATGTACTCGAAATCAGGTGAATTGGTATCTGCCAGGAAGATTTTCGATTCTGGGGTTGTAAGCCAGAGGGATTTGATATCATGGAACAGTATGATTGCGGTTTATGCACACCACGGGCGTGGGAAAGAAGCTATTGAGATGTATGATCAGATGCGGAAACACGGGTTCAAAGCTAGTGAGGTGACCTATCTTAACTTGCTATCCGCTTGCAGCCACGCCGGTTTGGTAGAGAGAGGAATGGAGTTTTTCGAGGAGCTCGCGAGAGACGAGTCGCTTTCTCTGCGGGAAGATCACTATACGTGTCTCGTGGATCTCTGTGGTCGGGCTGGTAGATTAAAAGATGTGTTAAAGTTCATCAAACGTGTCGAGGCTAAGCCATCAAGGTCCGTGTATGGAGCGGTCTTATCCGCTTGTAGTGTTCACGGCGAGGTGAGTATTGCTAAGGAGGTAGTGAAGAAGGTTCTAGAAACAGGGTCGGATGATGCTGGGACTTATGTAATGATGTCTAATATATATGCGGCGAGTGGAAAAAGAGAGGAAGCTGCAGAGATGAGAATGAAGATGAAGGAGAGAGGGTTGAAGAAACAGCCAGGTTGCAGTTGGATTGAGATCGGGAATCAGAAGCATGCTTTTGTAGTTGGAGATTTGTCTCATCCTCGGTTTGAAGCACTTGATTCTGTAGTGTCCGATCTTAACAACAAAATGAGGAAGAACAAGAACATGGCTTCAGAACCGGAGGAAGATGAGTTCTTGGCTATTTGAAATCCTTTTGCTTACCGGAGAGTTATTCAGACTTGTTGGTTTATGAGCGGTTAACCGGAATGAGTTTAGCTACCCAAAACATTTGGTATTGAATGCAACTGCTCGAAGTATCAAGACGACAAGGACGTTAATATTATAGATTTATCATTTTTCTATCTTTTGATATTTTTACAGTTAGTACTCGGAAAGATAGAATAACGTCATTCATTGTTCTTTGTTATACAAATTGTTGGTTGGGTCAGTTTTTGTTTCTTCGTTTCCTGCCGAATTTTGAGACTTATTGGGGGATGAGGCTCAATGGGTCATGGATCAGATACACAATAATAGTTCCTCTATGGCTCTTGGGGACATTAGGATCATGTTATTTGTACCTAAGCTACAAACTCCAAAAGTGTGGGGGCGTATAGTTAGTCCCATAGTTAGACTTGGTAATGGATATAATGCTTACATACATTAAATTTTTGATGAAAGTTAAAAAAGATGATTAAAGTTTGATGATTATAATGTTTGTGCAAAAATTAAAGTTCTCTCATCCATAAACCTTCAGATTCTGAATTTTTAATGTTTGTGCTCTTTGTCAATAGCACAACCTCAACACTCACATGATCATACCAAATTTTCAGTAAAACTGCATTTTCATTCCTTTTATATTGTAAAAAAAATAGTTATACATTTGCCACTACAAAAAAAATATTAAAATTAAGTTTGACTAAAGAAAAAGATGATGATGGATATACTGCAAGATATTCGCACAAAAAAAAAAATATACTGCAAGATAAAGATATCAAAACTAAGATGATTGATTGGAGAAAAAGTTGCATGTTCTCCTTGAATGGAATTGAATGTTCAGGCTACATTGATTGGCATGCTACAATTTTTTCTGAATCTCATATTCACAAAGCACATGCCATACTATCTAGAGAAACTGTAAGATCAATCTCTGTTGAATGAGATTTCTCTACTGGGAGTAATTGCTGATACCATACTATCTAGAGAAACTGTAAGACTTGGTAGCTAGCAAAGGCTTGTGTCTCTTTTTTTGGGCCGATTACCAACAAGCCTTTGGCCAGTTATATTTATTCATTCACAGAATTGGTGGGTATTGGAATGTAAGTATTGCAACAAATTGAGTTCTTTTATGTTTATGTGAGTTATCAGAATTAAATGAATTTGGTGTTTGCTTGCAAATTTTTTTCGCGTGAGGTTAAAGCTTTATCAGGGTGAACAAGGCAATTTGTAGTGGCGGCTGCACATTCAGCAACAAGTAAGGACAATGAATCAGGCTCCTCTGGCTGCTTTTTATTTTGCTGCAATTTCATATTCAGTGATCGATTTTTGTGAATAAGAGTGAATAATATAACATGGGCATTTGTATTCATTAGGCAAAAAGAAAGCCTTGATATCTTTATCCGACAAAAGGGTTTTGGCTTTTCTTGGAAACGGTGACTCGTTTTGTATCTTAAAGAATGTTTGAGAAATTAAATGAGCATTTGTTCATCTAGTGGAACTGCCTCTACTTTGGAGAATGCTGGAGTCTTTGTGACCAAAGTGGAGATGCTTACTCATTTTCCCGAAATGGCAAGTTTCTCTCATGCTTTGTGTTTCCCCCGTGCCCTCGTTAAGATGTGACTTTTTTTAATGTTTTGTTTGAGTATATAAAACTTAGCTCTGCTTTTGTATTTTCATCTCAAAAAGCTTGATGGCCGTGTAAAGAGTTTGCACCCAAACATTCACGGTGGCATCCTCGCTAGAATGTTCAAGTTGACTGACCATAGTCAATTAAAATTTGAGATAACACTAATCCTAAGGTGACTGTAACTGAATAACACAGTAAGAAAATACAGATTTTTTTCTTGTTGAATAATAATAACTTTTTTTCAGGAAAAGCCTAATCAATGCTATTGTTGAAACAAAGAAGAGTATAACACATCCAAAAGACACACCTATCGACTACATCCTCTCTCATTGCCGATTAACTTACACAGTTCATATATAGAGACCAAACCCAACAACAACAAAGAAAGAGAAACAAAAAAGAACCAAAAGAGAGAGAGAGAGAGAGAGAGAAGAAGAAGAAGAAGAAGATTAGAGGGAGATCTCACATGGTGCGTGAAATGTTCTTCCCCGACAAATGGCTTCTAGATTTTCTCCGGCGTAGGAGCACAACGGTGACACCTCCACACCTATTTTAAGCTAGGATCGTTAAGTCGTATATTGCCTTTCATTAGGTTAAGAAATATAACCGACTGAACCGAAACCAAATTTGGCTCTGTTTGAGTAGATTTTTCAATTTAAAGTTTGGTTTACTTGACTAAGGGCTTCAGTTATTTCACCCATCCAAGGATTAGTTTAGTAAAGACAAACAAGATAAATAAGAGTTGGATAGAGCTTTTACCAGTTGCATATAAAGGAACGGAATGTGTAAGAAATCCACCAGCTGCTATGACCCAGCGTGTGTGCAGCCGTAGAACCAAGAGTTTCGCACTTTCCGGTGTGTCGAAACTCGACCCGTTTGCATTCTTCACGGGCGCAAACTCTTCCTCCCTCAACACCTGCAAAGCCAAGAAAACCCACAGATCAGAAAAATGATGACTGGCTTTTTAACAGTTCACTTGAAATCGTTCGGTGTTGATGCGTTTCATGTAATATAAACAGAAGATTACCTCGTAGAGTGCAGTTGAGGGAGCATACGGGAAGCAATCAAATATGAACTGTTCTAGTTTCACTCCCTCTGTAGAGCCATTTATAGACGGTATCTTCTTCTCTGCCACATGGTAACTGCAAGAGTTTATATCAGATATTATTATTAATACATCAAATGTTTTTTATATTAGCAGGATACAATTTACGGTAAAAGCATCTCTCACACGCTATCTTTTTCCAGCCCATTCGCAACTTGATTAAGGAAATCCAGAGTGAACATGTGTAAGCACACCTGAAACGTAAACATCGTTTCCGACTTACATTAAGAACTTGAACACATGCCACTTCCATAACAACACTCAGTTTCCCAACACATGTTTTAGTTGCATTAAGATGGAACAGTTTCCAAGCAATAATGCCGGAATAAAAAGAATTTCGAAAGCATGTAAAAGAGGGAGGAGTTTACGTTACTCCAGCAAAACTGAAGACGTCCTGTTTGCTGATTTGTTGCAGAAGCCATAGACGGGTCAAGCTCTGTGTACTCAACTACAGTCAGAGGCCCACCTTTGCCCCTCCTTACAAAAACTCCAACCTTTTCCTGTGGATACGCCTGTTTTCATCACAACAAGCTTCCCGCTTAAAACTTGTCCCAGGATAAACTAATCGCAAGAAGGTGAAAAATAAATCTAGAATAGCTTACTGAAGCAATTAATTAGAAAATGTATCTGAATACCTTGCGCACTACTTTTGCAGCAGAAGCTGCACCTTTGTCGATGAAGTATCCCAGAAAAGTAGGGTCAGCTACTCGAACCTGCTTTCCAAGATTGCGGTTTATTGTATAATAGTCAAGAAGAATTGAGAAAGTACAAGAAGACTTGAGAGCACTAAAAGAGCTAACCAGGACATTGTCGACACCATAGCAATCCACATACTTAATCCCCCTGGAAGCCATATCTTCTAATAACCTTGAATATTTTAGAGCTGAATAAACATAATAAAATTTTCTGATGAGAATCAGAAAATGCTGAAAATACTGTTTCCGGTAACTAGAGCAGGAGGAGAAGAGGATGAATACCTGCATAAACTCCCCCGTTTCCATCCGGAGCCTTGGCTAGCTAGTCACATATAATGAAATTCATAAGGCTAGTGTCTTAAGGATAAAAAGTAAGTGATTGTAAAACTCAAGAACCAGCGTCTAATAGCTTGTTTTGGAAGATACATACACTGAAAGGTGTCTCCATTATAAACTTTCCATCCTTTGTAACGCAAGGTAGGGTTCCTTGTTGGAAAAATGTAACCTACAGAGAGCAGGATCGATATTGGTCTCTGCACAAAACGTATAGAAATGAAAGAAAACAATATAACTGATTAAGAAGCCTCTTACTTGGTCTGGCTCAAGGCCAAAATACTTGTGACTCTCGAAGAATTTTTGTGTTGGTTCGTGAGTAAATGGACTGGTCATTATATACCAGTGTATGGTAACTGGGCGAGTTGGACCAGCTGCAGGCAAAAATATTATTCGAAGCAAGGTATCAAGTTTGGTATAGTTGAACGGATAAATAGAATGCAGAGTAGTGAACTTTACCTTCACTCATTGCTTGAGCAGCAAGCCTTTGGACACACAAGATCCTCTCAGCTTGAATCTGAAAAAGTGACTTTCCAGATGGTAGTCCGATATCTGAGATGATAAAGCTGCTGTGGTAAGGTAACAACAAAATATACCCTTACTAACAGTAAAATAAGTCATGTTATAGAATGATGCATCCGCTAACTTGCAAAGGCAATTTGCAACAATGCATAGAAGCTGGACAGCAAAAACAGAAGTGAAATGAGAACTACTCACTATAACACCCTTTCGGATCTGAACTTCCAAGTCTTGTTCCCTGAAATTATTTTGTAACCAGTTCATGAGTATTTTTATCCATGGATGTACTATAACACACACTAAAATGTGCATTGCAGAGGCAACTAAAATCTATTCGAAAGTAATTTGGCAAACTCATCATACAGTTGCAGGTGAAAACACTCCCATGCGGATATTCAGAATTTTCAATGCTGAAGTAAAAGGGGAAAGAAGATTACAGGATCCTATAAAGCATCTTTTAGGGTCAGGTCACGTGATAACCATTCTTTTTTCATTATTAGGTGCTCAGATTTCTAGAAGAAGGCACCGACGGGTTAGATTTTTTTTTTAAAGTTACACATGATTACTCTCATATAAAGCCTTTATGTCGTCCTATTTAGAGAAACCACACTTATCATACTAAAAACATTTCTGACCCCAGCTTTAGCAATAATTTAAGATAAATGCAATTATTTTAGTAGGTAGCAAGCATTATGCAAAACTCATTTCAGCCATAATAATAACCCATTCCAACCATAACCCGAGAATCATCAAAACCTTCTCACCAATCTTTAGTGGCTAGTTATAACTATCCAAGAAAAGGTAATTTCAAAGCGTGTGTGACCCATGGCCAGATCAATGTTTTGTTTCCAAAGCAAAGCAACGCATTACCAAGAAAAAAGATGCAACTAGGGAGTACCTGTCCACCAGATAAAAGCACCACACCCAATTTACCGTCATAGATAGCCTTCAATCCCATTTTCCACCATTTTTCTCTGTCTTCCTTTGTTCTTTCATCCACCGTTGATACACAATTCTCCGGCGGTGCCTCTATTGCCGCCGCTGGCAACCCTAATGAGGTGAAAACAGAGCTCCATTTTAAATCGAACGGACTATGTGTGCATGGCAGGAGACTGAAACAATTTGATTTTACTGGAAGATCAACATAAGTCAAACAGATAAACCTTGAGAGTGAAGTGAGCATCTGATGATTCGATCTATTCTTGGAAGATCCAAATTCTGTAAAGACAATAACGGATCATACTTAAATAAACTAACCAAATGCGAAATCGAGACGGTGATTCACATTATTTTGCAGGAAAACGCAAATACCACTAACAATCTTCATCTAATTAGCCGAATAGAGAATGCAAAAGGAAACCAAAAATTGAAAAAGAAACTCTCGTGAAATCTGAGAGACTGTATAATTCCGATTCACCTCGATATCTATGACGAGGAGATCTCGCTCTTCCGGTGAGAGTTCTTCCCAGAGAGTGAAAACATCTTCCTGTCCGTAATCCTTGAGCCTTTCCACCAACGCCTGATGAGGTGACGCCGCCGGAGGAGGAGATGGCATCGTCGTCACAGCCGCAGTTCTAATCTCTATCTCCGTCGTTGGCTCATTCATTGTCGAAAATCTCTCAGTCTCAAAGAATCTATTTGTTGTTTAGTTTTATTTTTATAGCACAGAAAAGAACGAAGGAAGATCCGCGAAATGGGAGAGACGAAGAAGACAGAAGGATCAAATTTTAATCAACGTGTGACAGTATTTGGTAAATGACCACAGTACCCTTCTTCCTTGTCTGCTTCTAGATTAGTCAGAGTCCTCCGACAATTTGTTGGCCTAACCTTTGACAATTAAATTTCCAGAGGACGTAGATCTTTTTGATGCAATCGTTTCATATTTGTAGATTTGTAATTTCTACCGTTTTTATCTAAATTCAGATATTGAGATACTTGTGAAATAGGAAGAGATAATAGTTTGACACTAGTCTGATTCGACTGAGATCTAGGGACTGTGATAATAGTCTCAAACTACACACTCTTGCAACTACTCAACACGGTCGCCGTTTACTAGACCGGATTGGTCTTCACTTGTAGAGCTCTCCCATGAGATTCTTCAGCTTTGGTACATCTGCACCCACAATCTCGGCTTTCTTCGAGCCTTCTTTGAAAAAGTGCAATGATGGCTGCATCATAAATGTTCATGAGTGTTTGTTATAAAGAAGATGCCTCGTTTCAACATGGGTTATTCCAAAGAAAGGGTTGTGAAGGCTCACCACAGCAGTGATATTCGACTTGCTGATAGCGTTTGAAATCCCACCCTACATATATGCAAAGAAGTCTTAAGCGGACATTCATGAAAAAAGAGAAAGATTGTGAAAAGAGCAAATGGTTCAGCTACTTTACTTGCTAATTCAGTCACACACATGGTATATATATAGCATTGACAAACAATGTTATCTTATCCTTTGATTTAAGCTCAAAACACATAAGACATATATGCATAGAGTTTAAAAGCACAACATTTCAACATATTAGACTCATACATTCATAGAATTCAAAAGCACAACATGTCAACATACCTCATCAATGTCGATTTTATACGTTGTTACATCGGGATATTGTTTACTAAGCTCCTCGATTACAGGGGCGAGGAGCCTGCCTGAAGTCAACAATGATGGAACACCAAGTAATTAAGCCACTCACAATGGAAAAAAAAAACCTATCCAGAACAAAAAAAAACTCAATTTCTGAAGAAATAACATACATGGTCCACACCATACGGCAGTGAAATAGAAGATCGACGGTAAAGATCCATCTGAATACACATAACATTGAGAGACAACATAAGCAGTAGATATCATAGACTGCAAATTCACTTAGTGTGAAGTAAGTAGTTACAACGCATCACCAAGATGTTTTTTTACCTATAGCTTTGCTCATTGCATTGGTGAACTCTTCCTCTGATTTCACTATAATAACACCGTTTTCACCTACAATCAAAATTGCTGGGTTATGTTAACTTCTGAAACAAGAATCTTTTTAACGACACAGATAAATTCCCAATCTTTAAGCTTTTGATGATTTGGCTTTTGGTGGAATTTGATAATGGTTATTTGATTCCCCATAAAAGACTTAAGCACTATAAACCCACACTAATTTTATCTAATCAATCTCGTATTTCAACCCAAAAACGACGCATAGATCATAGTACTCGCTGCAAATGTCAAATAAAACCACAAGAGGAAGTAGCAGAACCAATTGAGCGATTACCTCCAGCTGCCGAACAGATGCTCCTCCGGTGAGAAAGAGAAGTGTTGTTGGAGAAATTAAGCTCAGTGGAAGTGGTAAAGGTGGAGGCAGCAAACACCGAGCTTCCAGAGATCTGCGACGACATCGAGTTTGGGGACAGATTAAGCGATCGGGCAGAACTGGACAACGCGGAGGATCGCGACGACCGGATTATGGAGAAGCGGCGCTGGTAAACTTGACGGACGATTGACCAATTTCCTTTCATACTCGACTCGAGCTTCTCGATCGACGATCGATCTCCCTTTGCCTGATTCAAGGGTTTACGAAAATCAATTTCTTTTGAGGTTTGGTATTCTCTTTGTTTCAGCTTCCCTTTCCGTCCTGACGAGAACGTGATTTGCAAAATGACCCACTAAAAAGTAATGAATTACTAAATCATCCCCAAATAAAGGATGCTATCAGTGTAGCCAAAAACGACGTCGTCTGCCTTAAACAGGTGATGGCTAAGCTTGTCCATTGTATTATGGTTGAAGTGATTCTTAAAATAATGGCTTGGATCCGGTTGACAAACAAAAAGATAATTATGACGTGGATCTTGTGTACTGTTCCCATAGCCTGCATGTTTCGTTAATATTTCTATTTTGTCCGGCTAAAACCGAGTTAGAATTAAAAATTTGAGAATGTTTTTTTAAGAATATACACTTCTTTTTTTGTAAGTCAACGATGATGATGGCTATCTGTGTACATTGATTGGATTTAAAATGGTATCTTTGTTATTTATTTTATTTTATTAACAATATGTGCATACAATTGTTTATCTTCTTATTATTGAATTGCCAAACTTATAAGATCCCTAAGGCAACCATCACACGAATGAAATTTATTTACCAAAAAGTTACAAACAAATGAATTTTGTAACTGAATTATATAGGGTTTTTTAACCTAATAACCATATTAGAATAACAATCCAAGAATATAGCTATCTTATTCAAAAAATTTGATAAATAACCATGACTCTTAGAAAAATTATAATACAGTCTTTCAATTTTAAGCGAAAGTAGATACTGTGAAATTTGTTTGTGACGTCATTGCTGTATAGGTGCTTGGTGCTTGCACTGTCCATCTTTGCTGCAACGTCAATGCCCTCTACAAACCAAAACGTCTAGCTCATATGGTATCTGCAGCGGCAAGAGCATACACTGTGAGAGACTTCAATCACCTGTTTGTAGAGATCCAACGCATGAACCTTGGATGTGCGGCTTATTTTGTTGATATAGGTAACAAATACTATATTATATATCAGATATTATAGTATAGGACCTTATAGAATAGTACACATAACATAGTCGTCTTTTATTGTTTTTAAGATTTGCACATTGGACGCGTGCCCACTTCAAGGGAAATCGATTCAACATAATGGACTCCAACATTGTCGAATCCTGGAACGCAGTACTAAAAGAAGCAAGAGAGTTCCCGCTTATTTGTACAACTATATGAAGTATATAGTATAGTATTGTACTCATTTAAAACACAATGACCTATTAACTTGTATAGTACCTACAAGCATAGAATCTGCTCTGGAGGATGTACCATATGAGAGTGATAATCTATTTATTACTCGTATATTCAAATCAAAGAGCGACTGCAAAATCAACATCGTCAATTATAATGGCAGACTCTTTCTATATATGTATCAATTGATATGTTAAAATTTATTCTCATTTTTTATTACTAACGTCAGCAATTATTTTCACTTTATTTTAAATAAAAGGGTTTTTGGTATATATTATAGAATATATAAGAAATATAATAACACCTACTTTAATATGGTTATTTTTTGAATTATAACATTTGATATGGCTATATCAACCAATTTTCTCAATTATATAACCAGCTTTAGTCACACACAACAAAAAAGAAAAATCTTGTTAAAGGTGGTTAACATTCCCATATTGTGTAAGATGTGATGAAGTACACCATTAGTTGTTTTGTTATTCAAAGTTTTAAATTTTTAAAATTATTCAAAGTTTTTAGATTCAGATTAATTACCGGTCTGAAAAATTCAATTTATTTTGCTAAGAAGATATTGACTTAAATATTTATGAGATTTCTATTCATGACCCTTGGAATTAGATGGCCACCACCAATAATTGTATGATGAAATGTTTCATCTGATCTCTGACAATAGAAAAATAAGAAGTGGTGTTTATTTCTAAGCTGTAAAAGTACAAAAAGATACACCAGACTTCTTCAAAGTCAAATTTGTGAACAGATCAAATAAAAAAAAAAATCTTCTTTTAATAATTTACAACAAGCAAGTGCTATGATCCACAGTGACGCAGCCACTCTTACACCCCCGTGGATTTCAAAACTTGACGTTGACTGTATCTTCCACCATATATTTTCACACCAAAACCTTTCTCCTCCTCTCGCATACGATGAAATTCATATGGCGATCCTCGACACAAACTCCAGCCGCTGGATCCTATTGCTCTTGCTCTTGCTCCAACACGCACCGTACGGATCCGGCCAGACCACGCCGCCTGGACCGCAGACGAAAGCCAACGACCCTGTTGTTATAGTGATCACGGTTATGTTCTTCGCCATCTTCGTCATGGTCTTCGGTTCCATCTTCTGCCGCCGAAGCAACGCGCCGTTTTACTCGCGGCCTTCCGTTTTCCGATCCACCGACGCAGATGCCGAAGCCCGCGTAGTCAGGATCAGGAGGTTGACGGCGCGTGGACTCGACGCGGAGACCATCGAGTCCTTTCCGACGTTTGTCTACTCGGAGGTGAAGACGGTGAGGATTGGGAAAGGCGGTGTCGAGTGTGCGGTTTGTCTCTGCGAATTCGAGGACGACGAAACGGTGCGTTTGATGCCTCCTTGTTGCCACGTGTTCCACGCCGATTGCGTCGACGTCTGGCTTTCCGATCACTCCACGTGTCCTCTCTGTAGAGCGGATCTTCTTGTCCTCCAGCAACAGGATGGTGACGAGAGCTGCTTGGTTCCGGATCCGGGTACGGTGTCGTCGGGAACGGATCCTGAGAGAAGGGTTTTGGAATCTTCGGACGCGCATTTGCTGGAAGGCATGACGTGGACCAATAATAACATAACACCTCGGTCAAAGTCAACAGGATTGTCCAGCTGGCGTATCACCGGTATTTTGTTTCCGAGATCTCACTCGACCGGCCATTCACTGGTTCAGCCGGCAGGGGATTTCGACCGGTTTACGCTGACGTTACCGGATGACGTACGGAGGCAACTGATGAAGACGAGGACGATTAGACACGTGGCGTTACCTCAGGCGAGGAGTTCACGCAGCGGATACAGAAGCGGTAGCGTCGGGAGCAACAGAGGTGTTTTCTCGTACGGACGGAAGAATAATAATTTCAATCGACGGCTACATTCGCTGTCTTTCTCCTTCTCTTTCCGGAGCGGTTCCGTACTGTCTTCTTTCAGCGGAGATGCGGCGGCTCCGCCGAAGAATCTTCCGGCATCGATTGAATCTGGTGAACGGTCTTTCGAACGACTCCGACCAGATGATCGAGTGTGAATAATATTCTTTTTTCCTACTTGTTTTTTGGGATTAAATGCCTTTTGTTTGCTTTTTGACTTTTTGAACATCACATCGTGACAATTATTTTCTGTCAATACAAGTTTCCTTTGATGATCATCACTTCATCAAGTTTCAGAAAGAATAAAAAAAAAAAAAAAACAATGTATGCGTGAATCTTTTAAGTGTAGCATATAATGAGTGAGCTCTTTTTAAACGCTTATTTCGACAATACATGAAATGTAACTTCAATTATTCAATAAAGAACACTTCACGAAATATGATGAGATTATTATCAGTTTAATCACTATAAACATTTTGAATCTCAGATAATACCAAGCTAGATCCAAGCGGGGAGTCCCTACAGTTCTATTCCGGTCTCATATATGCAGTTGAACTATTTTCTAACAAAACATAATGAATTTTACTTTTATGAGATTCAATGATGCATGATATTTTTCCATTAGCTTTCAAGATTTTTTTTTTAATACTACAACTTATTTAATAGACTAGCTTTACCATCACAACAGTTTCCAATGATGTAATTGGTAGGTATTCCCGAATATCATCCCACACTCAGTTTCGAATGTATCTTAAATTCTTAATTATATGCGTAAAAGAGAGATTATCGAGTTATTGATTTTCCTAGTGTGCCTTATTTTTATAGTTTCCCATATGATATCTCTCTCCTTGTTTTGGGGATTCCTTTTATGTCCAGTTTAAGAAGGAGTTTGTTTATTGAGTCTATCATTATCAGATCGAGTCGTATAGTTACAGAATCATGTAATAGGTGGTTCTGCCATTTGGCGTCAATTCACAAGGGACCACTTTACTCGTAGGTTTGACATGACTAATAAACCTACATATACGTTACCGAAGTAGCTGTGTAATCATATGCAAGAATGTATGCGAATTTGGCTTATCAAATTAGAATTTACTGCTTTGATTCCACGTGTCGAGAGGAGAGTGGTTGATTCTTGATACCTGATAAGATTATATATACTCCCAACAAAATTTTTATTTAAGAAAATAGAATTTGTTTCCTTCAGTCGATATTGACATTTGGCATATTTGAAATGATATCGATACAGTAACTCGAAGATTTATATGGAAACCAACAAATTGGTCAAACAAATACTATATATACAGTAGGTCTTTCATTTCATATCCATATATGAAGATTGTTTTCTCTTCTTAATTTGGTTTATGGCAAGGTAATTATGTATTTATTACATGGTATAGCCACAAGTTTTGCGAGTGGACAGATTATGTTCTTGTTTTAGTTTATCTACAAAAAGCAGAGCAAAAAGAAAATAAAAAATGAATTGAATGCTATTTTGTTCATGAAAACCACCTTATTGTAATTCTTGAGAGAAATACTAAACTGTTGATCCAGTCCATGGCGTACGATTCAGATACGACGGTACCGATGCCTGAAATGGAGACAAAAGGCGGCGACCTAGCCATCATAGTAATCACGTCTATGATCTTCGCGATCTTCGTCGTGGGTTTGGCTTCGGTTTGCTATCGCTGGAGCTCTCGCCAATTTTACTTACCAGAGCATTCCTTAAACCAGTTCACAGACTCCGACGATGAATTCCGCACGGCGAGAAGGACGAGGAGGAATACGGCGACGCGTGGGATCGACGCGGCTATCGTGAAATCGTTCCCGACGTTTCTCTACTCGGAGGTGAAGGAGCGGAGGATCGGGAAAGGCGGGGTCGAGTGTGCGGTGTGTCTCTGTGAGTTCGAAGACGACGAAACGCTGCGTCTGATGCCTCATTGTTATCACGTGTTTCACGCTGATTGCGTGAATGTCTGGCTCTCAGATCACTCCACGTGTCCGCTCTGTCGGATGGATCTTATCTTCCAATCGGTTGAAGGAAGCGACTTGGTTTCGGATTCGGATCCGGATCCTGAACAAAGAGTTCCAGGTTCTAACGCGTATTTGCTTAACGGCGTGACGTGGAGCAATAGGAATAAACCATGTCGGTCAAAGTCAACCAGATTGTCCCACTGCCGAGTCTCGGAAATAATATTATTCTCGAGATCGCATTCGACCGGACATGATGTGGTTCAACCGGTAGAAAATATCGACCGGTTTACACTCCGATTACCAGAAGATGTACGGAAGAAACTGACGAAGAATACGGTGGGCCACGTGGCGCAAACTCAGGTGAGAAGCTCGTGGCGCGGTTACAGAAGCAGAAGCCTCGGAGGCGAGAGGACCGTCTTCTCGGACAAAGAGAATAATTATAACAATCGAAGGATGCATTCGATGACTTTCTCCTTCTCCGGTTGTGTCGAGTCCACCTCCGGTGAGGGAGATACGGTGGCTCCGCCGAAGAGTCTTCCGAAATCGGTCGATTCCAGCAAACGATCGATTCAATTACTCCAGCCAGACGATCGAGTGTAATTATCAATGTTTTCACAGTATATGTTTCTGTGCCAAAAATGCATATTCGTTTTTGCATGTGATTTTGTTATATGTTTTGCTTTCATTTGTCATTGGAACATGACAAACAATTATTAAGGAAAAATATAAAGAGGAATAGAAAAATATGTCAGAAGTGGGATTTGAACCCACGCCCTCTTTCGAAGACCAGAACTTGAGTCTGGCGCCTTAGACCACTCGGCCATCCTGACTGTTTTGTCAAGTGACGATGTCTTGTATATATTAACACAGTAAGACTAATACAGAGTAACAAATCAAAAAAATATCATATCACTAAGACAAATTCAAAACAGTTATCAATCTGTAATGTGAAACAAAGCTTGGCTTCATCCCAAGGTCCATTGATCAATCTATATTTCAACCTCTATATGGAACGTCAAATGCATACAACTTTTAACATCAGATTAGATACAAACAACTCAGAGCAACAAGCCTCTAATTAGATATCAATAAAACAAATTCCAAAGAGGTTATCAATCTGTAATGTCAAAACAAAGCTTGGCTTCATCCCAAGGACCGTTGATCTCGAACTTGTACTCTTGCATCCTTATGAGCCAGTAAGGGCACACAACATTGACAACAACCACAAGCACAAGAAAGAGAACGAAGAAGAGTCTATGCAGCGCATACACAGAGTACAGAGTCAATCCCATCAGAGCAAACGAGAAGAAAAGGTGCAACCCAAACGAGAATTTCTTGATGCAGTAGGTGACGAGAGGCGCAAAGAGAAAGACTTGTAGTGAGAAGAGCATCACAGCAAATACATGGAGCCTAGAAGGAAGACGCGAGGCAGCAAAGACGGATGCTACAATCGAAGCATTGACAGATATGCAGCTCGTTAAACTCGGACTTTTCAATGCTCCTGGGGCCCTAATGGTGGATCCAGAGTAATCGTGCAAGAAGAGATGGAGCAGGAGGAGGGAGACCGTAACTGCCCATATCGAATCGGAGCTGATGGATCTCGTGAGCGTCTGGTAAATCGGAGCTAAGATGTAGAGTCCCGTGGTGAAGAAAGAGATGTTGACGACGTAACGCAGGAGGAGACTCAAAGAGAGCATTTTTTCCTCGGTTAAGAGGAGAACTAAGAACCCTGATGCTAAGAGCGAGAGATCAAGCAGCAATAGCGAGTTCTCGTCCAAAGACGATTCGAGAGTGTGGACCCAGACCAAGACGACGAGCGCGACGATGCAGAGGTATTGAGAGATCGAGACAGAGTCTTTCATCACCTTGAGCAGATCACGCCTCACGACGTTGGCGTTCATCACCATTTCCTCGAGGAACGATTCGTCGGTGTAGTTGTCGTCGTATCCGATTTGCATCCCTCCGTAGGCTACTTTCCTCCATTTGGGTCTCGGAGTTACGTCTCCGGCGAGATTCTTGTCCATTGGGAGATTCCAGTGAGCGTGTGACTGCACAATCTCAAATTAGGGGTTCTAAAGCACCTCGATCGAATCAACTTAGAGCGATGGATGCGAAAGCAAGGATGTGTCTCTGAGGAAGATCGAAGAAGCAATGAATCGAGAGGAAGGGGAACGCGGCGACGGAAGATTTTGTGATGCTTCTTTTTTGAAATAAGAGTAAGTAGAGGGCAGTAATTGGAAATACTTGCTAAAAGTTGGGGGTTTTACGCAATTGTATAAGAAAAAAAGCTCTCTCAATGTTGGTTTGTCAAAACTTAATTATTGGTTCTTGTTCATTCTTTCAGCTACGACTAATCTTTATTTTCAGATTCTATTGTTTTAGGTTCTGTGTATTCTAATATGCTAAGAGGCAAGTAAGTTTCGATGTTACTTTAATCAAAATACAATGAGACCATTGTACATTTATTCTCATTGAATATTGTTTTTGAAGACGAAAAGAGAGAGCTAAACATAAGATTTGGTCATGTCAAGCGCAAGCATATGCAAACTCGATGGATGAGGAAAGATCTCACTAAACAACAGAAGAAAAAACATGGAAAACAAGATTGTTTGAGTAAAACAGAGCATCTCTCAAAATGTAAATCACCAATCAAAATATGAGTCCATCAAAATGGCTTTTTTTTTTCAAATGGTATTATCTCATTACCCAATTCAGTCATCTTCTTCTTCATCATCTTCATCTTCCTCCTCAGATGCTTCCTTCAGCCACTGTATGAACGTCTCGCATTGCTGCAGATAAACTTTGTCGGCTTCATCCGCACCTGCTTTCTCTTCCGCCCATCTCAAGATCGCATCTTCTTGCACCACATCCTTCTCATACAGAACATGCAGAATCTGAGCAAACAAAGGCCCCAGCTCCCTCGCAGTTTCCTGACACATCTCTTCAAACTTCATTATCACCTCTATCTGTTCATCAGTCTGCTTTACATAGAACCCAAGAAGCCCCTTCCACTTCGTAATGATACTCGACACGGTTTTGTACAGCTCACTAGCTGAGCTATGTGGAGTATCAACAGCCAGTTTCATCATGGAGTAGAATATTGCTCCGGCACAATCCGCAGATTCCATGTTGTATGACAAACGGAGTGAGTTAATCTCCAAAATGGCAAGGTCCACTTTGATACCCTCCTCAACGGCCCTTAAGAAGGTACCTTCAACTTCTCTCTCAAAGTAACCGTAGTCATCACCGGGATCATTCACATCAGTGTTGATACTATCAGCATCAGATTTCAACTCTCCAGAGGTCGGGACAACGCTTTCGTCTTCCAAGTCATCATCGTCCATGGCCTGAGTGATCTCAGCAAGTTTATCCTTGGGGATTGGTGCAACAGAATGCTTCCACTCCTCATCATGAGCCCCTTCACACACTTCCCATATATAACCTGCTCCATCAGGACCAAGCTCAGATCCGCTGGTCTCCGTTTGCAAATCTAAACCGGACAAACGATCCGCAGTCCCGCTGCTACTGTCAGCGTATTCCAGCTCATCATCGCTGTCTTCCTTACTCGGCTGCTGAAGTAACGAAACCTTTGAATATGCAGGTACAACAAAGTCCCGCCCAACTACAACCTTGAATGATAAAACAACACCAGGCTGCAGAACAGCCCCTGCTCTGATCTTCACACCATCACAAACAATAGCGTTCCTTATCACACACCCATCTTCAATCGTAACATTGTTCCATATGTAAGAGCCTTCTATCACCACGTTCGATCCAATAGAACAACCATTCCCAATAACCGAGTTCAAGATTCTATCCCCATTCCCAATTTTTGTACCGTACCCAATGACAGTGGACGATCCAACATCAGCAGAACGTGATTGAATTGCATCAGAAGCTCGGTATATCCCTTGTCTCCCGAGCTTCAGAGGTCGGTTCCCGCTGAAATTGATATCTGGCACATACGGGTATGTCCACCTCTGGATTATATCTTTGCTAACAGTGTCGTAGCTTCTGAAATTGTCGATCCTAGCCGCGTAGCTGGAGTGGATCTCATGAGTGAAGATCTTGTAGCCCATAATATCATCAACAAGCACACCTTTGACAAAGTGACGACGGAGATGCTGATAATCAAAGTTATCCTCAAAGAGACTGAGCACCTCAGGAGAACATATGTCAATGTAGCAATCCTGCATATCATTGTACAGCAACACAGATGGATTACTATCCAGCAACGACTTATCTAAGCAAACGCTCCCTCCTCTTGCGTGATCGATCTTATCCTCCTCGTAGTGAAGGAGCTGCTTTGTCAAGGGATCTACAGCGATAAAGAGTTGATCCGTTCCTAGCCTTGACTGATGCGTGATCGGCGATGGCTTTGACTGCTTGAGAACCATAGTCATGATGGCTTTCTCATCTTTCTTCTTCCTCTCTCTGTGCTCTTGAATCAAATCTGCAAGTGGCATGTTGCTCACTGTATCTCCACTGACAAGAACAAAATCACCCTGAATCTGAGAAGTCTCCGTCTGTTGCTCGTAGATGTAACGCAGGGCATCTCCGGCGCTGATGGATTTGTGCGACTCTATAGTTCTCACCAAAAAGTTTGGGTGCGAGTACCACTCGGAGTTCTCCAGATAATCGATTACCTGTATTGAGTGAGCACAGCAGAAGACGAAAACCTCCTCTATCCCAGCGGATTCGAGCCAGGCCAAGGTATAATCAATCATCGGGACGTTCACTAGCGGCAACAGAACCTTTGGCCGTTCTAGGGTTACCGGACGGAATTTGGTGGTGAAGCTATCCGCGAGAAGAATTGCTTGCAAACGGTGACGACTCTGCTCCTCCGAATCATCTGAAACCCTAACGCCTTTTTTCTGAGCACCCATTCCTCTTCCCTCTCTGTCTATCTCTCCGACTCGTTCTCTCAATTCGATCGAAAATTCACACAGATACAACCCTGAGTCTAATAGAAACTGAACACGAATTGAAGAAATTAGGGTAAAATATGCTCTTATTAAAACTGTCAAGGTCTATTTTGCAATTTCATCAATACAGCCCAAAAAATAAAATCACTGAAGACTATAGGGGCCAAAAAAGAAAATGAAAGACTAATTGTATCATAGAATTCGAATATGTGGCGTTTATAGATTTTTTTTAAAAAAAAAGTTACCAAATTCCGACTCTTATTTTTCTTTAAAAAAATCACCAAATCTGTTTTTCTAAAATTCTTATAAATCGATATTACTTTAATATTATATCGAATTATTTCATGAAATTTCTTCTTTTGCTAAGTAGTAAAAATTGCATTCTTACACATCTAACCAATACTAATTTGATGTAAACAAATGATTGTTGCTTAATTAAAATACAGGTAGCTTTAGGAGGTGTTATTGGTTCTTGTATTTTAATGGATTTGAGAATACAAACCAAATTCAGTGTTATTGGTTCTTGTATTTTAAAATTTATATAGAAATACAGTGTTATTGGTTATATGATTTTAAAATCCATAATGAAATACAGTGTTATTGGTTCTATCATTTTAGAATCTAAATATTATAAGGATTTGAATTTTAATTGAATTTGAATAGATTTGGAAGGATTTTTATGACTAAAATACAAAGACCCAAATACAAGGTCTAACCTTGGTATTTGAGTGGATTTGATTTTTTTCCATTTTACTGATTTTGAAATCAATAAATTTATCAAATCCAAAGAAGATTTATAAATTCACCAAAATACAAGAACCAATAACCCCTACTTAGTATGCTTGTGTTGTTTTAGTTAATTTAAAAAATAAAAAAACCGAGACTTGAAAATAAGTTTAGTTAACACAACATTTGCTAGAAGCAACACAAATAATCGCACTCTCCTCTCCATCCTTTTCCACCTTTCAAAAGCTCGTCGCAAATCCCTTCTCCTCCTCCAAAACGATGCTATCTACTTCACATGTGAATTATAAATTCCAAAAATCAGGAAAGACAATGACAAACATCTTGATACATTATTTAGAAGCAGAGAGAGAGAGAGAGAGAGATGCTTACTCAATATAAGCATGTTGAGATGCGTGGTGAAACCTTCAAAGCTCTGGCCAACAAACTCGCAAGACCAGGGAGATTCATCCGTTTGGAGGCAACCGATGACCATCAATGAGGTCCCAATCCTGCTTGACAAACCGCTGCTACTGTCACCCATCTCTTCTCTCTCTGTCTCTCCGATGCTGAAATAGTTTAAGCGATTTGAAGAATAGAGGGTTAAATGTGCACTTATTGAAAGTATCAAGGTTTATTTTGCAAATTCAATTATTATGCAGCCCAAGAGTGAAATCGCTGAAGAAAATGAAAGTTGCGTAGATGACGAAAAGCAAATCTTACAAGTTGGGGAGACATTGACGTGAAACGTGTACACATTGGTCCAATGATATCACCTAAGAAATGTCTTTCAAACGTCACATGCGTATTGGATTAAATGGTCTACTCTAGCTCTCCTCCACTAACAAATCTTTGAAACAGAGAGAATGGACGGTGCAGAAGAGAGAGGGTACTGGAGATGGAGCAAGAGAGACTTCTTTCCCGAGGAATCTTTCCAGAGCTTGGCTAGTTACAGAGCCGCTCTGTCTCAGACATGCTCAAGGTTCAAGAACAGGTTGGTTAGTAGGTCTGATGATGAGAACGAGCGGTTCGAGCTCAGGAAACAGAGCGAGCACGAGATGAAACGGTGCCTCACTTGGTGGGACCTAGTCTGGTTCGGGTTCGGGTCAGTGATAGGAGCTGGAATCTTCGTCTTGACAGGCCAAGAAGCTAATCAACAAGCAGGACCGGCTATTGTCTTGTCCTATGTCGTTTCAGGTTTTTCCGCCATGCTCTCTGTCTTCTGCTACACGGAATTCGCCGTGGAAATCCCCGTGGCTGGTGGCTCCTTCGCCTATCTTCGGATCGAGCTCGGGGATTTCGCGGCGTTCATCACCGCCGGAAACATACTTCTTGAGAGTATAGTCGGCACTGCAGCTGTAGCTAGAGCCTGGACTTCGTATTTCGCGACGCTTCTGAATCGTAACCCGAACGCTCTACGGATCAAAACAGAGCTCACCAGTCCCGGTTTTGACCTCATGGACCCGATAGCCGTCGCGGTTTTAGCTCTTGCAGCTGCAATCGCATCGATAAGCACTCGAAAGGCTTCATTGCTCAACTGGATAGCCTCTGCTATCAACACTTTGGTGATACTTTTCGTCATTATCGCTGGTTTTATCCACGCCGAACCTTCGAACCTGACACCGTTCTTGCCTTATGGACCTGAGGGAGTGTTCCGAGCAGCAGCAGTCGTGTACTTTGCATATGGAGGATTCGATAGCATAGCAACAATGGCTGAAGAAACCAAAAACCCATCAAGAGACATACCGATTGGTTTACTAGGCTCTATGTCGATAATCACGGTGATATATTGCTTGATGGCGTTATCATTGAGCATGATGCAGAAGTACACGGATATAGATCCAAACGCAGCTTACTCTGTAGCGTTTCAGAGCGTTGGAATGAAATGGGGGAAGTACTTGGTGGCTCTTGGTGCTCTCAAAGGTATGACCACAGTTCTACTAGTAGGAGCTTTGGGACAAGCGAGATATGTTACTCACATCGCACGGACACACATGATCCCTCCTGTGTTTGCCCTCGTCCATCCCAAAACCGGAACACCAATAAACGCCACTCTCCTTGTAACAGTTCCAAGCGCTCTCATTGCTTTCTTCTCGGGTTTAGATGTTTTGGCAAGCCTCCTATCGATAAGTACTCTCTTCATCTTCACGATGATGCCTGTAGCACTACTCGTGAGGAGATACTACGTGAGAGAAGTTACTCCAATAGCTGATCTTCTGAAGCTTATCATATGCCTCTTGGTCGTTGTTGCTTCTTCATTGGCTACTTCGGCTTATTGGGGGATGAGGCTCAAGGGATCATGGATCGGATACACAATAACAGTTCCTCTATGGCTCTTGGGTACATTAGGGATCGTGTTCTTTGTACCTAAGCAACGAACTCCAAAAGTGTGGGGCGTACCGTTAGTCCCGTGGATCCCATGCTTGTCGATAGCCACAAATATCTTTCTCATGGGATCTTTGGGAGCTCAGGCTTTTGTAAGGTTTGGGGTTTGCACTTTAGTCATGTTGCTATACTATTTCTTTCTTGGTCTTCATGCAACATTCGATATGGCTCATCACCAAATTGTGCCTAAATCTTAGACATTATGGGAAGGTCTCTTCTTTTTAGCATATGTGTAACTTGCAAAGGTGAAGACTACTTATAGTTTATACCTTTCTTCTGGATAAACATAAAAAGGAAAAAGTTGTCCACAAGCATTTATTCAAATATGAAACAGGATTTATGAGATTGTGTGATCTTATAAGCAAACGCTTCCAATGCTCAGTTGGTTAGAGCACCTATTTAGTATACGAGAGGTTTTGAGTTTAATTCTCAATGAAATCATGTAATATACTTTTAAAAAAAACTGTAAGATTTTTGGCATTGACTAAATGTTTTAGAACAATATATTAAAACATTTCAAAATTTTGATTATTGATAAAAAAGAAAAGAAAACCCTTTACTCTTTATACATATTAATAATATTACTAATATACATTAGTTTCATTACATGCAAATCCGATTAGAGTTTACATACATTAAATTTTTGATAAAAGTTAAAAAAGATGATTAAAGTTTGATGATTACAAAATTTGTGCAAAAATTAAAGTTCCCCCATCCATAAACCTTCTCTTTAGGTAGAAGATTAACAATTGATTCTGATTTTCAATGTTTGTGGCTGTGCTCTTTGTCAATAGAGACAAAATTAACTATGAGACTTGAAAACAGAAATCTGTGTTAAATATCTATTGAGAATGTATACAATGCAATGTTAAACGATCTTGAGATAGAACAGTTCTCCAAGTCTCAGAGAGCTAGAGTCATGTACCCTTTCTCTGATAGAAAATCTACTATGCAATAGTATGCTAGTCTTGGTTCGACTCCAAAAGATATGAGACAGTTCTCTATGTATTAGGGATTATATAGATTATATACACTTTTAAAATCAAATAGATATACTTAAAAACCTTGATTAATTCTCTTACAAACCGAGCAATGAAAGCGTTTGCTTATAAATCATGTCTCAACGCTTCGCTCAATTATTTAATCATTTTCACATAAAAAACCACAAGGCTTATTTTTAGTTTGTGGCTTAAGGTTCACAAGCTTTCATAGCTCAGTTGGTTAGAGCACCCGTTTAGTAAGCGGGAGGTCTTGAGTTCAACTCTCAATGAAAGCAAATAATCAGCTTTTAATAATATAGTTTTTTACATTGCCTACAACAGATTTAACGCCTCAAAATTTTGATTCTTGACAAAAAAAGACCCCTTTACCCGTTATAATATATTCTAATTTTAAACCAAAATTCAGCAGTCTTCATTACAGGTGACTAGAGTTCTTATTTGATGCGAGTCTTCATTAATGCATTGGCTATCCAGTGGTATGTACTGAGACATAATAGACACTATCTCCGAATCCATGTAAGCCTGCATTGAAGTTTTGATAAAAGAAAAGTTAAAAAGGATTATTAGAGTTTGATGCATAAGAGAAGTCATATGTAGCAAAAAGACAGTACCTGAAGATGGTTCTTGAAGAATATATAAGCTGCTAAAGAGATGCCTGCAATGGCGATTACAACCACAATTGCTATGAACCATCTGCTTCTTGATCCACTTATTCTCTCTGCACAATAAACAAACTGAGATTTGTTCCAAACTTCCAACAAAAAAGCTGACATCTTTTTTTTTTTTTGTACTTACCGATACAAGTGTCTTGTTCTTTCATATAGAAACTGTTGATAGAGCATTCGCATTCATATCCTCCCCAATTGTTCTTGCATTTGCAGTCATCGCATTGACAAGCTGATTTCTCTTTGCATTCATCAATGTCTAGTTAAGAAGCAATCAAGATTGTTCAGAGAAAATGTCAATGAAACTCTATTTTACTATGACAAACTGTTGAAAAGTTTTCACCTTCACATATCAAACCATCCCCATGGAAGCCTAGAGGGCAATGACATCCTGATGTCTCCGAGTTCTATACATTGAACAATAAAAAAAATACATACAAAAAAAGTCAGACAAAAACTTCAAAATTTAGTAACGAGTGAGATAGAAAGCAGCAGTCGCTTAACCAAACAAGCCGAGAAAGTTAAACCCTTTCTGGTTTCAGACCAGCAGCCACCTTCGTTCATCGAACATCTTGCAGGTCCATAAGCTGTATCAATAACATGAAAATGACATTTCTTTTTAAAGAATAATGAACAACAATGTGCAGTGAGATATATTCGAAAGAAGAAGTTTTCAAGAGCATACGCTTGCAAGATGTATAACCATCTCCTTTGTATTGAACACCATTGACAACAGGGCACTCGCATACTCTTCCTCTAAATGTATCCTAACAAATTTCATGTAATAATATATGAAGAAGAGATGAAAATAAACCGGTATAATCATCGGTTTATCACTCATTTTTCACTATACCTTGCAAGCCGTTACATTAGATCTTTTATCTTGCCAACATCCTCCATTTGCTTCAAGACATTCATTGGTCTCTATGTCTGTTTTAGAATGAAACAAGAAGAACGGGTTTTTTAGCATGTTCTTCTTCTGTGAATACGACTGGGTTACTCGAGGGAGGTGACTTGACCTGTACTCAAACATATCAAAGGTTCGGTTCCCTCCTTGAATCCTGAACATATAGCCTTCAACACCACGGTTCTCTCCAGTTTACCTGAATATGGAATTAGATTCAGATTCTAAATTCTTTAAACATTGTGATGATGAGCGATGATAAGGACGAGCTTACCACGATATTGAGCATTGTTGATGATCAGTGTTGGAAATATTGTGATAACCCCTCGCTTCTCTTGGCCTAACTGTACTTTTAAATGTCATGAAAGAAAGAGTAAACAACTCGGTGAATCTGAAGATACCGCAAACCTGAAAAGCTTGCTCGGCTTTAAGAACTTCATTCTCTACATCAGCTTCAGGATCACCTATGCATTTCTTGATCTTCTCAAGAGACAAACCTGAGAAAAACAAACAAAAACCCTTGAAAATGTTAAAGAAAGAGAGGCAAACAGATTGTGATATCTATATGGAATACAAAAAAAAAGGCGTTCTTTTTTTTTACCGAGAGATTCCACGACAGTCTCTGCACATTCTTTGCTGTATTTCTTCTCCTTCATAGAACATCTGATGTTAAAGTCTGTCACGTAATCCCACCAGACCCAAGAAATGTTCTTCTCCTTAGCTACTCTATGAACACATAACTGTCTCAGATTCTCGTAAACGACGTCTTTCCCATTGTATCCATCTTCAAAGTCTTGCTCAGTGTCAGGAGCACAGTACCTCCCTTGGTTTATACACTGAGTCTTACACTGCCTGCTAAACAAAAGCTCTTTGGGACAAAACCAAGAAATGTAATGAGGTGTGAACAAAGCATAACCGCCTTTTTCAAGAACCTGAGCGGTTCCCTTGAAGTTGTTTATGAAATTCATCTGTTCGTTGCAGTGTACACCACATTCATCATTAGTGTTGGCCCATAGCTCATACTCAACTCTCTCATCAGGGTTTGGTATAGACTCACTCCAGTCTATCTTCAAGATTACTTCTTCGCCTCTTGTAAGAGCATTCTTGATGTTATCACCGAAAGAGCTAAGGATCAAAGCCGATGGGATGTTGATTTTGTCTTTAAAATGAGGATCTTCATCTTTGGATTCTTCTGGTGAATCCATTGTTATCAATGGCTCAACAATATTATCTGCTAGTAGAACAGCTGCTGCACCAGATTGTTGCCCATTCCATATCTTCAAAGCAAAGTTGCACACTACAAACAAAAAAAAATCCAAACTTCAATCACAAAAATGTAGACGTTAATGAAAAGTTCCAAATTTCCAACTAGATTCTTGATGACAGAGTCAACATTGCATGAGTTCTTACTAAATAGTCGAAGCAAAAGCCAAAATCCATCAGAAATTTTCAAAAACATGATGAGATTTTGACCAAGTCTCAACTTTCAATTACAAAACTATAACTAATAAGTCTATAACCAACATTTTAATACGTTTCATAAGTATATTATGATCAAGAAATGGCCACAAAACAACAATAGAAACTCTTGAATTTTGCAGAGTTAAATTTTACCTCCACGGTCAATGAGGAGGATGGTGGGATAAGAATACTTGGGCTTGAAGGTTTTGTTGAATGAGTCGCATCCGTAATCCCCTTGGCCTGCGTAAACGACGGAGCCGATCATAAAACCGCCATAATTTGGGATGCCAAAGTCTGCGATGGCCGCGTCGTGCTTAGCTCCCATTGCCCATGAGTTAAGAACCGTCACGCTGCTCTCCTCCACGAAGAATCTCGCTGGAACAACGTTGACCACCATAGTCAACGCTAGAAACAGAGCCAAGACTGCTCCCTTCCTGCTCGGAGACATTGTTCTAGACAAAAACAGAATCGGGTGTCTCTCTGTTTTCGAATTCTACCGTATAAAAGTTGTAATTTTCTTCAGAGAAAATAAAAATGTGATCTGAGCATAATGAATAGTTGAATACATACGGAAGAGAAGACGAGTTGGCAGAGTCAGCGCAGCTACCATGACTCTGCAACTCAGTTTCCAAACTCTGTTTCAATCATTCATTCTTTTAGGATCATTTTTCCAATAATTTAACGGCTGATATAAATCTCAAGGCCCATAGAGACATCCAAAAAATAAAAATATTCGAAAACTATTTTGTGGGTCTAAAAAGCCCATTTCGAATTTGCTAGTCGGTGAGATTAAACAAGATCCTATATTTAAAAAAATAGTAGTAGTATCTAATAATAGCTGTTACTTATAATGCAATCAAACGAGTGGTCGTCCCACAAAACACCACCACGAGGCACGAGCAATGTAATGCTTAAATATCTAATTGCACTTACTTCAATGCACGCCAGCCATTAACCGCACGTTTTTGTTCATATTCATGTTTAAAATTATATATATGTACATTGATATAAACCGCGTTCGTATTTGTTACAGGTATACGCGTAGAAAGGCTACATACGGTATTCAGTTTGTTTGTATATATAATGCTGGTCTAATATGTCTGCGTTTGAACACATATATATATCTAAACATTTGCGAAAAGACACAAACAAACATAGCTCAAGTATGGACCTCAAGCTAAAGCTCAGGCCAAGCTTCTTCATCTCTTTTCTGATTTTCATTTTACTTCTCAAAAGCCCTAATTTCGGATCAGCATCTAATCCTAAATGCATATCCACCGAGCGTGAAGCTCTTCTCACTTTCAAACAATCACTTACTGATCTTTCGGGTCGACTCTCTTCTTGGTCTGGACCTGACTGCTGCAGCTGGAAAGGTGTTCTCTGCGACGCCCGGACCAACCGCGTCATCAAGATTGATCTCAGAAACCCCAGTCAAATAGTCCGCTCCGATGAGTATAAAAGAGGTTGCTTGCGGGGTAAGATACATTCGTCTCTGACCCGTCTCAAGTTCTTGAGCTACCTGGATTTGAGTTCAAACGATTTCAATGGAATGGAGATCCCCGAGTTTATAGGCCAAATCGTTAGTCTTAGGTACTTGAATCTTTCTTCTTCATCGTTCTCTGGTGACGTTCCTGCGGTTCTTGGGAATTTGTCGAAGCTGGAGACTCTTGATCTGTACGCCGAGTCGTTTAGTGACTCTGGTTCGTTTGCTTTGCGCACAAGCAACCTCGCGTGGCTTTCGGGTCTGTCTTCTTCTCTGACTTACCTCGACATGGGGTATGTGAATCTGAGCGGTGCCGGGGAAACCTGGTTACAGGATTTCAGCAGAGTCTCGAAGCTGAAGGAGCTGCATCTGTTCAATTGCCAGCTCAAGAACTTGCCTCTCTCGTTGTCTTCTGCAGCGAATCTGAAGCTCCTTGAAGTTCTTGATTTGTCTGAAAACTCTCTCAGTTCGCCAATACCCAACTGGCTATTTGGTCTCACCAGCCTCAGAAAGCTATTCCTCAGATGGGATTTCCTCCAAGGATCGATTCCTTCCGGGTTCAAGAACCTGAAGCTTCTAGAGACACTAGATCTGTCTAATAATCTGGGACTCCAGGGAGAGATTCCATCGGTTCTTGGAGATCTTCCTCAGCTGAAGTACCTAGACCTATCTGCTAGCGAACTCAATGGTCAAATCAATGGGTTTCTAGACGCCTTCTCCAGAAACAAAGGCAATAGCTTGGTCTTTCTCGATCTCAGTTCCAACAAGTTAGCTGGGACATTGCCCGAGTCACTTGGAGCGTTGAAGAGTCTTCAGATTCTGGATCTTTCATCGAACTCCTTCACGGGCTCGGTCCCTTCCTCGATAGGAAACATGGCGTCACTGAAGAAACTCGATCTTTCTTTCAATGCCATGAACGGGAAGATCGCAGAAGGCTTGGGGAAGCTTGAGGAGCTTGTGGATCTAAACTTGATGGCTAACACATGGGAAGGTGTTCTGCTGAAGTCTCATTTCGTGAATCTTAGAAGCTTGAAAAGCATCCGTCTCGCTACTGAACCAAACAGATCTCTTGTCTTAAACCTGCCACCTACCTGGATTCCTCCTTTCAGACTCGAGTTTATCCAAATCGAGAACTGCCAGATCGGTCCTTACTTTCCAATGTGGCTTCAAGTACAAACCAAACTCAACTCCGTCACACTCAGAAACACTGGAATCGCAGATACAATACCTGAAAGCTGGTTTTCTGGAATCTCTTCTGAAGTAACTTACCTGATTCTAGCAAACAACAGAATCAAAGGTAAGTTACCTCAAAAGCTTGCGTTCCCAAAGTTAAACTTCATTGATTTGAGCTCCAACAACTTCCAAGGCCCTTTCCCTCTCTGGTCAACAAACGCAACAGAGCTCCGTCTTTACGAGAACAACTTCTCAGGTTCTCTCCCAGTGAACATTGATGTCTTTATGCCAAGAATGGAGAAAATCTACCTCTTCCGTAACAGCTTCACAGGCCAAATCCCATCGTCTCTGTGTGAAGTCTCTGGACTGCAAATTCTCTCCCTAAGAAGCAACCGTTTCTCTGGTAGCTTCCCAAATTGCTGGCATCGTTCCTTCATGCTTTGGGGAATTGATGTCTCTGAGAATAACCTATCAGGCGAAGTACCAGCGTCACTTGGTGTGTTACGTTCTCTCAGCGTCTTGCTTCTGAACCAGAATGCATTGGAAGGTAAAATCCCAGAGAGTCTTCAGAATTGCTCTGGCCTTACAAACATTGATCTTGGAGGAAACAAGCTCACTGGGAACATTCCATCATGGTTTAGAAAGCTGTCTTCTCTGTTCATGCTTCGTCTGCAAAGCAACTCCTTCACTGGTCCAATCCCCGATGATCTCTGCAGCGTCCCGAATCTACACATCCTGGATCTCTCAGGAAACAGAATCACGGGACCGATTCCAAAATGCATCAGCAATCTCACAGGCATTGCGCACAGTACAATCATGGAGGTGTTCCAGGATCTTGTCTTCATCGTGACAAGAGCTCGTGCGTACCAAGACATGGTCAACAGCATAAATCTTTCGGGGAACAACATAAGCGGAGCAATCCCAGGAGAAATCTTAGGCCTCGCTAACCTTCGGACCCTGAACTTATCAAGAAACTCCATCGCAGGAAGCATACCGGAGAAAATCTCGGAGCTCGGTCGCTTGGAGACGCTTGATCTATCAAGAAACAAGGTATCTGGAGCCATTCCACAGAGCTTGGCAGCAATAACTTCTCTGCAAAGGCTGAATCTTTCGTACAATAAACTGGAAGGGAGCATCCCTAAGCTTCTCAAGTTTGAAGATCCTTCGATTTACATTGGAAATGAGTTACTCTGTGGGAAACCACTTCCTAAAAAATGTCCAAAAGACATTAATAGCAGGTTGTTGTAGTAAAATGAGCGCAAGGTGCTAAGAAGAGTACATTGCAAAGACAATGTACCTGAGCATTCCCGAATAATAATAAAATTACCAGCTCTAAGCAGACCATGTTGTAACCATTTACAGGAACTTGGCCAATTTAAGACAAATTAATCCAATGAAAAATCAAATTTTCAGGTGTCATTACAGAGTCATTAGAGATTGATTAATCCTGCACACTAATAACTACACCTGAGTAGGTAACTTTAAGCAGTTCATAACAGTCACCAGCTAGTTTCAAACAAAAGAGCAAAAGCAACACATTCAGTTCAGATAAAAGGACTTGTTCTCCTACTTCTAAGGCCTTGAGCTCTTGAAACAGTAACAAAGATAAAAATTTCAACTAAATTTAGAATCGAAAGTTTCTGTCTTTATTTGTCCATCCACAATATTTCGTAAGATTTTAAACCAAGAAAGCATAAGAGTCAAACATCGACAGATTCTAGGACCGATACTCATCAATCATCAACATAACAAATTAATCATAATGCAGTTACAATCCGAAACTATGCACGAAGAACAGTAGCATCTAAGCTTATCAATTGAAGAAAACAATATCTAAACCCTGCCAAAGAAATTACAAGAGCTATCAAATTCAACGAGCAACCTTAGCTAAATCAATTGAAAGAGATCGAACCATGACGGATCTAAGATTCAATATCACTAGTCGATCGAGAAACATCAAAATCACATATATAAAAGTAAAAATTCAATCGCGATGCTAAGAAAGAAACACTACCTTGCAGACAGATAGATTCGAACTCCCAAACTGTGGATCTTCGTCTCTGCTTTATCAAATTCCAATTCTACCCCTAATGGGAATTAAAATAATAATTTCAAAGTTGAGCCTCAACATTTTTACTTGTTGACAAAATAGACCTCTACGTTTTAACTTGTTGACAAACTCGCATTTATAGTTTCATTTTGCAATATTTCGTTTCAATAGTTCATAGGTAAGGCATGAGAGAGCTTTTGCTATTGCCTTTCTTTTTCTTTCAGACATCGGAAATGATTGATGAGCCATCACTCTTTACAAAAAATAAATATTTCCGCAATTATATTGTTTGACTCTCTCTCTTCTTCTTTGTTTTTCTGTTCAGAGTTTGATCGTTAAAATGTTTTTATTCATACTTGGCTAAACCAAATATTTAAAACTTATAAGAAAGTAATAAGGAAACCAAACGAAACTAGGACGTGTTAGTGCTAAGGGTGGACAATTTAGCGGTTTGGTTTCGATCCTTTTAAAAAAAAAAAAAAAATGTTGAACCAAATAAACTGTACATATTCGGTTTCTTTCAGTTCAGTTTGATGTAATTTCAAGTGGGTCAGTTTGGTTTGGATTGTGGACAAATTTGTGATGTGATTTTGGTTTACATAATTTGATTTGCTTCTGCTCAGTTGGATTTTATTCCCATTGGTGTAATGTTATTTTCTGAGCTAATTGGTGTATTTTGACGATTACATGGTTGATTAGACGAAAGAAGTTGGGCTTTGAAGGCACACAAGCCGAAGGATCTTTTCCAAGGCTAACACGTTTAAACCCTTCAACGTATAAATTGAAGAAAGTAAAAGTTTTTGGTACCATCTCTTTTGCTTTTCTAATCAAATGGAACTTGATAAAATGTAAATGTACGTATGTGAGTTTATTTTTTAAAATAGTTTAAAAGCTGAAACTTGGCGCTTTGTTTATGGGTCTGAGTTAGCCTTTTCTTTA